GATATTTATAGGAGGGATTTTTTTTTTTTTGAAGAAAAAAAATTAATTTTAGCTGAAAAAAATTTTTTTTGTCAAAGTTTTCATACAAATGTGACAAAATGATATTAGTTGCTTTAAAAATTAATTGTAAGAAAACTAATGATGATAAAAATATGGGAGTTGTTCCATCTTAAAGAGAGGGAAAAGAGCAATCTCATGAGCTACCATAAAAGCCTTTTTGGTCCACTAGATCAATAATTATGATCATTAAACAATCAAGAATTAAAGAACAACTTTTTTCAGTCAAAATTTTGATACAAATGTGACAAAATGATAATAATGGAATAGAAGCAATCGAAAGAGAATAAAGAGATGAAAAAATGTAGTTCTAGGCACGCGTGTGTTGCATAAACATGATTAAGTTTGACCAACCATGCGTGTCGGCATCTGCTCTAGTAGTCTAGACTCTTTGGAGTAGAAAAAAAGAGAAGAAAGGTAAGGTAAAAAAGATGTTTAAAAAAAGGAAAAAATGGTGAAGTGAATGACACACGAGAGAATGAGACATAGGTTTGGTGGATAATAGAAATAAAAATATTTCGTGAATCAACTGTCGATGAGTTGATGATTTGAATTCGATAGTTTTCATCATTTTGAGATAAAAAATGCACAATGATATTTTTTTTTAATCGCTATTCAATGTAGAGTAACATCGACAGTAGAATTATGTAGAGTAAAGAATTTTCGATCTCAAACACTACGAGGGAAGATATTTTGGAGAATTGGAAATTATAAAAAAGGTTAATAAAAAATTGAATTTTAGCTCAAGGTTTATGGTTGTGTTTAAAAACTAATAGTGAGAAAACTATGGGAGATAAAAATTTTTTAGGACCATGTATGTTTAGTTCAGAATCTGCCCGATCAAAAACACTATAATATGACCCTTTTTTGGCAACCGGAAGTCATGAAAAAAATTAGCAAAGACATGAAACAGTTTTGTTTAATTTTTGCTTTTAGCTGAGATGAAGTAGTTGTATTTAAAAATTAATTGTGAGTAAACTAATGATGATAAAAATCTAATTCCAATTCCATCATATAGATCAGGAAATTCCCGATCTGAAACACTATGACACAATCCATTTTTGATCACCGGAAGTCGTCAAACAAATTGATAAATTAAGACAATTTTTATTTCATTCTTAATTTTACCTCAAGTGAGATAGTGACACTTAAAAATTAATTGCGAGTAAATTAATGCTGGTATCGATTAAACAATAATTGCGTTGGATAGAGCGGAAAATTTCCGATCTCATACACTATAAGATAAGCCATTTTTGGCAACTGGAAGTCATAAAAAAAATTAATAAAGAATTGAGAAAGTTCTTGTTTCAAATAATTTTTTTTTTTTTCCAAAGCTATCGAAATTAAACAACTCACCCCTTTCAATCTCATTTCACCCCTCTACGATCACAGATTCAATCAAAAATGAAGTTATATCAAGCAAAAAAAAAAAAAAAGCAAGCTGAAAGCAAGCAAAAATGACGAAAACCCCTAAAAATAGTGTATCGATAGAAAAAAAAACGATGAAAAGGGGTGGTTATGGAGTTAGAAATAGTAGTAGGAGGGGTAGGGAGAAATGGAGTTGTGTGGCAACCCCTACGCAATAGAATGTGGCTCACTTCTTCTTACAGAGAGACAAATCCCTTTGGTTTTTGGATTTTCGGGTAAATTTATCCCCCTAGAAGGGGGTGAAGTGAGTTGAGGGGTTGAATTGGACGTTAGGGGGGTTAGTAAGTAATTCGAGGCGGGCTGAGAGAGCTATCGAGGCCCAAAACACATTCACCCTTCATCCAATGTCACCATACACACCCCCTACTTTTATCCCCTATTTTTACACAGCTCTTGAGGGTTGACCAACATATCTCGGGGGTGTTTCCACCAACTCTTCATTTTTCTGCATTTCTCAAATCTTTTTTTTTATCTTCTCATCCATTACACAGCTGTCTTTAACGCCATTTTATTATCAAACAATTTATTTTAATTCGGTAATTTGACGGTCTATTTTGATTCCAGCATAAAATACACGTTATTTAACTTTCAAATGACCGTCACTTAATGTCGAAAAAGAAAGAATAAATACATCATTATTTTTTAATAAAATTTCATTAGATGTAAAATGACCGTCAAAATGTCTTCGGTCACTTTTAGATTAACTTTTAAAATTGCAGTCATAATAAAAAATAAGATAAAATAATTATGATATATTCTCCCATTTATTAGCGTCATAAAAATTCATATAAATACTTATTAAAATGGAAAAATGACCGTCAGTAAAATTGTGGTTACTTTACCGGTAATTTTACCGTCAAAAATTGAAATTTAGTAATAAAATCATTAAATACAGTTAAAAAATCACTCTTCAAGGAGTATCAATTTTTCTCTCTCTCTTTCTTTAATAGAAGTTCTGACTTTAGTATTTATTTTTTCGAGAATTTTGGAAATAGTTGGAGTCTTAGTTATTTTGGGTGGTCTATTGAGCTCGAATTATACTTGAGATGATCTGTCAGAGTGAATAAAAAATAAAAAAAAAATTCAAAAGAGTACAAAAGTGGTATAAAAATGTGACTAACGCCATTTGTCAGTGTCCATTAGTGCATTTGGTGCAACCTACGCCAGGTAAAATATTAAAGAGTTGTATATTTGCGTGGTTAAATGAAGCATGATCTGCGAGGGACGATGGTACAGCTGTATAACAATGTGCTAAAAGAAGTAAAAGACTTTAGAAGAGTCTCTAAAAGGTGTATTCAACTATAAAATATACTTTTTTAAAACTTATTTACATCTAGATGTCTATTCTGTGGTTAAAAATCTTTTTCAATTAAATTGACAGAATTTTTAGCATTCTTTTAAATATTAATATGTTTGTATAAAGATATTAATATTGAGAAAAAAAATATTTATTTTGTTCTAAAAGAGTTTTATATGTATTAATAATAATTTAAATGATAGAATGATGATAGTAAACTAATTAATAAATGATAATTTAATCATGAGACTACTCTAGATAAATCGGTTTTGAGTCAGCTTTAATAGCGCTTTCGAATTTTTTTGGGGTCAACGACACTTGAGGAATCTTTTTAACATGATAAGTACTTAATTTTTCTGGTAATACAATGACACAAACAGCTAAAAATGACAAATAGAATAATTAGTATCGCATGTTGACAGATAATCGAGTCAGAATCGTTAAAGTGTCATTAGAATAATGCGACAGTGTATTTATTTTAACGATTGTCGATATTTAATTACCCATTTTTGGTCTTTTGAAAGAGTCTGAAGAGTTCAATAACCTTTATGTTTTCACATTTTTAGTTTAGGTATCAATTAAAAATACCTTCACGTGTCGATTAATCACTCCAAAGTCCGAGAATTGTATTCATAAGTTTAACTCATGATTTTATCATCTAGATGGGGAAATTTGTCGTTTCAAACTCTACTTTCAGTAACCAGAAGTGGTGAAAAAAATTTCAAAAAATTGATATATTGGAAAAGCTACATCTTGGTCATTTAATTGTGCAGGACAGTTGCTTTAAAAATTAATTGTAAGAAAACTAATGATGATAAAAATATGAGAGTTGTTTTATTTTGTAGAGAGGAAAAAGGGCGATCTTGTGAGCTACCATAAAAGCCTTATTGGTCCACTAGATCAGCAGCCAGAAGCATTGAAAGAATGATGATGGAAAAAAAAATATTTCAGTCAATTAATTAGGCTAGAGAGTTGATTAAATCATTAATTACAACCAAACTGATGACAATAAAAATATGAGAGTTGTTTTATTTTGTAGAGAGGGAAAAGTGTGATCTCAAGAACCTTTTTGGACCACACACTTACGATAAAAGTGTGGTGACAGCGTAAGATTTAGAAAATGCGTGAAAGTAAATTCAGAAAAATGGAATGAGATCAAAACGTCAAATGCAGAAAAAAAAAATAGAATGGCTTTCGAGGAGGGAAAGAGGTGATATAAAGTCAAAACTAACAGTATAAGGATGCGAGTTGGAGGGTAAGAAAATCATGTGTACGGTATTTCAAACGATATACGGTCGCGTTAGGGGTGGAAGGAGATGTTGGGGTTTCAAATGTCGTCGGATGCCAACTAAATTTTAGGGTAGTTTTAGCTTTACCATTGAACTTGTTGAGTGGATTGACAGCTCTGTTAAATCATTGTTACGTCCATTTTATAAACTTTATTTTTTTCCATCCCCCCCTTCTTTTTTTAAACAATATAAATTTAATCATTTATTTGCATAAAAATAAGATAAAATTAATCCACAATATTTTTTTTTTTTATTTAAAAATTTTTTTTTCTTCGTAGAATTGTAGATTAATTTAGATGCTATATAGAGTCCACTTGGCGAACATGTGGCGTGCGAATAGAAACGAACACGAGAGAGTAGATGAAAAAGGATCAAGTCTAGGTATAGGTTTGTACAAGTCTGTCTATCCCTACATTTAGTTCAAAAAACACCAGCTGGTCTAGGAGGAAGGACGTCCGCTTTATTATTTTCTCTTTTTCTTAACGTCTCTAGTAATCTATCTGCAACTATCGAGGTCATTTCATTTGTTTTTTTTTCTTTTCGCAACAATTCAAATCACTAGTCTTCTTCTTTTCAGTCAATATAGAGAAGATTTGCTCCATTTGGCAACATTTTACTCCAAAATACCACAGAAAAAAAAAAAAATTCCAACTCCACTTTGAGCTTCTTAGAATATCGAAATAATACACATGAAAAAGTTAAATCGATTAACGTTTTATATTTTTCTAACGTATGTGGATGAAAAAAAATTAGAATAGTTGAAAGGAAAATTTCAATCGCGATAACACGATGCTTATAAATACGTTAAAATGTATTTAAAGATACCAAAATGTTGAGATATAGATTGAATTTATTCTTGAGTATAATAGAAGACTTATTAAGTTGAAAAAAAAATTTTTTCGTGATTAAAAAAAATTATTTTTACTTACCCAATGATGATGATGATGATTGTCATCTCTATCTGTTTTTTTTTTTTAGTTAAGAATGCCTGCAGTCAGATTGATGGTCAGATTGGATAAAAATGAAGAAATTTCTTCGTGATATTAACTCTGAATGAGGCTTCTATAAACAGACATTAAAAAAAAAAATTTATAATTAATAAAGATAATGAAAAAATAATGTAAATGAAAAGAATGACGTTAATAATCATGAGCTCAATGTTTTGTGGTACATTTTATTTTTTTATGATGATTGTAATTTATTTTTAACTGATCTCAACAATATTTTTGAATAATTTACGTTTTGTTTTGATTTATTGCCAATGATTATTTTAATGATAGTTATTTTATTGGCTGAAATGAAATGGATTAAAAAGGTATTGATTATGTCCACATATTCACGTTTTTGAGCAGTAAAAAAATTTTTTTTAATTAAACAATGATTGTATCATGTAGAGCGGGAAATTTCCGATTTTATACACTATCATGGGAGCTATTTTTGATCATTAGAAGCCATAAAAAAAATTAATTAAGGCATGAAACAGTATTGTTTAATTTTGGCTGTTAGTTGAGGTCGAGTAGTTGTGATTAAAAATTAATAGTGAGAAAACTATGGGAGATAAAATTTTTTTAAGACCATGTACGTTTAGTTCAGAATCTGCCCGATCAAAAACACTATAATACAACCCATTTTTGGCAACCGGAAGTCATGAAAAAAATTAGCAAAGACATGAAACAGTTTTGTTTAATTTTTGCTTTTAGCTGAGATGAAGTAGTTGTATTTAAAAATTAATTGTGAGTAAACTAATGATGATAAAAATCTCATTCTAATTCCATTGTATAGAGCAGGAAATTCCCGATCTAAAACACTGTAATACATTCCATTTTTGATCACCGGAAGTCGTCAAAAAAATTGATAAAAAATGGTCTCTTTCAAATTTTGATTTTTACCTCACGTGAGATAATTACACTTAAAAATTAATTGTAAGCGAACCAATGTCGACATTTAAAAAAAACCAATTCCATCATATAGAGCGGGAAATTTCCGATCTTAAACACTATAATACATCCCACATGAAAGTGATAAATTCTCACTTCTTCCACATTTCGTCAAATGCACGGTGCAACTGTAGCCCAATAAAACTCGCCAAAAATCATACCTGCGTTAGCCATGAGAATGAACTCGACTAAAAAAAGAAATGTAAAACTTTTATTGTAAAATTTATTGACAGTATAACTAAAAGTACAATTTATTAACCGGAAGACAGAAATAACATTTGGCAACAGTAATAAAATATGGTACATTTTACGACTCTCGAGATGCAAACATAATGAGAAAAAGGGCATAGCGGTCCATCTGTTAAAAGGGAACGAGTAGTATTGCCAGGCAATTAGTAAAATTGCTCTAGTTTTGCCCAAAAGACGTGTACCGTCATAGTTCCCTTGTTAAATCAGCCTTTCAAGTTTTACCATTGACATTGGTCCATACCGAAACACACTGTCAAGAATAATGTGACCTAAAGTCAACATTGTTGGTTGAGGTATAGCCAGACCCACCCATAGATTTATATTTTTATTGCTTAAATAATCAGGTACGACATTCTCGACCCGACAACACGAGGGCAACATTTCACTTCATGCTTACCGTTATTTTTCCATCTCTAATATTTTCTTTAAGTGCTAAAATAATTCCTAATAATCCAGAAGCTGGCCTACGATATTGATTTTTTCGTCTTCATTATTCCTTCTTAACTTGTATTTTACCCAGAAACAGAAATCTTCTTCACTTTTTTTTACAATCCTTCGTTCAATTTCCAGCTAACCAAAGAGGCAATCATCATAATTCTAGGGATCGTAAATTTTCTTGGCTACCAGACTGAGTTGTTGACATATTTACATATTCATCAACGTATGATAATTGATGATCAACGCCCACTAAAATCAATTGTAACTATACTCATTTATTTTAAAATAATCGTGATTATTTTATTAATTAATACGGCACTGATGAGAGAGATTCTTAATAATAAATATTTATATAATATTTCAATTAATAAAAGATATCGATAAGGCAAAAAGTGAGGTTATAAAGGACGACTTGATAAATATGACTGTTTTTGTTAATTTGAGGTTAGGTGGCATTACAAAAAGTTAATTAATTATTAAAAAATATTTATTAGGTGTTAAAAAGAATTTCTTTACAATAAAATGAGATTTATTTATCATAAAACCACTAATGTGTTCATAATTAAGGCTTTTTTTTTTATTTTTATAAAATATTTATTAATAATTAAAAAATTGTTTTTTAACAGTAATAAGTCTCTTTTATCAGTGCATGTAAGTTGGGGTAAAAAAAAAAAATTCTTCATGTATTAAAGAATAAAAATTGATTTATTTTATCTGTAAAACAACTCACAAATACGAAAGAATGCAAGAAAAAAGTTATCCCCTTTTTCTATTGTGCTATTTATTCAACTATCGCTTGATGTTGGGTAATCGTCGGAACATGTACCGAACTATAAAAGTGCTTCGACAGCTCATATTTATATACACAAGGCTTGTGATCGTCTTAATCCAAATGATAAACAGAGAGAAAAAAAAAGGAGGAAAATTGAGGAAAGACAAGCGTTGAATTTACGAAAAATATATATCACTTTATTTGACATTGAAATGTCTATCTTTGAAATGTACTTAAACGTGTGTATGAGATAATCAAGGGTAAGAATGTACAAATACATTCAGTTATGGTTTAGAAAAATTTCCTTTAAAGGATTATCAATTTATTTTTCAACAGATAAATAAATATTGATGTTCCAAGCCATGGAATTTAATCATTTAAAATTAATTCACAAGGAAAAAAAAATTTACTCAGGGGTTAATTAGTGTTTTTAATGAGTTAATTAATTTGTTATTAATATTGAAAATAAAATATTTTATTAATGGTTAAAAAGAACTTTATTCAATCAAGTAAGTGTATGAGTTTTCTATTTAATTTAATATTTATTAAATTAAAGAAAAAAAAAATTAAAAATATTTATTGAATATAATTGAATAAAAATTATAATAAAATAATAGATATGTTATTAATGGGAGTAAATACATCAAGAGATTAATAATTAGATTGAAATAGTTTACAATAAAGAATTATTTTTATAAATAATTGATAATTGTGATTAGAATAAATTTAATTACACTTTATTGTTGATAAAAAATATTTTAGTGGTTTTGTATTTTTTATTGTTTTAAAAATTTGTTAATTCTCTTTATAATATTTGTGTGTTGGTAAAATCATAGAATTATAAAGAAATTTATTTGGCAAAAATGACAGTCAGTAGCATAAATTTATTGATCATTGAGTTGGCGAAAATAAGGGCCAATAATAAGACACTTTTATGATTTAAATATTCTAGTATTGAAATCAGACATAATGTGATTGACCTCAAGATGAGGACCGGTCATTGATACACATGATGACTGTATTGTTAATTAAAATTCAATAATAAAAAAAAAAAAAAAAATTGTTTTAAATGCTTTATTATTTTATTATCAATTTAATGATGATAAATCTGTGTTTATGTCAATTGAAGACTAAATAAAAAATAATTACTTATAATGATATTTACTCTGAAATAAATATATTTATTAATGTAAATAAACAAAGATTGATATCAACCGACAATAGCTTTAGTAATATTAAATAAATGATACTACTGATCACTATTATTTACTGAATGAGTAACAAGTTGTACTGTGTAAAATTAGACATGAATACATGTGTACGGCTTTTATTCAAATAGTAAAACCTTTAACCTGCAATGCACCATCACCCTTTATTATAGCCCGCTTAGTTCAGGTATAAAATCCTACAAATTTTCTGGCTCCCAAAAAGGGTTGATGTTGAGGTCTAACCCTTGGAATACCTCCTGACAACAATAGAAAAAGAGATGATGTAGCAGGTAAAAGTTCGACAAACACCCAAGGGTTAAAGTCATAATGATTGCCAATAATCATTCAGTAACGCCCTCTAGGACTTTGAAATGAATTCGCATTTGTACTAATGGTTTACGAATACAAACCGCCCACCTTCTTGTTTGCATTAGGATTTTACCAGTTATTGCACAATTTATAATTAATCCTGATGAGGGTATTGTTAATCTTATTTTTCATGTTTACCATGACGATGCATTCTTGGTATTACTTACATTATTTTTATTATTTTAAAATTATTTATTTATTTCTAAATAATTATTTTCAAAATTTATCCATTTATTTATTCGAAAATATTTTTAATCTAATAATTAATTTTTTATAATTTAATAAAAATATTTATTTATTGTTAGCTAAATAAATAAACCATAAGGTTTCATTTTTTTTTATTGTTTATAATTATTAAATTATTTATATATTTTTAATAATTATTTAAAAGACTTTACTATTCAATAATTCATCTAATTATTTTTTATCTCAAAATATTTTTTGCATTTTTACATTATTAATTAATGTTTTGCATTAAAAAAAACAATGCTCGATAAATAATTGTTAAATAAATGAATAAAAAAATTATTTAATAACTCCAAAAAGCAACGAAAAAATTCTGTGAGCAAGAAAATTTCCGAAGAAAAATATTTAATAATTGATATCATAGAGTACAGAGAATGAAAAAGAAAAAAAAATTCTTAGTAATTTAAAAAAAATAAAAAATCGTGAATTTAAATTTGAGTCTGATCACATTTATATCAGGAATCCGTTAGAACTCAAGCAGCTACCCTAGTTATAAAAAGAAAAAGAGTAAATAGAAAGTGAAGAAAAACACGGAAGGCCACGAATGAAAGAGAAAGAAGGGATATCCAGTGCAAGTTCACTTTCTTTCATATCCTGAGTATCCCCCACTACTTTCCAACAGGTTGTGCCCCACTAGTTGGCGCCAACTCTCAACTGAGGGGTGATTTTCTCCCTCTTCAATCCACCACATTGCCCTCCCATTTTAACGCAACACGAATAAGCCTGCGTTAAAGAAGTTGGCGGGCCATGATGTCATTGGTTGTAACCAATATGGTAGGGGATTAATACATAAGAGTGGGAGATGTTTGACTATCCAGAACCCACGATCGCTGACAGTTAGTATTGGGTTAGGTCAGCCCGAAGACACTTCGTTACATTTTAGTCTAGTTGATCGTCGATTAAACATCGACGGAAATACATAACACTTGGTTGCTACTCTTAAACTTTAGTTTTAATTTTTGATTAAAAAATTATTTTCGTGAACACTTTGAAGTTTATACATCAACCAAGTCTATCAACAGTTTGTTTTTATGTGTGTTATTGTGATATTATTCTCACTGATTAAGTGAAGTGAATTATCTGGAAAAGCATTTATATAATATTATATTTAATTGCAAGAAAAAAAAAAAGAAATATATACAAAGTGATTTGTATCAAAGAAAAACGTGATTTATATTTGTGGATGGAATGTTTTAGTGTTTCTCTGAATCACGGAACGTAGAATGGCACTTTCTTATTTGCAAGAAGCGCAAATCAACGCAGGTAATATTTTTTATTTACTTGCATTTTAGTTGAATAAAATTCACCAAAGTATCCTCCATACTATTCAATCAAAACATTTAGATAAATCAAATTTAAACTTCAATTACCTTGATAACATTGATGATTTAGCTTCATGTTTATCAACAAATCTTGACTTTTGGACAACAAATTTTAGGTTCTCACACGTTATAATATCTGGAACAGAAATAATGATACAATTATAAATAACTAGGAAAAATTAAATTTAAATAATTAAATTTTTTAATTCAATAAATAATGTTGGCATGCTGATGGTTATTATTTTTTTTTTTTCAAATATTTAAAGAAAATTTCAAAATATCATTGGAGCCAATTAGTGATAAGGATGCAGAGACATTTGGGGGCGGTCTCCAAGAGAGACGTTGCTGTGGGAAACGAAGGGATTGTGTAGTGACTCGGTGACAAAAAAATCCCAAAGGAGAAGGGTGTCGTCAAGGAAATGAAAACCTGCCCCTATCGATTAGATTTTCTTTTTTTATGATTAAAAATCTTGGAAAATGACCGAGGCATTATATATCTAGATTCACTGTCACTAATATAAGAGCATCCGACGGGGTAGAAAAAATTATCTTGATGGATGGAGTAAAGGAGTGTTAGGATTAAGAAATAGGCTAAGTGACAGGAGAAATAAGGATTTTTTTAAAGGGATTTTAAAGGATAAAATGGAAGATTTTATTTTTCTTCTTAAATTAATGATACTGTCAAGCAACATCTTCACTCATTCCCCATCAGTTTATAATCAAAATCATTTAGTTCTAGTGTGTGTATCATCAACAGAATCATTTATTAGAATTTATTTGATTTTCTAGGACTTCTCACAGGCCAACAATTCGACATGAAAGAGTCAGAGAAGCAATCATCAATGTCTCCACCACTGAACAATAACACATCAATGTCGTTATTTCCTCGTATTGGTGCAGCAGCGGCAGCCGCAGCAAGCTTATCAATGCTGACGCCACAACAATTGTTAGCAGCAAGTCGTACAGCAGCATTGATGGCAGCAGGACTGCCAGTATCATTGCATGCAAGTTTAGCAGCAGCAGCGGCATCAAATCCATCATTATATGGACATCATAATCAACCAATGTCATTATTTGGTGGTTGGGCACCACCAGCCGCACCATCACCACCAAGCTCAGTATCACCAGCACTTAGCACCAAATCTACATCAAGACGCAGTACAAATAATAACAATAATATTGTTAGCAGTAGTGTTGATAGAGTGACGAAGAAAAATCAAGTTAAAAAACGGGGACCAAAGACCAAAGTGGAAATGAGTTTACCTACTCTATTGGAAGGTACGGCGCCACCTAGTCCGCCCACATCTGTCAGTCCTGAGGCTGTTAAAGACTCAAGAGATAAAGTATTCACTTGCGGAGTATGCTCAAGATCATTTGGCTACAAACATGTATTGCAGAATCATGAACGTACTCATACTGGTGAAAAGCCTTTCGAGTGTCCTGAATGCCACAAACGGTAAGAAAATGACTTGATTATTATTCTATAATTATCTAAAAGTAATGACTAAGTTGTTTTTTTTTCCTCTTTCCTTAATCTGATAATTAGACCGTAGACTAATGATTGATAATTTTTTATTTATCTTACAGATTTACTCGGGACCATCATTTGAAGACACACATGAGGCTGCATACAGGTGAGAAACCATACCACTGTAGCCACTGTGATCGTCAATTCGTCCAAGTAGCAAATCTCCGTCGTCATTTACGCGTCCATACAGGCGAACGTCCTTACGCATGTGAATTATGTTCAGCTAAATTTAGTGATTCCAATCAGTTAAAAGCGCATTTATTAATTCACAAGGGTGAGAAACCTTTTGAATGTGAACACTGCCAAATGAGGTTTCGCCGAAGGCATCATTTACTTCATCACAAATGTGGTACATCTGGATCCCGAACACACATGGCATCACCATCAGTTACTTCTGATGATCTTGAAGAAGATATTGATATTGATATTGATCCTGAGGTATCCCTTCGTGCTAAAAGTCATCCGTCGCATCGGCTTCCAAGCCCCGCAACCACGGAATCACGTCCAATTCATCTCCCATTAAATTTAGCCAATGTTCCAATTGATTTACCTGAACAAACAGAACCTGAAGACTTATCAATGCATCGGACACATTCTCACAGCCACAGCAGTGGTGATTCACCTCTTAGCCAAAGTCCTAGCAGTGATACTTTACATGATGATGATGATGATGATCTTGATGTTAAAGATGCATCACCAACAACATTATTCCTACGTCGTGGTGCTCATCATGATATTTATCGATCTGCCAAGATGATTAAACCTGAACCTACTTCGTAGTATAAGTAGACTCATTTAACATTTATTTTTTAAGTAGTTTTTATGTTATAAACTCGAATTCCTTTCGATACAAGTCTGAACTGATTGTAAATAATTTATTAGATTATTAAAAGTTGAATAATCGTTGTAATTTGTGTGTTTTTAATTTTTATTAGTTTATAAAATTAAAACGCTTGAGTGCGTGCATTTTTTTTCCTCTTTTATTTTTTTTTTTTTATACTTAAATAAAAATCCAAGAGAATCAAGAAGAAGTAGAATTAGAAAAGAGGGAGGAAAAAGAGGATGAAAGAAAGATTCTCAACTCAATGTGACACTGATTTATGCTCTGGTTCGTCATGCAAATTTCTCTTTAGGCCATTCGAGGTCATTTCAAGGACTATTGTTCCAAAAATGTTCTTTTTACAACAATAAGGATGAAACTAGCTCAGTTTTCTTTTCAAATCAACTTTAGTCCTTGCAGTATACATCCTACTGAATAACTGTGTGCGAATATTCATTTTTGGATCTTGTTGAACAAGTCTCCAATTTCACATTGATTTTTAAATCATGACTTTTTTTGCTGACTATTTGTTTAAACAAATGCTTGACCAGATTAATAATTTTTATCTCGTAGAACGGGACATTAAATTGATATTTTAAAAACAAGAGAACGAAAAAAAAATTTTAATGACACTGAAAAAAGGACTTTTTAAGTCTTCGACATTATTGTTTGTATATTTTTTAATTGTATAATTTGTTTAAGACAATCGACAACTGTTTTATATAACAGTAAACGTATGATTTTAAACAATTAACAAGACTTTTTAATTATAATTAATTAATTTAAATTATATTTAATTCAAATATTTGATCATGGATTTATATTTTGAATGACTCTAAAATACGTTTTCAAGAGTTAAGAGAAAATAAGGCAAAAGTATCGAGAAAGAGAGAAGTTGAAAAGAAGAAAAAAATAAAATAAAAAAAAGGGACAATGGCGTGTGCCATTGAGTCTCTTTTTTTTTACCCTTGTGTGTACGCACGATCGAACACGATCAAGATCCATGTATCGCACATAGAGACATATATACACACCCTTCAGGGTTTTTACTTTTTATCCAAAAAAGACTTTGTTGGTCCTTAAATACTAAAATATCGATTCTTTATTCATTTTTTTACTCTCTCTCTCTATTTTTCATCTCAATTTGTACAAAATCTTTTAACATAAAACTGATTATTTTTTTTTTGTTAGATTAAACAAAAATATTACCAACAATTACAAAAATTATTTTATTTTATTAAATAATTAATTATGTTAAAAAATTTTTGATCATCCTCTTTTTCTTCTTCTTCTTCTTCTTCAGAACCAATTAAAAAAAAAAAAAAAGAATGCTAAATATTTTATTTATCTGATGAAAATATTTTTTCTGTTTTGAGTGACATTTATAAGATGTAAATGTTCTGTAGATAACAAAAGAAAAATATGTAATACAATCCTGAAAAGAGAATATTATATCTTTTGAAATTAATAAAGAATATATACAGCGTGTGTGAGGTCTGTTACATATATGTAAGAATTGTAAAAAAAAAAAAAAAAGAAAAGGAATATTTCTCATAAAAACTCAATTTGAATGAAATTGAATTTGTAAATGGTTGCAATTGTGAATTTACGAATAGCTGAATAATGTTTGAATTAAAATCATTTTAGTTTGTACATAATAATTCACTAACGAACGGCCAATTGTTATCACTACTATTATTTTATTTTATCATTATTATTATATATATTATTATTACTATCAATAATTGATTTTTATATTATTATTATTATTATTATTAATGTTATATATTTTTGTTTAATTAAATCAATTACACAATATTGAGAAAGAAAGATAAACATTTTAACAGTGAAAACATAAATATACTTAATAATTTTTTAACCCATTCTATAGTTCACATTAATTGTTATAAAAGTGAGGAAGAAATTATAAAAATACTTATTACTTGTAAAATAAACAAATTAAAAAGAAAAAAACAAATGGTTTATATTTAAAATAAAAAAAAACAAAAAAAAATAGTTGTTTGATTAAAAAAAACCAAGCAGGTGAATTGATAAAATAATTATTTACTTATCAAAATAAGTATGTGGTACAAATGAATAAATTTATAGAATAATAAATACAACAAACAAAAGAATAAAACATAAATAAAAATTCAGTGATAAATAGAATTAAAAATAATTACTGAGGAATGATTTTAAAAATAATTAACTGAAATGCAAGCCTAATATATATAATGATATTCGTAAGTATATTAATATTTATGGTATCATGATTATCTTTATTATTATTGTCATTGTCTTTGTATGTGAAGAAACTTAAAAAGAAATAACTAACAAACTAATAAATGGATAAATAATAATGATGATAATAAGAATGAAGAAATATGAAATTATGAAAGACGACACTACCTCACCAGACACCTAAATATATCTCAAACCACAAGACTGATTTTTACACATATAGTATTGATAATTAAATTAAAAAAATAAAAATACATTGAATAATAAATTTTTGTAATAATTGTAATAATAATACTTGATATAACAATGTGTTGTTTAATAATTGAATATATTTGAACTTTGATGATTATGGTAATGACTTTAAACTGTATATAAAATATATAGTCAATTTTTGGAGTAAGTTTATTAATAATAATTAATCATTTATTAATTAAACAATAGAAAAAAATTAATAATATTCAATAAATATTATTTATTTAATAAACAAATTTTTTACTCTTATTCATGGAATTTAGAGTTAATTTGTTTGATAAATAAACAAAAAATTATTAAGTGACTGATTAATTAATTATTTTGAATATTAATTAATTATTATATTATTGTGTGGATGTATATAGTTGGATTGGATATGGAATAATAATTGTATTATTATTATTATTTATGTCAACAGTGTGGTTGCAATTATTGTTTCGTGGATTTGTATATTAATTAATATATGTACATGACTATGATGATAATTATTAATTAATTTAAATTATCAGTTATTGTGACATGTGTAAGGATATTTATGATGTGTAAATTATGAATTATAATTATTACGATGATTACATGGGAATTCAAAATTAAAAAATTGTTGAATAAAATTAAATAATTCGAGTAATTTTTTTTAAATAGTATCTCTTCTATTTTTCTATAATTAGTTTTTTTTATTCATTAAATAGAAGAGTTTGCATTTCAGAATGCCATCCAACTATCACCCAATTATTATTCAACTATAATATGCACTACCAAGATCATTCTTCAACAAAAGAGACAAAAATATAGTCACAAAAGAGTCTAGAGAAAAGAGAATTTAAGTATTACGATGCAAAAGTTTGCTGATGATTTATTTGAAAATTATCAACACTATTTTAAAAATTACAAAAAAATTCTCCTTCTTCATTTATTATTTAATAAAACTACAGTAAAGAGGATAACATCTTTGATGCAATAATGATAAGTATGGAAGAATTTGTAGAAAAAAAAAGGAATAACATCCAGAAATGAAAAAACTCTATGGACTTTTGTGTAATTAATATTATTGCATCAAGCGTTTTATTCTTTTAAAGTATAATAAACAAAAAAAAAAAACTATTTTAAAAATATCATTTCATGATGGTATATCATCTCCAACTATATTGAAAAAAAATTTACCAACACTATCAGAAGATTATTTTATTTAATAATATTTAATTGATTCAATAAATTTCAAAAATATCTCTTTTATCAACAAGCATTGTTTTTTATAAAAAAATTTTTCCGTGAAAATTGAAAAAACAACCGAATGTTGATCAGAACCTTAGCATCTGCCTGCACGTGGCCATATAGACATTCATCTATCGAGAGGATACGTTCATGTGCTGTAATATAATACAAAATCTAATGTGTCACTGTGTCACAGCCCCCCCTCCCCACTTATCCACATATGACTGCATATACGACCGCGTGAATACTATAAAACCGATCGAAAAAAGAATGACAGCTTTGACTAGAGGATAGACACACTGTATACACAAGTAAAAGTGAAATAAAGATAGAAAGCTGTATGTGTGATCACTTGATAGAGAAGAAAAAAAAAAACACACACACATTTTCCTCCCTCTACTCATGTGGAATTTTAGATTTTTTGAGAATCCACTGGGAAACTATTTTCCTATCTTCTTCAAAGATTTCAAGCCATTCTGATCATCCAAGGCCACCATGAAAAAATCTAAAAAAGAAATATTAATTATTATTATTGAAAAATAATAAAATTAAGATAAAAAGAACAATGATAATGTCTGCTGTGGTTTGTATAACGATCTTAATTTGAGTTAAGAAATAGCAGATAACTGGACTTACTTGTAATAGATACGATGAAGCGGCTTTTTGGTAAAAGAATTCGCCATATGGTCATCCAGTCATTCTATCTAGTCCTAGAGACTGTAGACTCTTGATTGAACTCATTCGTATTATTCCACCTCACACATACACACAACAATAGTAGACTTGTATACTATTTTATTTTACCTATTTCGTGATCTATGGTCTGTTAACTGCGACTTAAATTGACGGAAATATCCTTCCTCGAAAGGATGAGACACGAGACCTTCATTTCAGCACGTGCCATATTATTATGTTACTAAAAACACCTAAATTTCTTTAAAATCAATCTATTTCAGCTATTGATCTTTTTTTTGTTATGCACAAATTCAATATTTTTGAATTTATACCAAAAAAAAGTTGTTATTAATAATTTTTGGAAATTAAATTTATTTTTTAGGAGAAGTATTGTTTTATGTTCAATAAATTTAAAATGACTGTTAAAAGAAGGAATAAAATACACCAATTAATGATTAATATTCATGAAACAAAATTATAAATATTTATTTTTCGATATATTTTACTCGTTTTCCACCTGCTTTTCCGTTTACTTCTGTTTTATTCATTATTCATTTGCCACTTATTTCTAAAAATATATTTAAAAAGAAATTTTTTTTATATGCAATATTAATTGTTTTTATCATTGATTCATCGATAGTACTCAAAGGATTCATGATTATTGAATGATTAATGCAAAAAAGATGTTGTAAAGGATCGTAAAAATTTTAACATTTATGCCAAAAAGCATGATTTCGAAATATATATAGTGAATTAAAATTTACGAGCTCTTAAATCTTCCTAATCTACACTAATAAACATAAACAACGTACCTAATCTACTCTGATCCAAAGAATAATAGATAAAAGTCAACAACAGTCTCCAACACCTTTCGTGCTAACCTGAAAAATAAATAAAATTGAATAAATCACCAAAACTAATGGAAACAGGTGAAAAAAAAATTTGTAATTATCTTCATTTACTTACTTGTGTTGCTAAAATCATTTCTCATAACACCTGATGGTGGTTATTGTTCTAGCTAAACTCCACTTGTCGTCATCACAACACTACACACATATACACACACAATTAACTAAACACTGAACTACTTATTCACACCTAATTTATGAAAACACGATAAAACACACATAAATATCACTGAATAACATTTACATAATTATTGTCTATCGTTTAAGATTATTTTCAGTCATATTCAATCTATAAATTTACGTATTTTTACATAAAAAATTCACCCGACGCCAAGTTGCAAAAATGGCGTCATTGTTTTTTCTAATACGCAATAAGATGCTTGTATCAAATTACCCATTATTTCATTATGAGCCACTGTCTTTTTATGAAATAAATATTTTCTAATCATATTTGAACATTATTATACATGATTCATGATTAAATTCATCATAATTCCATTATTTTTGGATAATTTGCTCAGACATGTCCATTAGCGTAATGACGCTTGTTATTATTATTGAATAAAAAAACAAAATTCTACTACTAATATAAAAAATATTCATAATTATTACCTCTATTAACTACAAAGTAACATAATTCATTATTTGTGACATAATTTTGGAGTGGATGGCTGTGAATTGGGCTGGATTCAAAATTGTTAATAAAAAATTCAGGAATGTGACGCCATTGTTCGATGCGTCAACAGGCATTGAATTAATCGATGAAAAATATTCAGTATTATGAGCTAGAAAGTGTAGCAGCATGTTATGGCTTGTGTTTAACAAGTTTTTGGCAGGTGAATCATCACCAAAACTCTCTAAACTGCTTGGAACTTCAAAGCAGAATAACGCGGACAACCGTTTGAGTCAAAAGACGACGCTTGACTGAGATATTGATCGCGGCGCTTTATCAATTGCGCGGCCAAACTGATAACTACAATATTGATCTATCGATAAAATTATTGTCGATAATATTAATCACTTGATTACCATAAGTCGCTTTGATTTGATCGATAAATCGATAAAGAAGTCTAAAATCAAAATTTTTAAATTGAAATCAATTTGAATGGTTTTTTTTGTGTTTTAATAAATAAAATTAGATAGAAATCCTTGAATTAATGTGAATAAAAATCTGGTAAATATATTTTTTATAGTAAAATGATGTTTAAAGAATCGATAACCTTCAATTCTATCACGAAAATCAATTTTCATTGAATTTAAATTGAATTCCGAATTCTAATTCTTTCGAAGTTTCTCATTATATCCTTCTTCATCCTCATTTGGTGTTTTTGCGGTGAAATTGAGCAGACTTTGAGAATATTCAAATTTCCTTCCTCCTAATTTATTTTTTTAATAAGACGGAAAATAAGAAGGAACACTGTAAGACGAAAAGAATGGAAAGAATAGGCAGATGAAGAGAAAGAAGAAGAAGAAGATGTTGGAAAAGGAGTTGAAAATATAAGAGTTGAGTAGAAAAAACAGCGATTCGGACCATGCACGAGGTATATACTCTATAGAGAGTTGCTATAGAAACACTAATTCCATCTCTTTCTCTGGCCCTCTGTTAACAGTGAAAAAAGAGCCGGAGAATATAAGGTAAGAAGGAAGGGTGAAAAAAAATAGCGAGGGTGAAAAACCTGGGGGTGACTCAAATAAAAAAACGGATCAATATTAACTCTTTTTTCTGGGGTAGCTCACCAACTATATATAGGCTATCTGCTGATGCCTTCGCTACCCTAAAAACCTTCCTTCTTTTCTTACTTCCCTTCACCTCCCCTCCCTCACTGCTCTTCCACGGCTCCTTCAACCCTTCTCACCCCCATATTTAAATCTGGACTGGAAAAAAATTTAGTTTTCGATTTTCTTTAGTTTTATAACTTGCGTTCCCTAGGGATTCTGTTATTTATTGGTTTTCGAAATTTGTTTTTTTTTTCTTTTTTTTCGCTATCATTTAATGACTTAGTTTGTGCTTTATCATTCAATTTTATTAAATTTAGAGATTAAAAATGGAGGAATATATTTTTTTTTATTCATTTATTGATGAATCTAAGACTGATGAAGATTTTGGATTTTCTTCATTATTTTATAGCTTTGGTAAAAAATTAATTACGAGTAAACTAATGAGAAAAAAAATATTCTGAGACCATGTATGTTTAGTTTAGAACCTGGCAGATCTCCAACGCTTTAATTTAAATCATTTTTGATAACCGGAAGTATCATTAAACTATTACAAAGATAAACCACATTTACCAATAATTACAATGAGATTACAACAAATTTTTTTTTCCTGCTTTTAAATATCAGTAAAGCTGATACGAAGAATGGTAATAAAAAAGACTTTTTTTTTTATACATAAAAAAAAATACTTGTTCACTTTTCGGAGCCAACTATCTTATCTTAATTTAAATAATCATATTCATTCGACTTTTACCTTTTGAAAGCAAGTCAGTAGGCTTCTTGATGTTCTTCATTTTCCGTTTTCTCTTGCCAAAAGAAAATATAATTAATTTCAAGATAACTCTTAATGGTCTTAACTCTTCTCGAGGATCTTGAAGCTCTGAATAGCCTGAAAAAAAAATAAAGTAAGAAAAAAATCAATATTATCGATTGCCATTTCAATTGAATGCCTTGACCTCTCATTTTTTAAGCCACGTTCACCAACACATTAAAAAGCTTTCGTATATTTGTGTGGGTCGATTTGAACTTGTGGGCATTTTTTTTCTCTTTCTCTGCAGTTACCACTTGTGTTTGTCCACTTTCAATGAGACTTCATTCAAGTTCAAGGTCTGCCGTACTCTCCCTTTTATTCTCGTAAATTAAGTGGCACAACATTGGTATTTTTATTTTTATACATTCACGTCAATTAAACGTTATTAATCATCACTATTGCCATTATTTTCTTTTAATCAATTGTTTCCGACACTTCCTGTTATTAAATAATGCTTTAATTGATGTTTTAGTAACCAGTAATTGATAAGATAATAAAAAAAATTTTTTTGTTATTAAAGAGTGCAGAAAAAAGCACTTTATTTCACGGCATGCAGAAAAGAATAATTTTTCTCACGTTATTTTAACCTCTTCAGAATTTTATTCTATGATAATAAAGACAGAAAAAATTTGAAAGAAGCAAATTTTTTGAAATCAGTAAGTTTAACCCTAACTCAGATGTTTTATCCTGAAAAATTCAATATGGCTGCTAGGGCTACATTACGCCTTGCTTAATTACATGAAGATACTTTTCTCGTCAGTGATAGAGGATGAGTAGACGTCGTCGCTGTCGTTGGACGACGTGGTAAACGAAGGAAATCTAACGAGAAGGAAGGGGGGATGAATAAAAGCTTGCAAGAGAGAAAAAGAGATAAGGATAAAAGTAAAAAGGGGCAGAATATTTTTTCTATCTTTTTCTTTCTTTTTTGTCTTTTCTTCGTCTTGACGTTATTTCGCCGCCTTTGTACCAACTTTTCTTATTTCTTCCCTTCTGCTACCCTATCAAGACGCACCACGGCGCAACGCGTAAGATAAGACGAATCACAAGGGCGGTGGGCTTTCTTAAAAAGGGGTGGAATAAGGGAATGGAGGTCTGAAGACAATCGTTAAAATCATTTGTTTATAAATCGCATATTTATTGTTGATATTATTGTTATCATTGTCGTGATAACGATAAGGTTTTTTCTTTATTTTTTTATTTATGAGTTAGAAAGTTAGGAATGATAAATTTTCAGTAATAAAACTACCCTTGAATTATGTGTGTTGGTTTTTTTTATCCCCTAAATTTGCATCTTAAATTCGTGCATACGTCAAACATTAATCAATCGCTTACTAGAATGGAAAAAAAATATTCTAACCCTATCAAATGGGTTAACAGTCTTATTTTTCACCCCCTTTTTATTTCTAGTTTTTTTACTTTTACCCTTTACTACCTCGTTTAGATCCTAGTGTGGTAAAAAAAATTTTTTTTTTAATTTTTTTATCCAATTAGAATAATTAATTCAGTCATGGTTGCATTGAAGAATTTTTTAGATTATTTTTTTTCATCACTTCCGGTTTGTAAAAAAATTTATGAGAACCAATAGAATATGTCATGATATTTGTTTTAAATTATTAAGAATAAATTAATGTTAAATAATTAAATAATTAAAATTTCTTATTTTCATACATCATTTCATTTTAATTCACCGCTAGCTTATACAAATACTAAGGCAAAAAAAAAAAACTTACATCCCTTAATTGTTCGACCTTAAAGCCCATCCATAAGGGGAGAAAAAAGTGTCAAAAAAATTTGTCCATTTTAATTTTAATATTTTCACATGAAAAAACATGATTTTTATCATGAAGTATTTATAAAAAACGACTCGTACATATAAATAAAAAAATTATTCTAAAAATACCAACTTATGAATTTTTACCACTAAAATAATTGACAATAAATTAAATCACTTCCACCCAGATGACTTTGAACAATAATATTAAACAGAGGGTTGTTTTTATTTTTAATATTAAAGACGAAGAATATTTTAAAGAATCAAAGATTTTTTATTTCGACCCTTCGCGGATCCGCGAACTTTTTAGGGGTTGAAAAAAAAATAGGGGTAGTGATCGCGGGTGAGTCAGAGCAATCGAAGCTGTGGGGTAGATTTTCTCTAACCCTCTCTTATATATTTTTTAGGGTGGCCACGGACTTCTTTTTTATCTACAGGGATTCTAAACGCCACAGTCCGGTTTCATCCTTTCCACCCTCCTTTGCACCCCCGCCTCTCTTTTTTCCCATCTTTTTTTTCCTTCCCTGAGAGCATATATATAAGCTACAAGCTTTCACGATCAACCCTAGGACTACGAGAAATTATTCATGAGATGCGCACGAGAGACACTAGCAAGAGAATTAGAAAGGGTTGATGGTAAAAAAAAAATCATTAGGGGTAGATTTTTTTTTAGGCTGACTTGAGATAGTGGATATGCATCTGGAGAACTGCTAACTAATTCATGCTGAAAGAATAAGAATTAAGAATTATAACAGCAATTAATTTAAATATTTAATTTAAACAAAAACATTAATTTTAATTATTATAAAATATTGTTTGGTATTAAACAATACAATTAAATAAATAATGAACTTACATGTATTATTCATTTTTCTCGCTTCTTTAAAAATTTTTTTATCTATGGATCTAGGTTTTGCTCATGTTGTTGAACCTCTGTAATTCTTTTAAATAAATAAATAAACTAAAAATAATAAATACATCCAAGGCTGATGATTTTAAAGATGATGAATAGAATTGAGACTTAATTGTTGTCTTAATGAATCAAATAAAAGTCTTAATTATCATTTAAAGACTCTTCGTAAGATGATTACAATAAAAAATGGATTGATTTATGCTAAAGCAGAAGATGATATTGAATTTCCACCAAGTGTTCCTGTTGGCTCTCAGAAACAATTATGTTTGGATGATGTTGTTACCACAACAACCACTGATTATGAGTCAGTTGGAGAAATCTTAGTTACTGATTTAAAGATGAATAATAATGGTAAAATTGGAATTAATTTAATTGAAGTAGAGGTTGTTGAAAGCTACTCTCCATCATTTTTCTGGATCCATTTGTTGAAAAATAAAAAACAATTCCACATGATGATGACAACTCTAGGGTAAGATCATTTTTGTTGATAATTTAAATAAGAATCATGAATATTAATATTGTAAGACATGATGAATCCTCCAACAGCAGCATGATCTCCAAAGAACGTTGATGAATCATTGCAATGATTTTGATCAGTCTGAAGTTTGGTAGCGTTGTGGAACACAGATGTATTGCCTGTAAAAAATATTTTATTATTAGAAAAGGTTTATTTAATGTAAAATTAATAATATAAATAATTATTTATAAAATGTTTAGATGTTTGTGATTAATTAAAAATGTATTTAATAGTCATCAGCAAAGTAACAATTATAGTTTGGTAAATAACTCAATTCTCATCAATCCCAAAAGCAAAGCAAATTTAAAAAATGAATGAGAAAGAATGGAAAATGAGAAAATTCTTGTCATAACTGAGCAATCTTAAGTGAAATTTTGTATGAATAACGCCAGTCTGACAACGCCATTTAACATTTCGTAATCAGAGTTGGAATATTTAAGTGTAGAAGAAGATGGAAAGTTAAGACAGAGGGTTGGCAATGAGAGGGTGACATTTGCAAAAAAAATTAGGAACGAATTTTTTCTTTACGAGCTAAGGGAAAATATAAAAAAAAGTTTTAGCATCCTATTGAACACTCGTTACTTTCATTACATACCAAAAAGAAACTTTACAAAAATTGTTTTTCAACTTACATAAGAGCTTAAAGAAGTGAATAATAAATTGATTAAATAATTAAAAATAATTAATAAGTGACATTAAATCACTGCAAAGTGAATTGATAAATTTGAGTTTGGTTTATTTAAAAATTAATTACGAGTAAATTAATGAGAAAAAAAATATTCTGAGACCATGTATGTTTAGTTCAGAACCTGGCGGATCTGATACACTCCAATTCGAACGATTTTGGACAACCGGAAGCGACAGAAATTACTCCTTAACATACATAAAGTAATAGAGTCGAAAAAAAATAATTAATAAATTAAATAATAATGAAAAATAATTATTCTTCGCTTCTTAAATTTTTTTCAAACCCCCAAGAGAAAATCGGCGCCTGAACCCAAGTAATTTTGCCTAAAAACGTAATTAGTGTGCGAAGAGATGACGGCTCAAGGGGGTGAGAAAGGGTAGAGAAGAATAAGAGGGGGTTTAAAAAAAAAGGGGGATGAATGTGGGTGCGACGTAAAAAAAATCGTTACCCAAGTGAGAGAAAGAGAAGGCGACTTTTTTCATGTGTCTTAGGGATGAGGTGAAAAGGGTGGTTTCGCCTCTGGGGCTGTTTTCTAACCCCTCGGCCTACTTCCACCCTCTTAAATTTTTCTCACTTGCACTTTCACTGACTTAGACTCGTTCTCCTTATTCTTATTTTTTTTTTTCTTTCTTCTTCGCTTTTCTTACCCTCACGGTCTAAATCCTCGAGGGTGGACTTGGCCGAGGGGTGGCCCATTGAGGGGGTAGAAAAATCGAGGGTGCAACTTCTCAGGACAACTACTGCCGGAAATAAGAAATTGTCAAGCAACCACTTGAAGTGGACGATGATTTTTTTTATTGTCAATTTTAGGGGGTGAGTTACCCCGCTCGTTTTTTTCTTCAAATGACTATAAATTTTATTTACATGTGTTTTAATTTTTTTGTTATTAAAAATTTAAATTAAAAAATTGAAACAATAGATGTCTCAGGTGTTTCTTTCTAGTAACTTTGCTCTTAAAAATATTTTGGGGGTGAATTTTTTAGAAGGCTGACAGCAAACGGAGAAAACAAGTGACAAGTTCACGGTTACTTTCAGAAAATTATGAAATTTATTTCACAACTTTAAAAAGTAACTACACATGAATTTTTCACCCTTAATATAACACCCTTAGGGGGTTGATTTCCACGGGCGGGTCAGGGGGGGGGGAGGGTAGAAAACATATGTATTGATAGATATTATATTTACAAAATTTACTTTTGTATAAATGAAGTCTTCTTTGTTGTCTTATATCTTAAAGATGTTCTTTTCAATTCTGTTTTTCATCTTATTCTCATGCTCTCAAATCGATCCACTTAATGGTGGGCAGCGGGGGTGAGTTTTTTTCCATAGGGATGACTCGCTTTTTCTTCTCTCAAAGAGAATTGCGTTAAAGGGTGTCGAGTACAGACCGAAAAATCGGATTAACGCCTTCGGCATTGTACTTTCATCATTTTCAACCCTCTTAGAACAAAATCCTTCATTTTTTTTTTTTTTCATTTAAACAAACAATTTATTTAAATAAATAATGAAGACATTTTAGAGTTAATTTCGATCAAAGTGAATTCATCAAAGATTTTCGTTTATTTTTCAATCAAGGGAAAATAAAAGTATTCGTGAGAGTAAAATAGAGGGGGGTAAAAAAGGTACATTCGGTCTCCTGATTACAAATTTATAAAGAAATAGATCTCAGGACGTCACTGGTTGCGAGGGTGATGCTGAAAAATACGGTAGTCTAACTCACCCTCGACCACCTCCTTCACGCAGGGGTAATTTTTAAGACGACGTTTTGAATAAAAGTTGAATTAAAAGAAAAGAAATATATTAATGTATTTTTTTTCATTTCCTAAATAAATCTAACTTTAAAAAGAAAATTCTTTTGCCATTAACTCCAAGAAACTTTCAATCATTGATAAACAATGTTTTAAATTAAAAATACTGCTTGGAAAAATTTTCTTTTACGCAATCTAATCTTTAGGGTTTATAGAGCAGAGTCTAAGCTTTCAAATGAACTCTAAATGATTAAAATTGAATAATTATTACCAGAGATATGATTATTCAAATGTTCCCACAATTTCCAAAAACTTGCAAATTTCGCCATTATCTTCAAAAGAGTCCGCCATTTTGCCAAGTAATTAACACTGTGCGCATGTCTCGTATTCACTGAAAGGGTTGAAACCCTTCCTTCTAACGAAAGTATCTTTTCCCCAACCCCAGCAAGACAAAGACCCGAGACCTATCACGAAAGAAGGAGGAGAATACCAGGAAAAAAGTCTATAAAAAAAAAGAAATAAATTACAGATTAATTTACATAGAAAAAATTAATGACGCGTGTCTAGGGTCTTAATATGATTCGGAAGGGTTAAATATTAGCATAAGAATATACTTACAACCCTAAAGCTGACCTACAAGTTGAAAAAATCATTTTTTGTAACCTTTTTTTTTTAGATATTCAAATAACCTCTCTTATCGATCCTCACAATTGTTGAGTTCCTTAAACAATAAATAATAAATAAATAAAATAAAAAACTAAATAATATTTTTCGTCATACTAACGATCTTTTGTATAACAATACCTTAGTCCATGGGGCTTCTTTATCCTTAAATCGTTTGTATATGAAAGTGATTCTGATTGGATTCTATTTAAAAATCGAAAAGAAGACGTTGAAGCAATAGGAAAAGCAGTAGAGAAAGAAAAAATCCACAGGAGATGATTTTTTTTGCCGACCACTTTCCAATAAAGTCGAAACGAAACGTTTATGTATGCACATGAAAACGATTCAAACGTCAATCAAGACATGAGAATGTGTACTGCGATACTCGACACAATTTTTCTTTTTCAATCCATGCTTCCACAAGGGTGTGAAATTTTTTTTAACATTTTTTCTAACCTCGATACTTTTTTTCTTTTTTTTATATCGCTTGCCAATGATTACAAGGCACTGCAAAATCATTCTAAAAAAAATAAACATTAGAAAAAAAAACCTGCTTGAATTACTGAACGTCATTCAGAACTTGAATATTTCTTTATAAAGTAAATCTGTGGCAGTCAATTTAAAAAATCGTTACTTACATAGAAATTTCATTCTCACTTTTGAAAATGATAGAAAAAAATCTATTCCATCCAATATCATTTTTACAAGCCATGATGCTGACATCCAAACAGAATGAAGTTGATGATAAGGGTGGTGTCGATATATGTACATTTATAATCGATATCGATTATCGACAATTATTTTTTAATTATAAGGCGCGCGAATATTTAAATTTTAAGGGTAGACTTCCCTAACCTTAAATCGTCTCAAATTTTTATCATCAAATTAAATATTTTTTGTTTGTTTTTTTCATGTGAAAAATATTTATAAGTGTTGAGAACAATTTTATAAATGAGAATAGATAAAGTTTGACTGTGTAAGTGCAGTAATAGTCATATTATAATAAATAATTTTTCAGTTAATTCAACGGTGTCATGGCGGGCATCCTTATCATGGGCTTTCTACTACAAAATAATAATTATGCAATTATTACTGCACTTACATCATTAAAAATTTTTTTCCCTGTATATCATTGTTCTCACATAAATATTTTTTACATGAAAGAAAAACCAATTTCGAGGTTAGGAAAGCCCAGTCTTAATAATAAAAAATTTAATGTCAAAAATTTTTTAATGTAAATAAATAATTACGTATTTTTAACCTAAAATAATGAATAAATGCAATAAAATTTGGATATAAAAAGATAGAATACACACGATTGATACAAATACAGCTGAAAAGTAGTTTCCAACGAATTTCGTGAATATTTTTTACATTCATTTCCATCTACTGACAACATAAGGTGAATAGAACAAAGAAACTACTTGGTACGTGATTGAATAGAGAGGGAAGAATGTAAATAATGCGCAAAGTAGTCACAACACGTCGTGCCAAACAAATAAAGGTCGATGATTGGTTGGTTCAAATGACCAGCATGAACCTGACACAATCTCCCACCTCGACCAGCTCAAGCATTGCCGGTGTTTGATGTTCAGTGATATGTAATACTCGTTAATGAACGATAGTGTAGGCAGTAAAAAGATTAAAATAATAAACAATGGTTAATTCAAAGGATATTGATGATATTAATGCTGCAATTATTGCTCTGTTGAGAGTTCAAAAAAATCAAACAATCCCAATAATAAAGATTGACCGGAGATATTATGAAGAAACCGGAGCACGCATTCCATACAAGAAATTAGGATTCCTAAACCTCGTTGATTATTTTAAGACTGTGCCTGGTGTTGAAGTAATTACAGTGGATAATGTTAATTACGTAAATGTTATGGGAATAAAAAATTCACAACACAATTGTGATCATCAAACTAATCAAGAAAAATCTGTAACTCCAATAAATTCATATGGATCTATCAAAAAAACTTATAAAAATGTTCCACAATGTATTCTTTCTATTTTGGAAAAATCATCAAGAGGTTTATCAAAGACAAAATTGATAAGAGAATTGAGACTTAATTATTGTCTTAATGAATCAACTAAAAGTCTTAATTATCATTTAAAGACTCTTCGTAAGATGATTACAATGAAAAATGGATTGATTTATGCTAAAGCAGAAGATGATATTGAATCTCCACCAAGTGTTCCTGTTGGCTCTCAGAAACAATTATGTTTGGATGATGTTGTTACCACAACAACCACTGATTATCAGTCAGTTGGAGAAATATTAGTTACTGATTTAAAGATGAATAATAATGGTAAAATTGGAATTAATTTAATTGAAGTAGAGGTTGTTGAAAGCTACTCACCATCATTTTTCTGGATTCATTTGTTGAAAAATAAAAAACAATTCCACATAATGATGACAACTCTAGGGTAAGATCATTTTCGTTGATAATTTAAATAAGAATAATGAATATTAATATTATAAAAAATGATTGGGAATTTTTTTTTAGAGAATTTTATGCGTTACATTATCCAGACCAGAAGGTTCCAATTGCTAAGCTCAAACGGGGATTAAATATTGCTTGTTTATTTGACGGAAAATGGCATAGAGCGGTGATTAAAAGTATTGATCCTAATGACAAAGTGACAGTGAGTAGTCAACAAGTATCATAAAAAGATAAAGATGATATTTATTAACTAAATTTTTTAAACATCTGTACAGGTAATGTTCTATGACTTTGGTACTCTATACAAGTGTCTATCTAATGAAGTATATTATCTTCATCAGTCATTTATGGATCTTCCAGCTCAAGCTGTTCCATGTAGATTGTATGGTGTTGCTCCTCAGGATGGTGATAAATGGCCCAAAAGAGTTCGAGATTTTTTTAATCAGTGGGTTTATGAGAGACCGCTATGGGCTAACATAATTGAAGCAGACGTTAAGGTATTGTCTCATACTAATATTAACTATCATTGCTTCACACTCTGCTAATACAGTTTTAATAATCATTTTTTAGAAAAAATCAATATCAGTTACTCTAGTGGATACCTCAGAGAATGATGACTTTATCATCAACGACTGGTTGATTCATAATAAAATGGCAAAAGTGAAACGAGTGGTTAGTAACTCATCATATTAATTTTATTTTCAACCTATAATAATAGATAATGTTATTAACTGTATCTATAAACGATTTTCTATTAAAATATTTAATAGCAAATAATTTTCTATTAATCATTATTCTAAATGTTTTTAGGGCTGTGTTGATCCAGAAGATTTAAACCTATATGTTTATGAATTTAGTGAATATTATATCGATGAGGATGGAGAGTATGAGACAGTAATTCCAACAACTCGTTATCCAGAATCCAATAGTGGACCTATTTTATCTATGAGCAGTTCACCTAAAAGTGTTGGTTCTTTAAACAACAAACTTGAACTACATGATTATGATTGGAAAGCATTCAAAGCTCAAGTGCGAAAAAAGATTGATGAATTCATTGTGTTAACTTTAAAAATGTTTGATGAATTTATGAAAAAGAATATGGAGTCAAATGCTGATGGAATCATTCAAAACTTTATTGGTGAATCATTAACTGATTCAATAATGGAGATCTTGTTTTCTTTTCTTGATTTAGATCTTCAAGCACAATTTTCAAATGCCTCAGTTGTTTCTTCGAATGAGTCTATTGCTGATATAGATGATGAACGATCACATACAGTTAATAAGTCTGCTGAAGAATCATCATCATTTGATAATATCTCCAATTTAATATCTAAAGTTAGAAACAAAGTAACAATACGAAGTCATCCAGACACATTAGTTCAAAAAGCAGTCTCAAAATTTTTCAAAAGTAGAATTATTAATAAGTCAGAAAATTCGAGTTCATTTGCAGAAAGTATTATGAATATAAATCCGTTTGAACCAGATTTTTTTATCAATGATAAGTTGAAAAAGAGTGAAACTGAACCACCACCGTTACCTCCTAGACCATTTAATAACTCGTCAAATCATTGGAATCCTTTCCTATGATCAAAGGTAAATCCAATTAAATTTGTCACTTATAAATTAATAAAATAATTATTAAAAATTTTTTATTGTTATAGTGATGACAACGAGCTATAATCTGTGTTTAAAAAATCAAACATATCCATTTATGTTTTTAAATATTTATTAATTTTTAATAACATTTTTATAATGAGTGCTAATCATGGTTAATTAATAAGGTTTCATCAATCTTGAATTTAGTTGTGAATTATTATTAACGTTTCGGTGTTGTAAACACCAATAATTCAATGAATTTAGTATTAATGTTTTTCTTTTTATTATTATTTAAACAAAAGAAACTTTTCTTTATTAATAATTGTCTTTTAAATGTTGAATTATTTTAGTGTTCATAAAGTTTCATCATTTCATATCTTATATTTTAAAGACCAACGTTGTTTGTTCATTAAATATACTTATTATTAGTTTATTAATTCGTTATTGTTTATTTATAATTTAAAAAAAAAGAATTTTAATTCAGTATCCTTAGAATTGTTTTGAATTATTCTGTGAAGTGTTGACAACTCTAAGCAATGGAATTTCATCAACATGTGTACCAACTTTACTAAAATAGTCTCGAGAGTATCGATATCTCGATGTAAACAAACATTCAGAATAACTTTTGAAGCAATCATCAACTTTAATAATGACTGGAAAAACACTTCTAAGTTCTCTTTTGCATTATAAATGTAGACAAAAGTTTTATTCAACGACAAAAATCAAAAGGTTTGTAGTACCTGATGAATTAGTACCTTGGGAAGTGGAGTTTCCTGGATATGATCCAGCTTATTACACTGCTACTGATGGAAAACCTTGGGCAGATAAAAATATCGGTGATGTAGGATTCCAGCCTAAATGGAATGCTCAAGATGGTAATTAATTTTATTTAAATAATTGAGTATTTGATTTACAATATTTGTAATGAATTATAGGTGATATAAATCGACAAAGTTTGACAAAAACCTATCGAATCACTCAGGATGGTTATCCTTTGAATCCTATAGGCCGGACTGGTATCAAAGGACGAGGTTTATTAGGTCGTTGGGGACCTAATCATGCAGCAGATCCCATAGTAACTCGCTGGAAGCGTGAAAATAATGGAGACAAAGAAATAAAAATGGATCCTACGACTCAGAAACCAGTACTCCAATTTATAGGAATCCAGAGAAGAGATACGAGAGAGTGGGCAATTCCGGGAGGCATGGTTGAAGGAAATGAAGTGATTTCATCAACATTGAAGCGCGAGTTTATGGAGGAAGCATTAAATTTATTGGAAAAACAAGATAAAAATCCAGAAGAAGTTAAAGGATTTAAAAAAGAAGTTGATAAATTGTTTGAAAAAGGAGAAAAAATATTTCAAGGCTACGTTGATGATCCTAGAAATACAGATAATTCATGGATGGAAACGAGAGTATTTAATTTCCATGATAATGATGGAAGTTTATTGGATAAAATAACTCTTGAAGCTGGAGATGATGCTGCTGATGTTAGATGGATGGACATTGATAATAAATTGAATTTATACGCAAGTCATAGCAAATTTCTGCAGTTAGTTGCACAAAAACATGATGCTCATTGGTAGATAGTCATTATAAAATAATTTTAATTTATTATTAATTATAAAATAGTGGAAGAAATATTTGTATATTTTTAATAAAATTCAAATTTCCCGCACTTATTAATACACGCCCAGTTTTTTCTTTATGGTGTTGGTAACACTTTTCTGGCTAACTTCACTGTAGTCATCAAATCGTTGCGATCTGCCATTTTTCCGAGTCCGGCAAATTGCTTTGGGTTCGGTAGAGTAAAAAATAATATAAAAAAGTAATTTAATAAACGATTTTGTAATAATTTTATAAACAATTAATTACAATCATGACTGTGCCAGCTGTTTTTATGGATTTACCACCTGAGGATCAGGTAATTATCGCAAAAAGATCAATTTTATTACAAGAAAATTCTACCTAACCTTAGAAAATAAAAGAAATATTGACAATTAATACCAGAAATTCCAGAAATAAGATTTTCAAATATTTTTTAAGGTTATATTTATTTATTTATTCAATCTCTATTTATTATTCATACAGGCACAAGAACTCAGGATTTATTTCAAGAGTTTAGGAGCAGAAATCAGTGATGAAAAGTCTCCACGTGGAATAGAGGACGATTTGCACAAAATAATTGGAGTTTGTGATGCTTGTTTTAAAGAGGGAAATGAAGTAGAGATTGAGAATATCTTGAATGATATCGTTTCAATATTAATTCATGTAAGAAAAATAACTTAACTCATTAAAGCATGAAAACTTTATTAGCATAATAATAAACATATTCTTTAATAAATAACAATATTCATTGGTTTTAGATACCTGTAGAACGTGCGGAAAATCTTATCTTAGTATTTTGTGACAAATTAAAGAAAGCTCCAGGCCAGAAGCTCGGACTTGTGTGTTTAAAAGCGTAAGTTAAATCAAAACTAGAGTCTTTGTTTTAAAATAACCTTAAAACATAACATAAATGACACCTTTTTTGTAGATTATGGCTGCTTTTCCAGTCATTAGAAGAAAAGTCTCCAATGAGATATCATGTCTACTATCATTTGGTCCAGGTAGCACGTAATGTTGGTCAAGTTCATGCAGTTTACAGCGGGGTTGAACAATTAAAGGAACAATTCAAAGCTTTTCCACCAAATAATGAACAAATGCAAAAATTACTGCGTCTCTTGCATGAAATTTTACTTAGCTGCAAGCAAGGGTAATTTCTAAAAACTCTTTCAAATATATTTTACTTCTATTTTATTTTATTTCATGGTATAATTGGTGTTGTTAATATTTATTCTATTACAGAGATCGAGCAGCAGCAGTAATGGTGGAACTGTTAGGTACTTATACAGCAGAGAATGCCAGTGAAGCTCGAGAAGATGCTCAACATTGCATTCAAGCAGCTTTAGCTGATCCAAATACTTTTCTACTGGATCCTCTACTAGCTTTAAAACCTGTGAAATTTTTGGAGGGTGAAAATATCCATGATTTGTTATTTATTTTCGTCCAAGAAAAATTACCTGCTTATATTAAATTCTATAAAGAACATAAGGACTATGTTGAACACACTGTTGGTAAGAAAATAAACTTTAATTATTACTAATTAATTCTAAATTTATTCGACTAATTTTTTATTCGTTTTAATGAAGGTTTAAATCACGAGCAGAATATGAAGAAAATGCGACTCCTGACTTTTATGCAGCTTGCAGAGACCAATCCAGAAATGTCGTTTGAAACGATACAAAATGAACTGCAAATCGAGGAGAAAGATGTCGAGAGCTTTATAATTGATGGTAATTTTTTTATATTTCTCTGAAACCAATCCTGGATGGAATTGAAAATAATTTTTATTTAAATCAATAAAAATTGTTTCTATCCAGGAGATATTAAATTGGATCAGTACTGGCTTGAGAACGATCTTCATTTAGTTCTTGAGTTATCGTAAAATTCAACAAAAGAATTTAATTTAGATAATTGATGAATTAATGACGTTTTTGTTTATTAATTTTTAGTGTTGAAAACCAAATTAGTCCGAGCAAGAATGGATCAAGCCAACAAGAAAGTCCTCATCTCCAGCACAATGCATCGAACTTTCGGTCGCCCACAATGGATGCAACTCCGTGACTTGCTGGCAGCATGGAAAACAAATTTATCATCGGTTCAAGATGGAATGAAATCTGTTGCCGATGCTCAGATGGAAATGGTGATGAGGGGGCCAATGCCTTCTAAAGCTCTTTAATCACTTTGTTTTCATTTATAAATTTTTCCATACCGATGTAAATACTAAATAATTGGAAGTTAATTCATTAATTTATCTCATTACTCTGCTCCACACTTGTCAAGCTAATTTGGGTGACAATATTCAAAAATGAAAGAAGTATTAAATTATAAATGATTTAGTTGAAAATTGAAATAACCATGAATCAGCTGTCAGTTTTTTTGTAAAAATGTTTCAATCAAGATAATTTAATAAATTTTATAAACAAAAAAAAAAACTATTCTATTTATTTAATCATTGTTTCATTTATTTAGTTCATATTCCAATCAATAAAAATTACATAAATTTTATTTGAACATTCAACAGTTCAGGAGGCTACAAAAATTCAGGTCACAATTTTTTTTATTTCTTTCAAATGATTACCAACAAAAAGTTTCGTATTTTTTTTCTTATTCAATTATGATATTTGTTTATTGTTAATGAACTATTCATTTGTTTTTTATTTCTATGACAATAAAAAAAACTGTGTATAAAAAATACTTATAAATAATCACAATCATATTAGTTGATTATAAAAAGCATAATAATAATAATAATAATAATAATAATAATAATAAATGTAATACTAATATCAATGTTTATCAAAGGAATAAAAATAGAGGACACAGTCCTCAAGAATATGAAAGACAATTATTAGTTGATTTTGTTGATAATTAAATTTAATATATAAGATGAAAAAAAAAAAGAAAAAATAAAAATTATATTTATTATTTTTTATGGTTTCCCTTTCATGTAGGTAATAATAATTTACCAACATTATCATACTTCCATTATTCATAATATAATAAATTTTTTTTTTTTTTCATTTTCTTAAAATAAATTTGCAAATTTTTTTGTTTTTCGTTTTACATGTCATAGAATATTTTAATGATTTTCAATGTTATGTTTTATAAAAAGCATTTTTATATAATATTAATATATTTCTTGTTTGTTAATGTTATGCAATTTGTGTAATGAAGCTAAGGATCATTTTTATTTCAAATTGTCAATGTTTTTATGTTTATTATAAACAATTTTATCATCACGTTTCAATTCAGTCATAATGTTGGACTTATTTTTGTATGTAATGTTTAAAATAATATTAATTGTGTATCAAATATAGATTACTTATTGTTTATTCCTCAAATTTGAGTAGAAAATCGTGGACGTGGCAAATCTCCAAAGACTGTATCACCATGAACGCTCTTTGCTAATGCTTTGATTGATGCACGGATATTATTCGGATCCCTTGGATCCATTGATAACTAAAAATAAATAAATAGTAATGAAATAAATAATAGATAATTAATAAAACAAAAAAAATCATCAATATCTAATAATAAAATTACCTGATCTTCATTTTGGTCTTGGATCAGTCTTCCAAATGAAAAATTAGGTACACTAACAGGCAGTGACTTAGCGAGAGTAGGATGTCCACCCCTCTGTCCTCGAGGAATATGAATACCTTCATCCTGACCAGAATCTAAAACATCATTATCATGAAATGAATAAGTTAATTTTAAAGAAGATGAAGTAACTCGGATATAAATTATTCTAATTTTATTTAAATCATTCTTACCATCAGTATCAATTTCATCTTCAGAAATCTCTATATTATCCGAATCATCCATGCCTTCGAATGGAAAAATGACCTCATCCTCATGATTCTTTAAATTTTTCTTCTCCTTTTTCTTCAATTCTTTTTGGCCCACAGTTTTATTATCAATCTCCTTCGGAGTCAACCTGAGAACTTCTGAACTACTAGTATTCTGTTCAATTCCTTCAAAGCTCGATATTTTATTTATTTTCGGCGACAAGATAGAGTGATCTGCCTTAACAAATGCCTGATCTACCGTTGAGACAACTTCTGTTGAACCAATTCCAAATTTTTCCAACTTGTTGATGTCACCATCCGTTACACTAACATCTTCTATTTTTAATAAATCACTATTGCAAACTTTTTTAGCAAGTAAACAATATTCTCGATATCCACGTTCCTTGAACTCATCTAAAAATTCATACTGTTCAGCAACAAACTTCTTAATCTTTTCATCAATTTTTTTCTTCATATTCTGATACCCCATTTCATACTGTAATTGTAAATGACTTATAGTAGAATTTAATGTATCTGATAATTTCTTTTTTGATAATATTTTGTACTCTTCATCAATATTATCATCATCATCATCGTCATCATTATCACTGTTATTATTAGAATTATTAAACTTTTTATCTACAATAATTTTATAAATCTTACTATAATTAACATTTAATTTTAATTTTTTATAATATTCAACATTATTATCACTATTATCAGTCGGTAGTATCATAGTATTGTTAATTAACAATTTATAATTATGGTAATCATTATCATCACTTGGGTTATCATCATCATTCATGTGATTCTTTGTTTCATACCTTTTATTTAATGCATGTGTGTACATTAAACAATTAATACAACGACTGATTGTCCAATTATCAACAACTTTCTCGTAAATTAGTGGATGTTGTCGTTTCATTATTTCGTAATTGCTTGATGATGGTGATGTTAAAGCTAATAAATCATGTTGAAAAAATTCACCGGCAAACTTTTTTAATGGTGATGTTATTGATGTTGGTGATTGTGATAATACCGGTTCCACATGATTATTATCATGATAATTAACTATTTTTATCGGCTTCAATTCACAATTATCACGAATTTTTATCGTGATATTTAAACATTTACACGATAAAAACATGTTTTTCAGTTGTTTGTTTGTTGCTTTTTAGTATTTATTATTTACTATTTAAAGACAATAATGATTATGTAGATTTTTTTTGTTTGCTTAAATTAACAAAAAAAAATCAATTGTTATCAATTTGTACTTTAAGATTGTTGATAAAGTAATGAAAGAAAAAAAAAGTTGAAATTCAATGTGATCACAATAATAAAAATATATTTTTTATCCTCTTTTTAGGTCACTCTAGGTCGTTTACACTCACTTCCAATTCAAATAAATAAATAGCTTATTAATAAATTAATCAAAATTATTCCGAGAACAATGATATCACTTGTTAGATGCTTCCAATAAGTTAAATTCAGATCATTTTTTGTAAGTAGCTCTATTTAATTTATTCCTTCGATTTTCTTCTAATTTTAAAACTGAATTTTGTTTTTCTTTGATTCCACTTTGTCTTTTCTTTATATTAATTCATGTGAGAATTTTGTCATTTTATTGTTGTTTATGTGAATTTAACTTTTCCATTATAGTTTGAAGGTTATGGTTGATAAAATTTACCTTTAGTTTAATTTAATGATATCTGAATAATAATTTTTTTTATAGTTAATTTATTTGAAGAACTTTTAAATGTTTTATTTATAAACCCATCGAGAATTCGAGATGACGACGTGAGAGTTCTCACAACACTAAAATCACTCACGTACACAAAGAGTCTTTGGCTTGACAACGAACAAAATGCACAAGACGCCATGGCAGAAACTGGCAGTCAGAACAAAAACATACTACTGTAGTCATGTTGAAGATCTTTCATATCAAGTATTTTATCACGAATTAGTTTAAAATGCCCTAAAAATGATTCGTAATTTCAATTAATAATTTTTACAGCATTAATTAACCTAATCTTTTATTTTTTAAGAATGTTTAATAATAAATTTCATCAACAATTAATAAAAGTACTTCATTTGATTACGCGGGAATATTTGAATTTTTTTTTTTAATGTCTTCATATCTATTAATTTGAATAATTTTGTATTGATATAAAATAATTAATATTTAATTAAATATAGAAATAAATAGTAAAATAATTTTTATCAAAAACATAGATTTATTTTTTATTCTAAATAAAATTTTATTAATAAACAATTTGTAATAAATAATTAAAAATAAACTTAAATGCATGTGATAACATTGTTAAATACAATTTCCATGATAAATAAATTCTTTTCTCATTAACCAATACAAATATTCTTCATTCTAGTCCATTCAATATATTTTATTTACACTTTATATATATCAGATGAAGTTAAACACAGCTGTTAATATGTCTTTATCACTTAGCCTTCATTAATCTCGTTCAAGACTACCTCTGCGTTTGAAATATTCATTGAATCGTGTTGCAGCAAAGCTAAAAATAAAAAAAGTCAATAATAATTATATAGCTTTTATAATATCATTTATTATTACACATTTACTTACTTAAGGAAATCAAAATCGATTGTCGAATGTTCGTATTGTATAAGAGCCCAACAGCCCCACAAAAAATGTGCTAACAAAACAAATTTATTGATTTGTTTGAATAACACTGTTACCTCATCTTCAGATACATTACTTGATTGTTTGTATGCTTGTAAATAAATTCGTAGCCATGAACGTTGATATGTTTCATCTGGATACTGTGAATAATCAATTTCCTCAACACCTACGAGTATCAAAGCATAATTATTATTTTTAGAGTAATTATTAACTCATTCAATCACGCTTGTACATTAAAAATATTTTAATCATTTATATTTTAGTTTAATTTATTTTTCATCATTTATAGTTAGTGACACAAACCACCAAGACTGAAAGAGTTAGTAGAGTAATTAGAACCTAAGATAATAACATACCAGCAAACTCAGCGAAATGATTAGCAATATCAAATGCTTGATAATTAAATCCAGAGTATTCAAAGTCAATAAAAGTAACTGTGTGATTTTCTTTATCATACAGAATGTTTGCTAATAATAAATCATTGTGTGCATAAACGATTGGACTGTCGAGTTGTGTCAGATGATTTTTCAACAATTTATATTCATCTGCCAATACTTTGTAAGGTTTAATAAATTTTTTGAACCTGAAAAAATTTTTTCCTCTTATTTAAAAAATTAGAGTAATTAAAAATAAGTGACTCAATTCTTAAATAATACTAACCTTGATTGTTTAATTGAATCATCAAATTTCTTTGGCATCAATTCCATAAACCTTTCAATTTTTTTCCAAATAACTGGCTCTTTAGAGCCACTGAAACCATCGAATTTCGGAAGACACTCTTCAGGACATAACCTGTGCATTTGAGCAAGTCGTTTAGCAACTAAACAATAAATCTCCGGCTTTTTAACTGTTTCAGGTGTCAAAATTTCCCCTGGTAAAAATTCGTACGCCAATCCATTGTTGAATGTCGCATAGAGAGAATGCGTGTATCCTGCTTTATTCATAATCTTCAAGAAAGAAAAAATAGTTAGAATAAATTACATAAGTTGTAGAGTAAAAATAATTGTTTTTTATTAGAAAACTAAGTAATTATGATCAATTTACCTTGATATTTCTTATTTCATCTTTACGGTCTATTAATAAATCCGTTTTATTGCCGTAAATTCTCACTAATACCATTTCGTCATAACGATCTGGGAGATAGATGCCAATTAATTTGTTGGTAATGCCATTGGTGAAGATCTAGAGCCACAAAATAATTTATTTTTAAATATTAGAAAGACTAGGCCTAAGATTTGTATGATTTATTTAACCTTAAAAATATGAACTTACATTTTTAAAGTTAAATAAATGTTACAAATCTTTTTTTAGTTGATAAAAGTATAAAATTAAATCTTTACCTTGTATTGTAATTGATCATAAGACCAAGTCGGACGTAGTTTGCTTACAATTTTCTTCGCACCATCAATAGAATCATTTTCATCAATTGTAAAATCAATATGATCCTCTTCTGATATCAATTCCATCACTTTAATAAACCAAACATTTTCATTACTGTCGTTGTTGAAAAAATACAGTATTAAAATAAATGAAAACCATTGTCTTGTCTGGTCATAAAGATGTTCAATGATAAAGATAAGAATAGTAGACTTGTAAAATGAAATGATAGAAATAATGTTTGCCAGTGGTAATGGTTGATGAATAATAGAGTAAATTAGAAATAAAGTTTATTCAATTGGTTTTATAGATAGGACAATAACGAAATATTCTTACCATAATATTGCAGATGTAACTGAGACTGGTCACACAAGTGTACATAATTGTAACAAATCACGAGATCTAATGAACTTTGATCATCTCAACAATGAAAAAATTTACACTCTTTACATTAAATGATGTGATAGCTTTTGATTGAGATTAAATGCAAGGTTATTGATAAATATATTGAGCGAAAGATTTTAATAATATTATAAAGAGTTTAATTTATCATTTATAGGTTATTAAATATAGGAGTTAAATAAAAATTAAATAATAAATAATAAATAGATTGTATAGATGATTGATTGAAAGTCTACTTTGGTAGAAAAAAAATGTAAATGCAACGAATATAAACACCTATTGAATTCCTTATCACTAAAAATTAATTTCACTTCATTCTGACCTACTTAGTTGTATAACATATTCTGAACCCCCATTATGTCAATTATAAATATGACAGGAAGCCTACAATATTTTTATTGATGATGTACTCGATATGTTGGTGTATGACATGCGTTATCACTGACGCTAAAAAAATATTGCGAAATATAGAAGCGCAAATTCTAAAACTTCGCGGGGGGCAAGTGGTTGCTTAGTACGTGCACCAACCACAGAGAGCCTTACTAACCTCTTTTTAGGCGGGTAATTTCAAATTTTTTGAATGTTTTATATTATCAACTGTTCATAAAGTCGTTGAGTTGATTATTGGACACAAAAGTCCAACGTTATCATCTCTATCTCTATTTTTTATTCGCTATTTAGCACTTCTTGTCATCCAGGACGAATACAAATAATTGAAAAATACTTTCTGACAGTCCTTGAATAAATAAAGGTATGATTTATTCTTCTAAAAGCTATGATAAATATTGTACATCTCTTTAACATATTAATTATTAACTGTATAGAAGGTTATCTTATGTAATATAAAAATTGTTGAGGTTAGAAATGAAAAAAAAGTGATGACTTTTATTTGGTTTCAGCTTCAAGATGACTAATTTGTTCACACCATTTACTCGTAACATCTTCACAGATATTTTTGGAACATTGATGAATTTCCAGCAAAATGAAAGATGTGCACCCTACGAATTGCGACTTGTTGATTGTTTAGAAGCTTATGGTGTTCATCACAGTCAAAAAGCTTGTAAACCTTTGCTAGAGGATTTTAGAGAGTGTGTATATAGATGTAAACAAGAGGCACGAGTTGATATAATGAGAGAAGAACGAAAAAGGCAAGTGAAAGATGGTGAGAGAGCTCCAGAAGATGAATTTGCACCAGCTCCACCTTCTATCGATTGAAGTAAGAATAATCTTGTTATAATTAATCATTAAGAAAGCAAAATAATTATTGTAATAATTATAATGTAGTAATCAATTGAATATTTAATTATTATGGATCAAATTCACAAATTGTTTTGATTATTTTAAACACTAGAATCACCAACAATCCATCAAATATGTCGACGGAGAAAAAAATGTTCAAAGTTTGTAGAATAATTGGATTATTTTTAAATAAAACTATTTTCTACTGAGACGAAATTTTTTCTCTCCGTGATTTAAATAAAACTAAAATAACTTTTAAAAAAGAATCGAAATGAGTGATGATTTTAGGTCCAGGTTTGTGAACTTTAAAACACTGTTAATAAATGAATTAATAAAAGTAATACTATATTTCAATACTAATTAAATATAAATATACATATGTATGTATTTATATCGATTAAAATTCATTCACAACTGCTTACAAGGCACCCATTAAAATTAACGTATACATTATTATAAATATCTGTCGTTATTATCAAATTAATAACATCATGAATTAATCTGTAAGATGATTAATTCAATTATTATTTAACAATGATGATTTATTTAAAATTCAAAAACTTCAACATTTATCTCTTCTGTTTATTAACGGTAAGTACGTTGGTAATTGGTTTTATTAATTATATTGGACGTTATAATTGATTTATCGTGAGCTGTTAAAAAGAAGAAAAAAAAAGAAATGTTACAATGATTTCTGAAAAAAAATATTTATCCAGTTTAATACAATAATTCATAATTAATAATATTTTAAAAAAGATCAGTTGCCAGATTTTATAATAAATTCTCCTCAACTTTATAATTATTTACAGTTATTTTAAACATCTTAATTATTGGAATATTTTTAAAAATATTTACATAATCGTAGAAAAAAATTCATTTTCTTATTTTATGGAGCAAGTAATCGAAATAAACAAATCAAAAATTTAATTGCTTGCAATTACTTTGAACATTATTGCCTGTTCTTTATCATGTATTTAAGTACATTTGGCAATGACAATTAAGTACTATTTTGCCTTCAATTTTAATACTCTTATAGAATTTAATACTTTTGTTATTGAAAGAGGCAATTTTTTATTGCTATATACGAATAAAAAAACTCTTATAGCTGCATACGATTTTAATTAATTTCAATTACTCTTGAGGCACTTGAAAGGCTTTTTGAAGAATTACAAATACTTAAAACTTTCACTAATTGAGTTTTCGCAGTTTATTTGGGTAAAAAAAGTTACCCTTTAACGATGAAGACCACCTGTCTGGTCATGATTAAAATGATTTGTGGGGCTGATGATTGAATTTTTGTTTATAATATATAAAAAATAAATATTCAATAAGTAAAAATGCCTTCATGAAGTGCAACTCCAGTTAAATCAACTATTTCGTCAGCTTCTTCATCGCTAGCACTTCCAGTAGCAACACTTTGAGTTGATTGATGACTTCCTGAGGATAATTGACTATTCCTCGAGTACGAACCACGTCTTGGAGCAGCCATTGCTGCTCTTTGGTTCGCTGGTTTCACGGTAATTATTAAATTCGATGAATTTGCAATCATCATGTCAGTTACCTGTAAATGAATTCATCAAATATTAGCAAAAATTATTTTTTTTGAAATTTCGGAGCAACTTTAAAAGATGTATAAATATAATTATTCACATACTTGGTCAAGAGTTTTTCCTGCCACTTCAATTCCATTGACTTCCAACACTTCATCGTTGACTGCAAGCAGTCCAGTGCTTTCTGCTAAACCTCCAGGAACCAAACGACTTATAAAAACTCCAGGAACTTTTTCAATTCCTCCACCAGCTGATGGTGGAAGTATTCGAAAACTTTCACCATCTTTTATGTAGAAACCTAGAGGTTTATCTGATCCATGTTTTAATAAACGTACTCGTCTACAAGTTTCTGGTAAAATATCAACATCAATTATTGCAGAAACCTGTCGAAAATCATGTGGATTGGAGATAGCCAAGGATTTTGGTTTTCCCGGAGTACCTCCAAGGATACTTGAAATCAAATTTTTTGGTTTTAATGTTCCACCACCATTAATATCCTCTAAACTTTCTCCATGTCTAGTGATAAAGACTTTCAATAAAGGCTTTGCTGTTAGTATCGCTCTTGCCAAGTTATTATCATTGTTTATAGGCAATGAATCACCATCAGTAGGGTCTGTGTATCGTATTAAAAAGTTCTCGTCTTGGTGTAACTCATGTTTCTTGGCCAATAGTTTTCTAAATTCGTCATAAGTAATTTCTTCATTTTTGTTGATTGAAAATCGAATAATATCAGCGTCGAACTAGATAAAAAAAATGATCGTCATTGGTATTTAAATGTATATCAATAAATAAACTATCATTTAATATGAAATTAATGAAATAACAACTTACTTTACTCTTTACAGCAATGATATTGCTATCAAAATGATGATGTAGTTTGCTTTTAGACATGGTTTGATAATTAATGGTAATAAAGATAAATATAAAAGCAGTTAATTAACAATGATTTCTCCAAAATACTAGCGATCAATAGCAATAATATATCGTTCAAAACGGTAAAAAAATAAATTTAGAAAATAAAAAACTATTTGAGACATCAGGAACACCTGTTCATTTCGAGCACTTGGCACGCCCGTCGAAAATCAGCCCCGTAATTTCACTCCAATCGTTCTCTCGTAGAAGATGGAAAAGAATATGTGATATAAACTCAGGTTTCATCAGTGTTTTGGTCCACTTATTTAATTGTTTTTATGTCTACACTTCACTTATGTACATATTTGTACTAAAAAATTTATAACAATGATTATTTTAATGACGCAATTTATTAAAATTACTAAAACTAAATGTTGTAACGCGATTTACTTGACTATGAACAATCTTGTTCACCCCACCTCCGCGCCTCCAACATGTAGCGTCGAAGGTGTTTGATGGAATTGCAGGTGACAGCACTGTATTGCCGCGAAATTTTTAACGTTTTAAATTATTGAAGGAAATAAAAAGTTTCAAGCATGCTTATTATTTAATAATTATCACAATAAACAATTGAAAAGTAATAATTATTGTTTACTAACAACAAAATCTCAATTTATCTTTTAGGTTAATTTAGATAATTTAATTTTTTTACTAAAATTTATTAATAACATTTTTCTATGAAACTGAGAATAATTTTCTTTTATATAATTAATAAAAATTTTTTTAATTTAATTATAAATCCACGAAAATTATTATTTATTGAACAAAAAAAAATTTAAACAAAATTAGAAACGCGAGAGCGCCATCTATAAATTAATGAACACGCGCCACCTACAGAAGAATTCCGAATTAATCCAAATTCCAGTGCTCTAGTGTCAATGGCACAAGGTGTCAAGACCAAATTAAAAATGATAAAAAAATAATTAAATAATAAAACCGCATTGATTACTAATTTTTTTTATTAATCATGGCTTCAACGGAGTCTCCAATAGATGATGGAATTGTAGAACCAGGTATTGAGCCAGGTGCTTCAACTGAAACAATGCTTGTGACTACTGACAGCTTTGACGAATACGAGCAAGAATTATCCAATAGTCTAGATGATAGACAAATAAAGGAAAGTATTAATTCAATACCAGAAATATCTGAAGATAAGCCTGGCTCATTTTCTTCATCAGAAATTCATCCTAATTTCAAGCAAAATAATTCTCTAGAAGATGCAGACTTGGTAGGTTTAGACATCAACTTATCAATCTTCAACAATGATAAATATTTTAATTATCATTTTCAGGAAGAAACAACTAATCAAATGGCCCATGCTGTCCTAGATGTTGATCCTCTTCGTTGCAAACACTGGTTAGCTCAGAAGAAGCACATCTTTGTTCTCAGTCAAGCTGGGAAGCCTGTTTATTCTCGTCACAGTACAGAAGATAAGCTTGTTACAATAATGGGTGTAATGCAAGCTCTAGTGTCTTTTGTTCAAGCTGGCAATGATACCATTAGATCAGTCCATGCTGGAGATGCGAATTTTGTGTTTCTCATCAAAGGACCACTAATTTTAGTAGCAGTTTCAAAAACATTAGAAAGTGTTCCTCAACTTATTCTCCAATTAACGTAAGCATTTATATTTTATATCTCAATATTTATAAATTTATTATATAAATTAAATGACCCTTTATTGTTTTAGTTATGTTTATAATCAAATTTTGTTCGTCTTGACGCAGTCTCATCTGACAAGAGTGTACGAACAACGACGTAATTTTGATTTAAGAAGACTTCTAACTGGTAGTGAGAGACTGATAGATCATTTATTAAATTTTATGGACAGAGAGCCAGCTTTTTTTCTTGGAGCAATCAAGTGTTTACCTCTGTCGCCATCAATGAGGGATTCAATCACCCAAACAATCATTCAAACATGTGGAAAAATTAAGGTAAACTTTTAAACAAAATATTTATAATAATTTTAATCAAATAATTAAGTGATTAAATATTTTTAGAACCTGGTTTTTGGTTTATTGCTTGCCAACAACCAACTAGTGACTCTGGTTAGAATGAAAAAATTCTTCATTCATCCAGCAGATCTCCATCTTATTCAAAATTTAGTTGCAAGCTCAGAGTCTTTTAAAACAGCTGAAGGATGGACTCCAATTTGTTTACCAAAATTCAATGCCAATGGTTTCATGCATGGACATGTTTCTTATTTGGCTGAAGATTGTCAGGCTTGTTTGCTGTTACTTACTGCTGACAGGGATGTATTTACAACACTCTCCGAAGCCAAGCAAAAAATCGTTGAAAAATTAAGACGAACAAATTGCCTAGAGGCGATCAATGAGTCAATGAATCGAGTGTCAATCACAACTTCTGAAATAGGATTACCAGAAATGCGTCATGTTTTATATAAATGCAGAAGTACTGCACAATTTTGGAGTCCTGGATTTCAACCTCCTTATAATAATGATCAAGAAATCAAACGGTTAGTTAATCTAAAACTTAATTTAACTAACTAATTATAACAAATATATTTTTTTTCAGATTACTAGGTCTTTATCAATGCTTACACCATCGACTACATGCTCCCAACCGTCCGCTAAAATTAATTTTCCAACAGCTAGACAAAGAGACAATGTTAGCTTGGGTCACATCAGGCTTTGAACTTTATGTTACATTTGAACCACTTGTCACTAAACCAGATGCAATAAATGCTGTAAGTAAACTTCTAAAGTGGATTAAAAAAGAAGAAGATAGACTTTTTATCCTAAATTCACCGACTTTTTAATAATTTTCTTAACCCTTTGTACTGATAAATAAATAAAGAATCTAATTTATCAATATTTTTCATAAAGTAGAGAAAAATAAATTGTAAATTGTACAAAATAGATTTCATTTAAGTATTACAAATCTAATTCAATTGTAATAATTAAGATGAATTTATATTTGTACTTGTAAACATTAATTCAAAAGATTGCTTGTTATTTATATTTTAAAAAAAAAAAGACGAAAAAAAAAAATTAAAATGATGTAAATATTCAATAATTATCTGTATATCATTTTTATTGTTATAAATTAATTCAATTGTATTATCATGTATATTATATAAAATTAATTTTAATTATCATTATTGTTCTTTTTATTTTAAAACATGTATCAGACTGTACAATGAATTAATTACAGACGAATGAATTTATTATCAAAAAATTCCGATAATGATTTAAAAAAATTCTTAAATTAATTATTTTATTTATCTAAATTTAATATCGATTCCTATCTCTTTCTCTTCTTCTTTCTCGATCACGATCCCTTTCACGATCTCTCTCTCGATCACGATCATCTCGTCGATGTCGATCTTTATGCGAAGATGAATATTTCGGTGATTTACTTCTTTTTCTTTCTCTGCGATCTCGGTCTCGGTCTCTGTCCCTCTCACGATCTCTGCTCCGAGACCGAGCTTTCTCACGATCAGATTTCTTATCCACACGCGAATGTTTCTTATCACGATCTCGATGTCGATCTCTATCGTAGTCATCTTTTTTACGACTCTCTTCCTTCGATGGAGGCAAATCTTCATCTTCTGATGTCTCCATTCCTTCATCCATGTCATCTTCCAACGCAGAAATTTTTGCTTCTGTGATGATTAATTTATTAATATGACAATTAATGATTTATTAAATATTTATTTATATTCTTTTAATTTTAATATCAATTACCTAGTTCATTATTTTCTTCTAAAACATGCCGCTTTTGTATCCTAGGAAGAATGACATCACAAGCTCTCTCTTCTCTCAAAAGATGATCAATAAATTCATCCATATGTATTAACTCAAATTGCCCTTGCTTGTTTTGTATTCTTAATTTACGATTATCGTTAAACAAAGGCTCTAAATATTTATAACAATCTAGTGAGGTACCGGTAAGTCTCATGTACAAAGCACCCAATGCTCGAACATACTTGAATTCTTCATTCTTGATAAACTCCACAATAATATCCTTTTCCGGCTGAATTTGGAGCATTTTGAGGATCAAACAAAGAAAAGGAGTCGGTTTGATATTACCACCGAATACTCCACCAATAAATCTGAAGAAATAAACAGTAAATTAACATGAATTGAAAACAATAACAATACATTGGAGGGAATAAGTAAGGTTAGGAGGTTAATATTTACCTTAATTCCATAGCTTTGTCTACTAAAAGTTCTGCAGTTAATGCAAAACATTCTTCTTTCCAATATTTAGAATCATATATCCTCGATCTGATTATTTTTTCAACGAGATATTGAGGATTTGTTCCTCTAATTGATTTAGCATCTTTCACCGTCCGGTTAGCCATTGTTTGAAATTTATAAATTCCAGTATCACGATAGCTCAGTAATTATTACATCCATACTATTTTCCAAAAAAAAAAGCAATTATTTATTAACGAGAATGGACATTTACTGATTTTCATGTGTAATTATTAACCTAATTATGTTTAAAATACTCCCATGATGATTGAATAGCTCGTTTAGGTCGTTATGGAAAACGAATGCTCGTTCGGCAATCTTCGCCAATGAGAATCGGAGTTCGGGAATAAAGCATTCCCAACCTAGAAGACAAAATGGGGTATTTTTTACCTAGATGTATAATGGCTACCTTATCCGGCAGGTTCGAGTTGTGATACTCATCAGTCACGTTTTCTTTTTTCTAAAGTGTATCAAAATATACTGTAATGCAAGAAAAAAATTTGCATACCATTTAAAAAATCGAAGGACTGATTTTATTTTAATATTATATTAATAAACATAAATAAATAAATGAATTAATTAAATTAAATCTGGGATCAAGAGTATAAGTTGATTAAACTAAGAAATAATAAACGACTTTAGAATATTCTTTTCGGTAAACATTCTCGCAATATATTTTTTTTTTGTACCATATTATAAATAATATAATGTTCATGTATGTATTTAAGTCATCATATATTATATAATATAATATTACAAACATATTCACAAACCAGCGTTCGTGTAGGCAATTAATGTCAACATTAACATTAATTAATTAGTTATTCAATTAATTCATCCATTACAAACTACTAGAATCCACTTTGAATAATTTTAATTTTTGTTTTGCAGTTTATAATAATTAATAATAATAATGATAATAATAATATTAATTAATTACTTTGTTGTCTACATTATTCGTCAAATTCAATTTTCTCTCTTTTAATAATAAAACATACACTTTTAAGTCACTTATGTATGTGCAATGAAACATGAATCTTTTTGATCTTATTTACACATATACATAGCATACACAAATTAATTATATATCATTATGGTTACAACATATATGTGCGTACACATTTTAAATAATATTCCATTATTTTATTAATTAAGTAAAATCATTTTAATTATCATTTATTCTTGATTTAAATGAATTCAATTACTTGAACAAAAAATAGATATTTTTATTAATTAAATTATTGAAACATTAATTTTTTTTAGTTTTATTTTTCCTATATACTTGATGAAGTTATAAAATAAATTAATTTTAAATAAAATAAAAAATGACATTTTTTATTTCATTATCAAACTTCAATATCCATAGAATATTAACTTGAGTTTTCTAATTCACTGACTATTTAATTAATTGACATAAAATATGATATCTTAAGCGGATAAAATCTTTTACAATTGTATCATTATGTAATTAAACATAATTCTAAAATGATTATTTTAGAATTAATGTTTTATTTATTTCCTTTTTAAATATATTAACATCCCTATTAATTGAACTACTTATTTAATTATATATTCAGCCTGTATGTTTCATTGACCTTAATAATTACAATCTTAAACAGGAAAATTAAGAAAAAATGTGTAAAAATATGTACGGCAATTTATCATTAGTAAATAAAAAATAATTGACAAAAATAAAGACAATGTCAAAAGTAAATAAAATACAAAAATAGTGATGATAAAAATTATAAATAAAATTATTTATATATTCACTTTTATAATATTTATACAATCTATTTTGTCTCATAATTAGTTAATATTATTAACATAATTCATTTTATTACTTATTATAAGTGTTATAAATATGTACAGTTTTTTTTTCAAACAATCCGCAATACGATATTTATGTAATATAAATTAGTACATTTTTATGTCAATTAATTGTTTCTTAAGTAATGTTCTCACTCACCTACACATCAATTACTTATTCACATTTTTATTTTTTTATTATTCTTCACTTTTCTTTATGTACATCTTGCTTTTCTTTCACAAGGATTCATATAGCCAATAATAATTATTTATGTCAACATTTCGTTATTTATCTTTCAGATCAAATGATCAATCAATCGATAATTAACGAAATAAAATTACATTTTTTTTTTATACACATTAATGACTAAGTACAGTTCAAATCAACATTACTATTATTATTACCATTATTATCATTGATCTAATGAGATATGCAATTTTCAATAAGCACTTAATATTTAATGAATTTAAAATGAAATAAATTTTTACCTATCCTTTCATTCTTTTCTTTTATAATAATTAATAATTTATACTGCTGATTGATACTGATTCAGTAAAATTAATTATTACAATTTTTGTTATTAATTAATTATCTCATTCTTTTTGTTTTTAATATTAACGAATAATTTATTTTCTCGAATAGAATAATAATTATTTATATTTAATTTATATTATGAGCAATATATACATCTCGAAGAAATTTTTTTTGTTTTCATTAACATTAAAAAAATACTAATAGAAAATTATTGTTATCATTATTGTTGTATTTTAAATATACATTTCATGTTCTTTTTTCTTTTTTTTTGAAACTAAAAAATTTCTTCAGCTGTAGCTTTTGCTTTATTTTTTCGTTTATGTTTGTGCTATTATTTATATAAATAATTTGTATTTTGTCATCGATTGTAATTAAGTAGTTGTTATAAACTGTATTAATCATGATGAAAGAATGAAAATAAGTGTGATTAAAGTTAAAATGTTTTTTTCCTTTTTTTTATCTTCATAATATTTATTTATTATTATAATTAAATGAATTATTTATAGAAAATATGTAAACAAAAATAGTTAATAATTCTACAAACCCAAATAAATGTGGCTCGGAATTGAGAATAAGTGTGGTTCTTAAGCATTTCTTTAAATAATTCATTCATATTAATTAATTATCTGGTTTTTTTTCCTTTGACAACCATTATTTTTCTTTCATTTTCCACTTACAGTAATTTCAATAAATTTCGACTAATTCAAAGTACTGACTCAATTTGTTTTATTTCCTTTTCCGGTGGATCTTGAGGTGATGGTGCGGTTTCAATTATTTCCGGGAGATCTTCCTCATTTTCTTCCTCAATATCCTCATCAATTGGTGTTAAAGTATCCATAACAACTCTTGGAGCCTAAAAAAAAAAAGGAAATCAATCACACAAGAAAAAAATTTTTTCCCTCAAGACAATTTTTTTTTTTTTGTCAACATTTTTACCTCAGATGTCATGAATCGTTTCATAACAGGAGCCATAAAACTAGTAATGGTGCTGATTAGAAAGAAAAATCCAGCCATTAAAAAGGGAATACTGTACGTATGAGTAGCATCATAGACTGAACCAGCCAGTGGAGATCCAATAATTGCAGCAGCACCTCGGAAAAGTATCAAAAGTCCAAAAGCATTTGTCAATTTATCTAATCCAAGCAAGTCCACCAAGATAATTGACGTTAAAGAGATATATCCAGCTATAAATGGAATATTTAAAAATGTTAAAAATTTATTTACATTAATAAAAGACAATGAAAGAATATTTATCTTTATGAATTACTTACAAATTGCAGTGCCAAAGAAGATACTCATGGTAATATATGCATAGTATGTGTGACAAAGAGGCGTAAGAGCGACAGAAATAGTTGAAACAGCCAAGCAAATATTGTTTAATAACAAAGAATCAACTTGAGGAAAATCTGCAACAAATCCACAAATAACTCGACCAACAGTATTCGTGATTCCAATGATTGATAACAAGAACGAAGCTTCATTTTTATCGATTCCCTGAAAATGAAATGACATCATAAATAAATGAAATAAATTTTTCAAACTATTTTAGAATATTGAAGTATAATAATTACATCTTGAACAGCAGCATCAACAAGATAGACAAAAGGAACATATAATCCAGCCATTCCGAAGACATTACTAATACCAATCATCAGGAAAACGGGATTTTTTAACAATGACATATCCATCATTGTTGCTAAGGCCTCTTTGAATGATTCGGGAAGTTCCAGACACGGACACAACGGCTCTAAAAAAAGATACATAAATGTAAGAAAATTTATAAATTATTATTTAATTAAAAATATAAAAATATTTAAAACTTACGTTGTGGACCTTTTTCAATATCTCCATCTCTCACATCACCTCTGACAGATTTAGGCAGAGAAATGACACTTTGACGGTAATTAGCGATTGACTTTTGACTTTGATACTCTGGCAAATTAACTATACTACCACTGTAGAAGATATCCTTCCTTGATAGCGGTCGAACAATTGCTGGTTTTTGCTTTGGTATACTTGATTTACTAGTGGTAAATGTTATGCTCTCGCCATCCTAAAGATACCAATTGATAGTTGATTAAAAAAATGTTATGGAGTATTTAAAATATTGAAACTTACATCAGCTTCCATCATATTATTATTTCTCGATCCAAGCATGCTGCTAGCAGAGAGCCTAAGATGTAAACTCCTTCTGATATCTCCATTAGAATTTAAAGTTGTTCTAGAATTTTTAATAGCACTGAGACTAGGTTTATAACGTTCACCAGTACTAGTCTTGCGAATACGATCGAAAAAAGGAACTGATCCATTTTTCGGTAAGCCTTGAACGTGAGTTGTAAAAGCAGGTTGTGATGCATTTCTTGGTATCACAGGTTTATTAAACTCAATTTCTGGTTTATCTGCTACATCTTTGGAGTCTTTGGTATCGTCTATTGATTTCCTACTTCTCGATTTAATCATTGAATTCTTAAGATCTTCACTACCACTCTTACTCGTAGCACCACTTGAAGAGTGTTCCTGGACTTTAACTTCTGATATCGTCGGCAATGTTGGTACCGTTGGTACTGGTGTTAATGGTGTCCCAGGCACTAATTGGTCAAGATTAAAACTGGAGTGTACACCAGGATCAATATTAATCGGCATTTTCATTCTTTTCTCCATGGAACCATCAGGTAACTGGACCATAAAATAAGATCCACCAATACTTCCTCGTTCCATTTGAAATCTTTTCTCTTCAGCCATCCTCTGAAGTAATGGTTTAACTGATGATGGTTTTGGATACTCCAAAGGTCGCATCATTGCTCCAAATACTGCACAATTCAAAATTAATCCAGCTAGAATCAAGTGAGCTCCTTTCCAGTTATACGATTCAACTAGGAAATTTGCCAATGGCGCAAAAGCAAATGTGCCAAAACCTGATCCACAAACCGCTATTCCTGTTGCTAAAGATCGTTTTGTTTCAAAGTAATAACCTACACATACTACTGCAGGTAAATATATTAAACCAAATCCAATTCCTAAAAAAAAAAAGAATTAGACAATAATTATCATTTAATTATCTATTTTAATTATTAATTTATTTAAGTAATATAATTACCTCCTATCACACCATAAACTAACATAAGCATATTTACAGAAGATGCAAACGTTGAAAGAACAAATGCCCCAGCAGCAATAAAACTACCAGCCATACAAACTGCTCTACAACCATATCTATTGGTTAATGCGCTAACAACAGGACCTGTAAACAAAAGAGATCGATTTTAATCATGTTAAGTAACAAACCTCTAAGATAATATGTCTATTATAAATGACCTTGGTCATATTTATTTTTGAATTGAAATAAAATAATAAAATCTTACCAGCACTGAGATACATTCCAGATAATAGAGATCCAACCCATGCAGTCTTTCCTTTGCCCTCTCCAAAATAATTGACAAACTCTTCGAGAAATATTCCAAAGGTATAAGCAATGCCGTCGACAATCATATTACACATAAATGATGCAAATACTACGACCCAGCCGTAACCTCCATCAGGAGGAGGCGGTATATCGTGGTATTCACACAGCGATCCAGCATCATCATCTGGAGATGTTTCATCAACACCTCCTTCTGTCAGTCTCGTTTGCTCCTCCACTGAGTACTCGCTTTCAGTCTATAAAAATTAATGAATAATAAATTAATTATTATTATTATTTTTAATTTATAAATTTACATTTATTTACACTAAATAACATCATTTTTAATTACATTCTAGAATTTTTAATGATTAACAGTCGCGACAGTTTGTCATAACACTTAAATTCATTCAACTAGATTAAACTTTCATTAAAAAATATTTTTCAACTCCATTAAATAATCCTAGATATTTTATCTAGAGTACTTTCGGTGTCAAGGACTTATTCCTTTCGCTGGAATACTATTCAAAGACTTGATGCAACTATCTGCAATTAGTAATTAAATCTATTTATTAGATAATCACTATCTAATGTGAAATTGTTAATAGTTTTGAAAAAAAAAAAATGATTTTATTTAACAATTCAACAACACTCTTTGTTTATTCATTGAGCAGGAAAAAATTATCATTTTGTTTGGCAGAAAGATTGAAATAATTTTTGCAAAAAATATGAGTGAATATTTAGCTGAGATGTTTATCAATGCACGTGTGAAGTTAACATAACTGCGTATTTAATTGAAGGGAAAATAGTTAACTCATGGCTCGAGTTGTTAAGAGTAGCTTGCCTTGAGGTCATGACAAGTTTAAATAAAAAAGTTGTTTTTCATGTACTAGATTTTTAAAAGCTCATATTATCATTCAAAGTATCAATAATTTTTCACGTTTAAATAAATTTTCATTGTCAAATAATAAATGATTCATGACAAATACTTAGATAAAAATTTATAGGAATAAATGTACAACTGATTACTTAACAAATTACGTAGATTTATTTTATCTATTTGTTTAAAATATATTTTTATGTTTTATATATACTGTAACACCCAATTTACCTCAATCACATCGATCAAATACTTATCACGAAGTCTATTGGAGATAATTAACGACTCAGGATCTTCAATGACCATCGATTAGTGACCAAGATGTCACAAAATAATTTTAAAGTGTATTCAGAAACCATGACCTCATCAAGTAATGAAGGTTGACATCGATCAGCTGATTTTCGCTGATCGTAGTGTGTGCTAAATTACTAAGCTTTTTAACCTCAAACACTACCAAACAATCAATTCTTCTTTTGTGTCATCACAAAAGATATTACAGTTTTTTATAATTCAATCAATTACAATACTTATTACGCATCATGTCATAATATTCCATTGTTTTAGTATTTTAATATTTTTATTATTTAAAATAATAATGATAAATAAATACTTCAGATTGCTGTTAGGAGTATTTCTAGGTTATCAAAATGTGTTTCTAATTAGCAGATTAGTAGATAACAGATTACTTGAAAGAATTTCAATTAAAAATCATCAGTTAACTGGATATAGATTGTGTTCTTTGTATTTAATTGAACTATTCATTCAGTCTTGAATGATTTTAACAAAGAATCATCATCATTATTATTTTATTTCTAATAATAAAATAAGTTGTCTTCAAAAAACGATACAAGCAATTATTTCTCTCGTATTTTCCTCAATAACTCAAGGTCTTGAAGTGAAGAATTTGCACATCTGCAGTTTTTGTGTTGTTAGATATAAAAATAACTAAGAAAAAACAAAAGAAATGGCAGCTTGATGACTAAAGCTTGGAATTTATTAAAGCTGAGTTAATTGTTATGACTGTCAAGGTTAATAATGGGTTACAATGGCTTCGATATCTTCTGGAATGATTATCAAATGAATTTAAATGCCTTGAAAAAGAATAAAAATAATATATATTATATTTTAAAATAAATAAATGATGAATAAAGTGTGGTAAAAACCCACCGTGCTTATTTTTCTCACTCTTCTTGAACCATACTGTGATTTACTGAGTGAAACCCGCGACATTTTAAAGCCTCCTCCTCTGTTCAAAGTAAATCCTCGATTTATTTACGAGATTATCATAAAATATTGATGACTATTCACTTGAATATCAATTTATTCTCACTTTGGAGAATAAACAATCACTCGTCATAGTCTGCAGCCATCTTTTAAATTTTTAATTATTTTTTATCCACTCTTTGTGTGTATTATTTTTTTGTTGTTTTCTCACAATATTTTTTGAATAATTATAAAATTATTTTAATTATTATTTGTACTTAATTTTTAATTTTTTTAATTTAATACTTTGTATTAATACGTAATTATTTATAGTATAAACCACTTTTATAACCTCTAAGAAACCTTTGAAAATCTATTAATCACTTGAAAAACTTCACAATTTTACTTGATATGTTTTAGCATGGTAAAAGGCACAATATAATAATTATTTTTTTATATTAAACCGGTAAAAAATATGACTAAATTGTTTATTCTTTAATCTCCTTTCCTTGGGATAAAATAATCACTTTTTGCCATCACTTGGAAAATTTTTTTTCTCTTTAAAAATAATTTTTCGACCTTCTCTTCAAAGTTGAATTCGTCCTCCAAAACAATAAACGTTTGTTTGTGGATTAAAATTAGAACATTTTTACTATAGATTGTATCGTGGTTAAAATGTCTTTGTTTACGATAATAAAGTACAATTTTATTATTGATGTTGATGTTTATTTTTTTATACTTTTTTTTCGTTAACAAAAATTCAATGACACAATAAACAGATACATTGTTTAAATGTGATTTTATTGTTAAAAAGTAATGACGTTTTGTATTTAATCGTAGAAATGCACATAAAATTCACTGTGTATATTGAAAAGAAACGTTGGTGCACTGGAAAGAAAGAAAAAGGATGAAATGATCAAGAAAGCAACGTGAAAGCAGCGCCTCTCACGCTCAAGCATTACTAAAGTTTGTTGTAAATGACCAGTAACCTATAAACTAACGTCATTTACTCTTCTCTGATCATTCTCATGTCCATCCCTTCTCTTTTTTATCATTCCCCACCATTTTCTCGAGATGAATCACAAATTATCCCGTTTTTTGCACTACATATTTCTGCTTTCGCCGTTCATTTACTCTCTCAAGGACTATTTATTTACATAAAGTGAATTTTTTTTAATTAATTCTCAACAACGCCCCCTATTTTTACCACATATCAACATGGCGCTTGATTTAAATTATTTTTTTATGGGGATTTAATTCACCCCCATTTTTAAAATTATTTCTATCTATAATATAATTATTTCTAAATCTTTTATTATATATTTTTATTTTTATGACTCCATTTTATTAAAAAAAAAAAAATATTGAAATAAATCAAATAAACCATTTTGACTTAATAAATTAATTAAACTTTTGTAACATAACCAAAAAAATTATTATAAAAAAATCGATGTATCGATATATCGATTGCAATCGAATCAATTGTACAACGATAAAGTTGCAAAATAATCGATCTTTTGATTTGATTCCATCAATTCTGTGGAAATGGTCAAAATTTTAAGTTATTTCTATTTAATTAATGTAATAGAAAAATGTCATGATATTTTTGAGGTTTAAATTAATAAGATTGGACGTAAAGCTATCAATGAGCTAAAAATACGTTGATAAATTCTCACCAGTCATGAAAATGATGGCAAAGATAGCCAAGCATTCAACTGATGAATTTGTATAATTGTCCAAAAAATTAAAAGTAACTAAGTAAAATGATTACTCATTGAATAATAATTATTTTTGTTTTAGATAAAATTAATACACGAAAATAAAACAAGAAATTAGCTTTTTCATGGAAGAAAATCAGCATTGTTCACTTTTCGGTAGTAAAGTGTAACTAGATCAGTGTATGCTTCCATGGACACCACCCAGAAGATGAGCAAATGATTAAAACAATTAAAAATATAAATATTTAAATACACCAAAGTATTTTTTAACCTCTAAAACAAGGTATAGGTTAATTCAATTCTTCAATAAATATATCTTTTATATTTAGAGTAATTTTTTTCGTGCACCTTTTAGGTTTAACTATCAATCTATTAGTGTGTTTACTCTAGTAATGGTAATAAATTGTGATAATAAGCCCATAGTTTTAAAATTCATCTTATTTAAAACAGAAAAAAATATCACAATTAAAATGTGTCTCAATGCACTCATCAATTAAAATCACATGATCATAAATATGAACATGGAAAAAATCATTTGGTTTTCATCGATAAAAAGAATAGTATAAAATATCTAAATTCAACTATCAAGTGTATCTATTTCTCTTTGATTAATTGTCATAAGAAAATGATTCATTAAGCATTCAATTTTAGTTCATTAAACTGTTTTCCCGTCATCGAGTCTACTCAAACAAGCCTATTAACGAAGGTCAATGAGATGTTGGTACTACAACAGCGGAAATAACTTTCATTTATTAAATTTACTATTCTCTTTCTGCAGTTTTAATTACTTTCTCGATTACTTTTTTCCTCAATTTCCAACTATTATTCAATTTAATAGTTAATTTCCACTAAGTATATAATTTTCAGAATAATTATTTCAATTTTTGGATTCTCTATGTTAACTTATAACGATATCTTTGCAGTGATTATAAAACGAAGATTTTAAAGATGAAAAAAGTTGCCATGTTGATCCAATTATATGATAAAGACGCCAATAAATACTTGAAATGATAAGACACCCGGATAGATCTTGATCTTCTGTGTTAATAAACCACAAAACAAACGTTTCAACGATAGATAAAAAATAATTGAGTATTTAACACGTAAGTGAAATAATAAAAAAAAAATTCTTCGGTTTTATAACATGATTATACAAGAATTTGGTATTAAATTCAATGATTTTTTTCAACAAAAAATTAGAAATAATTGAAAAAATAATTTCCTTTAAATATTTTGCAGGGCTTTTATTTGCCGCCAAAAAGATTTAAATTTATTTCTGGTAATTTGTTGATGATTAAATTATTACCTTGGTCTTTGGCGACATTGTAATCAGGTAAAGGATGAGAAAAAAAAACAATTTGGGAAGCACTGAAAGCCTTGACAGTAGACTTCCCCTTTGAAGAAGATAAAAAGGCTTAAAGAGTAACCACAAGTTGATTTTTTCTTCAAAGAACCAAATAAAAAAAGAAATAAAAAACGTTTTATTGTAATGATTATGTTGAAGAGCGACTCTGGCTATTCCGCGTAACGAGCGTGATTAAAATGCGGCCAAGCTTGGACTCACTTATCACTCAATGGACGTGCAGTCCCATCCCGATCAAATCCCCCCACTATGAAAGCTCACCTCGACATCAAGAACTTGGTCGTACGCCGCTTCTGCCATTTATACATCACATTCAGAGCAACATAGGATGAGTAAGAGGTCCACCCACATATTACTCATGTTCATTTCATGTAAATACAAAGACAAAGAGAACTTGGTGGTACAAAGTTCTAATCAAAGATCATCAACCTTCATTTTTGTGGCTGATCAACAAGAAAACAGTCTAACTATTCTGTTATTAACGTTGATAAAATTTTTCTTCAACTTTTTATCAATTTTCCATTTTATACATCACATCTAGAGCAATCATTTACATTTAGTTATTTTTGCTCAACAATTTTTCTCATCGACAGTCAATGTCAAGACAGGAATTATTACACTTCATTTCAGGAGTAATAACTCTTGATGATGATATTACCATATGAAAAATTCTTTATAGCAAGAAAATAATATCCCAATTGTCTACCATTTTTCAAACATATTTCTTTAATTCTTTGATTAATTTCATTTCATATAAATTATTGATTGATTGTGCTTTTTCTTTATTACTTTATCAAACAGATTGAAATTGTGATAAAAATGATGGTAAATAACAATAGCAACCCTTCTGACATTTATCTAGGAAAACGTTCAACACAGACGAGACGTCAATTACTCGTTTGTCCTCACAAAAATCGATGTTGTCATGAGGTAGTGGACTGTCGAGTGTATTTCTATATCACCAACATCGTAATTGAGTGCATATAATAGCCCATAGGCCATACATAAGAGCTCCTTTCTCTTCGGTCGATGTGATTTGCGTCAACCAGTTTTTGTATATTAATAATTTCATAATTTATTTCCTCCATAAACTCAATGTATAATACACTCTTCTGTAATCACTTTACTTGGATTATCAATTTGTATAAGTGCACTGTAACATTCCTTTCAAATTTCAAATAATAACAGTGTGATGTAAGAGTTATTATAAATATAATAAATATATACAAACAAACTTTGTCAGGTATTTGTTGATGAGGAAAATGTTATAATGACTTTGAACGTTGATAGCATTAGTAATGAATCATTGGTAGCCTTTTAAAAAGAACAAGGATTTAACTAATGTTATTATTATCAACTTCAATTAGTTGGACAAATAAATCATCATATTTTCATACTTCATTTCATCCCATCATGAATTTTTTTTTTATCATCAAAAGCAACTGAAGTTTAGTATTTATTATTAAAAATTAAATTTTCATCTGATTGACCTTCTTTTGGAGCAATGATAAATCTTAGAAAATTCCTCTAATACAATTTTATGATGATAAAAGCTGAAAATTATGTCAGATATAACAAATAACATTTCTCTGCAATAAGAAAAAAAAAAGTAGACATAGTGTTGATGATAAATTTACAATAAATATGTCAAACAGTAGTTGGAGGAAAGATGATTCATCGTTGATGAACCCATTGACAATATAATAACGACTTGGATTGTTAATTTATAAAGAGGGAGATTATATACAGGCAATAAAATGCATTGGGACAAATTGCTTAGTGATAAAATATAACAAAATAATCATAAAACTTACAACAGTCGATGTGGGACGAGCATTTATCTGTAGGCCTTCATCATCGCCTATCGGGTCCTCATAGTCATCCTCTCTACTGTTTGTGGGACCCATTTCAGCGCCTTAAGGCGCGTAGAATTAATTAATTGTGCAAATATTACACAAGATTGTCCTCAATTCAGCGCGCACAATGTGAAGATCGTGGTGCATTCAAATGTTCCAGTAATCCTTGACAAACACTATTAACTCGATGACGTTTTTCCGAAATAATCTTCAATGAGGTTGATTTGATGTTGTCAGTAAATTTCCAGACCAGTTTGGTCCTTTTGTCAGCTACCAAATGGACACTCATGAGGCAATCTTGACACTGAAATAAATAAATAAATCATTAACTAAATTATCTTTGATGTAGCTTAGAAAATTATTTTAGCTACTCATTTAATACTACTTTCTATTTAAATATTTCAATTACTTTTAATATTATTGATCATTTTAAAAGATCATTGCTTTCATCTTATAATTGATGACATATTGCTTATGAGCACCTAAAATAAATTGAAAAAAAAAATTTAAATAAAAGAAAAATAAGTAAAAGATAAAAGTAAAGCAAACAACTGGGCACATTAAGTCAAAATTAATCATAAGCAGTAAGAAGAGAGGTCACTGGTCAATGATATTGATAGCATTAAAAAAAAAAAGAAATAAGGATATTTTAGGTTTAGTACCGTATTAATTGATGATTTTTCCACTTATTGATGTCTATTTCAAGCGAAAACTAGGACGATCCACTTGAAAACTGATTTCAATCGCGTGTTTTCCGCTAGTTGATCTAGATATCGAACGTTAGGACTTAGTGCCAGGTCACACAAGAGAGCTTGAAAGCTCTTCCAGGATGGATAAATATTTATTTATTTCAATAGGTTTTTAAAATAATAATTGTCGTCACTGCTTTCACTGATGAATCAAAGAATATCACTTTAGTCGTTCTTGTTACGTTATAAATTCACGGAATCGCAGCTGATCCCGCGGGTGGGTAGCGCCGCAGCGCCCCGGGATCAATAAACCGACGCCGGCCGTCGCCTTCTGTTCCTTCCTGCCGTTCTACAGAGCTTTCCACCCGCACGACACTCATCATCAGCCCCCTCTCTGCTATGGATTTCATCATTGAGCAAGCGCGATTGCGTTTTCAACCATCGCCATCATGAGAACCGATAGTTGCTATATTTTTTTATTCAACATTTATTACAATATTTTTTCCTTTTTTTTTTATTTTTTATTTAATCACTCTTTCAAGTATCTTGTCAATATTAAAATTCAATCAACCATTGCATTTAAAAAGATAACATTTTTATTTCTCTTGAAAATTATTTATAATAATGTAATCATATTAATGAATTTAAATTGAAAGATAAATTATCATAAATTAGAAAAATATCCATTTAACTTTTTTTATATATATATATAATAAAAAAATAAATGTTATGTCTCATTTTTTGTTACAAAAAAGTTAAAGAAAATAAAGTATCCATCACCAATTATTTAGTTGTAATCAATTAAATTATTAGAATTCAAGTTAGCAATTAATTATTTGCTATAAAAATGAAGAATGTTTTAGTTGAGTTAAAGTAAAATATAGAAAAGATCATTTTTTTGATTGTCGAGAGGAATCGAACTCGGAATGAGAGCTCTAGAATCCAAAAACTACGTACTTTTACTCCAGGATTCACTTCTGCATTGATTGCAGCAGTACTGGCGCCTTGTCTTGGCACGCCCGTCGCCACAAATACTTTTAACAGATCGATAATCGTAGCCGGGAGGTCTGAGCAGTCGCTTTATGTCCTTGCCATGACTCAACTAGCACTGATGAACCAATATAAAGTCATATCAACCGTTAATTTCTCATTTAGTTATCAAGGAATCTATTAACTTATCTATTCATACTTCGAATGAGCTCATCAACACTGATACTTCCAGTAAAAGCACGTAGAAAAGTATTTATTCTATTATTTACACTTGATCAGTTAGTTGGAATTATTGGAAAGTTTGGAAAAATTACTCAACGTATCAGCATCAGCTTGATCATTATTCAAATTGATCAACACTTCCTGAGCTTTTATAGCAATATCTGATCTGATATCCTGATCTTCCGATGCAGATAAAGTTTTGATTTTATCCATTGGTAGCTTCTCTAGAAGACGCTGGAGAATTTGAGGATCTAGTAAATTGTATGTAAGAGACTGAAGAAGTTGAAGCACTAGTGTTAATATTTCTACAGGTGTACAGTCTTCAAAACAATGTACAATTGATTCTTCAATGTTGAGTTGAAAGAGATATGAAAAGCCTTCACAATTCATGCTTATATTGAATAAAATTTTCAGCATTAATCTGTAAAGTTTTGAATGTTTTAATTAATTTTTAGCTCTTTTCTTTTTTTATTGATAAGAAATATTGCTTTTACTTTTTCATAACATTTCCAGTATCTCCAATCATCGTTGGCAAAAATTCAACTAAATATGCTATCAATGTTTTCCCCTCGGTATGATCAACAAGAAACTGCCTTCCTCCAGGTGTTGCTGATATATTTGTTATAATTCCCAAAATTGCCACGACAAATTGAGTTTCATTATTATTTATAGATGGAAAAGATGGTTGAAATGTTTCGATAAAGGAACGAACAGTTCCAACAGCAATAAATAAAAAATTGCTCACAATGGATTGATGCTAGAAGTGAATAAAAAGATTAGTCATGTTATGCAGGTCAATTAAATTGAAGTTTCAATTTTGATGCTAATTGATGTTGATTAGTTAAGTTTCATTAAAATGACATTCTAATTAAATTCATTTGATAATAGATCGTACTTCTGTGAGCCAAGTATTCACTATTTGAGGGTATTTTGATGACTTCCATAATAAATTACCAGTAACTGCTCCTAAATTGGCGCGTAAATTTACATTTTGTTCGTCTAGATTTATCAATGATTCTTTTTCTTCCTCTAATAATTCACGTTTCTTTGATTCCTTTTCTAATGCAGCAAATGTTTTGCCATATTCTAATTCTAACATGGCAATTCTTTGATCTTTTTCTGAAAATTTTTTATTTAATTATTAAATAAAATACTTACCCAATTGATAGTAAAATTATTACTAATTATTTTTTACCTTTTTGTAGTTGATAAAAGTCTTTTATCAGAGAATGAATGCTATCATGAACAAGCTTGAATCCCATTCGTACTTTTTCAATGGCTCTATCGATTGATGAATCGAAAACATACTCTGAAAGATTTTCAATTGTTGATACGAGCTGTTGCTGTACCACAATTAATGTCTCTATCAAATTATCCTTAAAAAAAAATCAATTGTACAATAATTATAAAAATAATTGATAAATTTAATTAAATTATAACCTCATTAAAAACCTACATTTCCATTTTGGCTTAAGGATATTTCATTATCCTTTATTTTTTCGTTTTCCATTGTTTATTAATGATTTGGTATTATTGAATAATAATAAAATATGTAATTAATATTGAATTTAAATATTTAAATATTAAAAAAACAAATTATTAATAGCGTCCAAAGTAAATGTTTACGTTAAATTAGTGCGTCCTAACGGTTTGATATAAATTGAATATGTTGATCTATATCGATAAGTACAGCCAAATTAGCCAAAAAAATATCAATTTAATAATGCTGCCAAAACTCAGGTAGCCATTAGATAAAATTATTATTTTATGAAATAAAATTTATTTACAGGTTATGTAATATAGCTGTATAAAATAGTATTATTTTTATCGGAATTAAATAAAAATCATTTTTTTTAATTTAGTTGCTCAAAATTTTTAAAAAATCGCCGTTAATTTACTGCGCATGTATTCTGCGTCGCGGTCACCACCTAGTGGCCGTGAACTAAACTAATATCAAAATGACGCTACCGAGGAAAAAATTGTTTATGTTAATATATTTTAATGTTTATATTTAATAGTTTTTGTAATTAAAAAATGAAAATAATTATGCATTATGAAATTTGATAAATTAAAGTTTCGATTGAAAAAAAAGTTTATTCAAGTGTATTTATCTATGTTCTGATAAAAGTGTATCGAAAAAAAAATGATTAAGGTAAGATAATTAATAGATTAATAATTTTAAGTGTTTTAAACAATAAGTAGTTAAATTAAGGTTTTGGAGATAGGGAATTAGAATGAAGACAACAATGAATTAAATTTGAACATATTTTTGCATTTTAATGATTAATAACCTCTTTTTTTTTTACATTAGACAATCAGTATAAAAAATTTCTATATCTATAATGTTAAAGAAAGAAAATTAGAGTTACAATAAACACATGAGCGAGATAATTGTAACATCAGTCCCTAAAGAATATCACTTAGAAATTTAAATAATCTGAATGTAAAATCATTGGTATTTGAATATTGAATTGAAGTTGATAATACTAATGAAGTCTTTAATGAAGAAGACCACCACGAAGTCGAAGAACTAAATGAAGGGTAGATTCTTTTTGAATATTATAATCAGACAATGTGCGTCCATCTTCAAGCTGTTTTCCAGCAAAGATCAATCGTTGTTGATCTGGTGGGATTCCTTCTTTGTCCTGGATCTTCGCCTTTACGTTTTCAATAGTGTCTGAAGCTTCAACCTCTAATGTGATGGTTTTTCCAGTCAGAGTTTTAACGAAAATTTGCATACCACCTCGAAGTCGAAGTACCAAGTGAAGGGTAGACTCTTTCTGGATGTTGTAGTCCGACAATGTGCGTCCATCTTCTAATTGTTTGCCAGCAAAGATTAATCTCTGTTGATCTGGAGGAATACCTTCTTTGTCTTGGATTTTAGCTTTTACATTTTCAATTGTGTCTGAAGCTTCAACCTCAAGGGTGATAGTTTTTCCAGTCAAGGTTTTAACGAAGATCTGCATACCACCACGGAGTCGGAGTACTAAATGAAGTGTAGATTCTTTCTGGATATTGTAGTCCGACAATGTGCGTCCATCTTCGAGTTGTTTTCCAGCGAAGATTAATCTCTGTTGATCTGGTGGGATACCTTCTTTATCTTGGATCTTGGCTTTCACATTCTCAATAGTGTCGGATGCTTCAACTTCCAATGTGATAGTCTTTCCAGTAAGTGTTTTAACGAAGATTTGCATTCCTCCTCTGAGCCTAAGTACTAAATGGAGTGTTGATTCTTTCTGGATGTTGTAATCAGAAAGAGTGCGACCATCTTCCAATTGTTTTCCAGCGAAGATCAAACGTTGCTGGTCTGGTGGGATTCCTTCTTTGTCTTGGATTTTAGCTTTTACATTTTCAATTGTGTCTGAAGCTTCAACCTCAAGGGTGATAGTTTTTCCAGTTAAAGTCTTGACGAAAATCTGCATACCACCTCGAAGTCGAAGTACCAAGTGAAGGGTAGACTCTTTCTGGATGTTGTAGTCTGACAATGTGCGTCCATCTTCCAATTGTTTTCCAGCGAAGATCAATCGTTGCTGGTCTGGAGGAATACCTTCTTTGTCCTGGATTTTTGCTTTCACATTTTCGATGGTGTCTGAAGCTTCAACTTCAAGAGTAATGGTCTTTCCAGTCAAAGTTTTCACGAAAATTTGCATACCACCACGAAGTCGGAGTACTAAATGGAGTGTTGATTCTTTCTGGATGTTATAATCAGAAAGAGTACGACCATCTTCGAGTTGTTTTCCAGCGAAGATCAATCGTTGCTGGTCTGGTGGGATTCCTTCTTTATCTTGAATCTTAGCTTTCACATTTTCAATTGTGTCAGATGCTTCAACCTCAAGAGTGATAGTTTTTCCGGTCAAAGTCTTGACAAAGATCTGCATACCACCTCGAAGTCTAAGTACTAAATGAAGAGTCGACTCCTTTTGAATATTATAGTCAGAGAGAGTACGTCCATCTTCGAGTTGCTTTCCAGCGAAGATTAAACGTTGCTGGTCCGGTGGGATTCCTTCCTTGTCTTGAATCTTAGCTTTCACATTCTCAATGGTGTCTGAAGCCTCAACCTCGAGGGTGATGGTTTTTCCAGTTAAAGTCTTGACGAAGATCTGCATGATTATCTGAAATAAATCATTATCATTAGACATGTCGCAAGCATCTTACAAGTTACATCATCATTATGATTTTCAAAATTCATCAAACAAAAAGTCTACATGAGTCAACAAAATGGCGTCGATGTTTCACGTCTAGTCATCTTTTTCTATTTTACCTCAATTTAAAAAAAAGAAAACCAGATTTATTTAATTATTGATAATAACTTTCACGATAAATCAGTAAAATAAACTTCAAAACCTAAAAAAACGGAACAGAAATGATATACGTTTCCATTACGTATATCAAGGACACGCCCAAAATTTTTACTTACGAAAAAAAGGCCACGAATTGGTTAGAAAACAATCGAAAGTCTTGAAACAACAACAAGAATCATCTGGAAGATGATTAAAATAATTATTTGATCATTAAACTCACCTTTATTTGTTGCGATAACCTCTTGGGAGAACAAAGAAAATTTTCTTCACGGAGAAATGTTTCACTTTCAACAGCACTTGTGCTAATGGCGTCCCAAAGCGATGCCAAGGCTTTTATAGCCACTGCTCAGATGAACTAGTGATGACGTGTCTTTTATTCTGATTGGTCAAAATGCAGCAGCGTTAGGTTAGTTTGTCTGACGTCATGAAATCCTATTGGCTTACTAGAAGATTTGTCAGACAAAGGTTTTTCTTCGATCAATACTAATAATAAATATTCACGTTAATTATTTATGTTTTACAAAGAATAATAGTTTTAAGGAACTTGGATATCTAATTTTACTTATTTTGCTTGGTTTTTTACTGCTCTTTGTGACATATTTTGATGTCCCAGAACAGCTGATGATCTCAGCAGGGGGGCTAGGGGTAGGTTAAAATAAAAATAAAAATTCAACGACAATTGTCGAGTCATTGGAGCTGGAAAATATTGATTCTTGATGTTTCTAGAAAGTAGTTTTTATTAAAATTGATGACTCAAATTGCACTATTCATGATCTACTTATCTATCATGAGTTTAAAAAAAACTTAAAAACTAGGAATGACAATAAAAAATGCAATTTTGTCATTAATTTCTTATTTATTTGATTATTTCATCACTTTCCTGAATGACTAAACACACACATACACATCAAAATTCATCTCTAAACTACGATGAAATGATTATTTTAATTCATTTATTAATATTATAATTATTATTAAAACAATAATAATATTAACAATAATGATACTGATATCGTAAATTTTTATTTTTTCATTTCGTAAGATCCTTTTCCTATCATTCAAAATTTATATGACTCCAGAGTTAAATAAATTATATTTATGTCATCCACTAGTAATTTTTAATCATCAAATAATAATACTAATAATTAATATTAGCCTTAACACAATGACTAAATATAATTATAAAATATTTTTAAATTTCATCAAAGAATATTATTCATTTTTAGTAAAAAATAATTTACTAAAATTTTGACACTGCGTTAAAGGTTTAAAAAAATTTTCTCTTACTTAAAAACAGTTATTGAATTTTTTTCAATCATTATTCATATATTGTGTTAAATATAAAAAATATCTACCACAAATTAAATTTCAAAATTCAAAATACAATTAATTTTATGGAAAGATTTATCTATCTCTAGAATCAAGCAAAAAATTTGATTGTAAAAAAAATATTTTAATCAAAGAAAGGAGAAAGAAACATATTAATATTAAATTCTTTTTATATATAAATCACACGTATTCATTCAAGCTTATTATTATAAACAAGCAATTGACAATGGGAAAACGTTCGTTTTTTTTTTTCATAATCATTACATCAATATCTTCGTTTATTACGTGCTTGATTCAATTCATAAATTAATTATCTCAATTACTGCACTAGTTATTCAATTAATCTGTTGTTTTATTTCGTAAATTTAACTTCAGTGCTTTATATTTATATTCATTACTCAGCTTTTATAATCGTGCAAACAAATATTTTAGATGTTGACATTTTATTTTGAGTCTGTTTCCATTTTTTCTTCAGCTTTTTTATCCTTTTTTGATGCTTCACAATCAGTACCTTCACCATTACTATTATCACGTCTTCGTTTCCTTGGAAAACGTCCTTTATGTTTAGGTGGTGGTAATTGTTCCATACCCAATACTTTATGAATTTGTCTAAAAGCGACTAGACGTAATGCATGTTGAGCAGAAGCAGTTATATCTTCTCTCTGTTGAGCAGTCATATTACCTATTGCATCTACTGGCTCTTTTTCACAAGGATCAGCAATTCCTAACAAAAAATCAAAGTTCAATGTCAGTACATATTTTTTTTAAACAATATAAATAATATATATTTTATAACAGAAAAAAATATTATCAGATCGCCATAGTCATCTATGCAAGATCTTAATAGTTATCTTAGCTAGAAGAATCCAAAAGACTTGAATTCAATAGCATTTGATAATTTTAGGATCCTACTCAGCCTCGTCATCGGTATCATCATTTAAAATTAGTTTAAAAGTTGGAATATTAAGTTGAAGAAAAAGTAATGCAAAAAAATGAGATTTGGAGTAAATTAATTTAAAACTAGTGGAGATCTAAGAGAAAAGGAAACTACTCTAATTGTTGATCAAATATTAGAAGTTATGATAGGTGATTTTATTATCAATCAACTGTTAATAATTAAAACAATAAAAATCTATGGTTATTTTTTGCATTATTTTTATCTCAACCTAATTTATAAAATAATTTTAAAATTAATTAAACCTTACCTGGACTTCCAGGAAGTAAAATACCTCCAGCGACACATTCTAGTAACCTTCTTAAAGCTTCTCCAAGACTTAATGGACATCCTGCCGTACTTATCACCTTTTCAGTAAGCAATTCCAATGCCTAGAAATCAATAGGAATATTAATATTTTATATTTTATATTTTAATTTAAAAAAATGATGATTTATTGACTTACCCAAGGATTTAATGGTCCCCATGTAGGCACGCGATTACAGAGATCACGCATTATGCGGATAATAATAACACAGTTCTGGAGAGAAGATGCTCTAGCCTATTAAAAAATTCCAAAAAAGAGAAATAATGATGAATTATATGATAATACATTGAAACAAAAAAAAAATTTCATATCCCATTTTAGGAGACGACACCTGAACTAATTTGCTTTGTGGTGGGCTTTAGCTATTCCTTCCAGCCTCGTCATTATTTTATTATAATCACATTTCAATAAAATTCCAGCCCATTATCAAACTATTACCGGGTGTTTATTTATTTATTTATTATTATGAATTTATTTAATGCATCTACTAAGCTTATTTAATAACCTAACTTATAAATGGATAATAAAAAATTAATTTGAAATGATTATTTTGGTTCTTAATAACAAAAACACCCGGTATGTATATGACATTGTGTGTTTGTGCTTGTCTGTCTTTTTATTATTTATAATAAAAATACTGTAAATAAATTAATTAATATTAAGAACAAACGACAATTAAGAACACACTTACGTTATTTATTATGATAGACAGACTTAGAACAGACGCAATGAGGCTTGAGTTTAATCTATAATCCAGAATAATTAATTTTCTTATAACAATTATTGACAAATAGCAAATAAATATTTTAATTAATTTACGAAAAATAATAAAATTATTTTATGTGGCAAGTTAATCCTATTATTTTTTTTTTTTAGAACCTATTATTCTGGATACAACAATAAAAATATATATTATATAACATTTTTTTTTAGCAGATGTAAATGTACAAAATTTTTTGATATTTAATTATTATATATTATTAGTATCATTTACATTCTGCCAATTAAGAGAAAGCTTAATTAATGAAAGATGCCTATGTTTTGTTGTTTTATGTTTTTTTTTCTTTAAAAAATAGTCTTTCCATTTCTATTTTTTTTTCTATTCTTTTTATTACAAGGCTGGAAGTTTTAAGACTGCGCAGTTTTTTTTTTTTTATTTTCGTGCTCTTTATATGTCCATAGACAGAGAGAGGATAACTTGCACTTTTTTTTCAAGAAAAATTGAAAAAGAAAAAAAAAATTCGCGATTGCCTACTTGATTCGACGACTCAGAATGCATTTTTATACATCAATAGATTTTTATATTTTTCTTTTTTTTCTTATCAAATTAATATTGATCTCTTAAATGAATATACATCATCATTTTTAAACACAAAATTTATAAATATAATTCAACAATTGACAAATTTAATTAATTAATCATTGAAAACAAAAAAAAAAAAATTAAATTAAATACCCAAGTTAATGATAACTTTTCATTTAAAAGTTCATAGTAATGAACGATCTTTTTTATTTAAAAAAAAAAAAATATAAAACCTAACAAGATGTATAAAAAAATCATTCTCAGGCAGCAAACATCTAAGTAATTTAGGCAATAATTAATTTGATTCTGAACAGTTCAGTATTCAAACCTGAAACCACTTGGCATGCCTGAGTGCAGCTAAAGCCTCCAAACACTTAGCCTTGGGAAGTACATCTGGTGGGTCTGGTTTCGTCACTGCTGGCGTCGCGGGCGTCGTTTGCGGTTGAGCAGCTCCCTGCTGCTGTCCAGCATTATCTGAGATCCCAACAAAGAAAGCACACGCTTAGACAAAACTTAGAGTGTTTGATCATGCCATCGCGAATTATTATTTTGTTTTTTATCAACTTTATTATTCTTTCAGTTAATTTTTTTTTCTTTCCAACCCTCTTTGATTATTCTCTAAGTAATAATAGAGGGGTTTTCTTTTGTATTATTATTATTATTTTTGCATGATCAAAAAGTCCATAGTTATAAGATTGCCTTAGCGTTGTTTCCTTTTGCAAATATGGCAAGTTGGCCTTTTTAGGATGAAACTTTCAAAAAATTTTCATTTTTTTCTTCAGTTTTAGTATCAAGTTTAACGCTCTCTGTCTCTTATATCGGGTCTCACGCTGCACAAGAGCGTTTATATATATATATATATATTTATATTTCTTTTCTTTCATTTATTAAATATATAATATACTTTTTTATGATGATTTTATTGATTTGATTTTTAATACGCTTTAATTCGACGCGACAGTGTTAAAACAGTCCTCCAGGTACGACAAAGGTGTCGTCGCAGATTTAGATGATAGGAGAATTAAGGTAGCTATCGTTGGAAGTTAAATTATTTTCTGATACTTTAGCTGAAGATATATTACTTTTAAATAATTCACCTTAAGTTTTCAAATTAAACACTTCATTTTTTTTATATATATATACAATTATTAGAAAAAAATATTTTATTATTTTATTATTTACTTCTCAGTTATTCTCTGTGCACTTTTATTTTAATATTAATCATTATTTAACCGGTTCATTTTGAAAGATAAATCAATTTACTCGATGCCTAGAGCATATCAATAAAATGCGTGATTAGATAGATGGTTAACTAAATTAAAAAAATATTTTTTATAAATAATTATTATTGTTATTAAGTATATAACAACCAAATCGATAGCTACCTGTCGAGCTGAATGAGGAAGAATAAAATTAGTCAACAAAAAAAATAGACAATCAAACCATTTTAGTCCTGGATCAGTTTCCTGGTGCTTAAAGAATTAATCAGTTGATTCTTCAGGCCATGAAAAGAACAATTATTTCAGTGACATTATGGATAAATAATAATATATGAATTAATGTAAATTAATAATTAAATAGAGATAAAATGAAAATATAAAAATATATATTAGTTTAAAAAGTGAATTGTTTAATAAATAATCCGATTTTATCCTTTTCTTGGCCGTCGCGGTTATTTTTACAGTTATATTACCTGCAGCAGCTGTTGATTTTGTTGTTTCACGCATCAAAGGACTTGTCAAAGTCACACTGACTGTTACAGTTCCACCAGAAACAGTCAAAGCTGCTGATTCTGGATGTTTTCCAACATTATATGTTTCTTCTGGAGCAACTATTTTTAATTGAGCTGGTAAAATTTCCGCAACTTTGTTTAATAATGTCCTAAAAAGTAATTCAAGACAATTTAGTTTAATTAATTAAAAAAATTTTAAATAAATTTGTTTGATATGAAAATTATTTTACTTTGTAGGCTTTTCAGCACATAAGACCACTAAACAAACGTGATTATCACCAGATAAAAGTAATCCTTTAGCTAAATTACCAACACGCATCACTCCACGTAGAATTCTTGAATCTTCTTTTTCTTTTTGGAATGAGAATAAATTTCCATCACTACCATCCTCTTTTTGTGGTGGATTAATAGGTTTTTTCTTATCAGTACCTTCTTCTTTCTTAACAGAATCTGTATTTAAAATAGTTGTTGTTGTTGTTGTGGTTGTCGTTGTAGTTGTACTAGTTGAAGTATTAGAAGCCGATGGAGAATTTGTTGTAGTTGATGTAGGTAATGGTTGTGCAGCTTTTTTATCTATAAATAAAATATTTTCAATCAATATAAATTATTTTAAAAGGATAAATTGAAATAAAGATAAATACTAACTTGCTTCAGCCAAAGCATCAGAAACGAATTTCAATGCTTTTTCAGTGTGAGAGACAATTTTTTTAACAGCTTGAAGTTCTTCTTCTTTTGGATAAATAGTTGAGTGATGAGCATCAACATGTTTATCATCAGACGAATCTGATCTTCTAGGAACAACAGGGAACATAATTCCTGGAGGTCCAGGGAATGGTCGTGGCATTGGTGGAGCACCAGGCCCTCTTCCACAACGTCTATACCATTCATAATACTCTATTTCCTCCTCATATCTTCGTCGTTCTTCCCAATACATCATTTCTTCATCCATCATTGGACCTAACATACCCATTGGACCCATTTGATTCATTTCTTCTCGACGTCGAGAAAACTCCTCACGTGCTTGTTGACGACGATGTTTCTCTTCCATCATTTTTCGTTGTTTCAAACTTGGTTTAATATCCACCACTAAATCTGGATTCACCTTCTTCTTATAAGCAAATCGATGTCTACGACCTTTCATATGCATATCTTTGGCATTTGGATCGTTGAAACGACATTCACATAATTTACAATTGAAACTAATTATTTTCCCATCTTCTGATTTATTTTCTTCGATGTATTCTTGTCCCACTGGTTGAATATCTTTCTCTTCAGGTGTTACTTCTTCTTGGACTTCTTCTGTCGTTGTTTCTTCAGCTTTCACTTCTGTCGTATTTTGATTCACAGTTCCCAGATTACCCGCTAGATAATAAATACAATTGAAAGTTAATTTTATTTAAAATAAAATTGATTTAAATTAGTGGGAATAAAAAAAAATACTTACAAGCAACAAAATTAATTTTTGGTGTAGCAGTAACAGTAGGTTTTTTAGCCGCAGTTGTTTTGGCAGCAGCTGCAGGTTTAGGATTTAAAACAGTAGGATCAGCACTTGGAATTGGTTTGCCAAGTTTCGTATGAAGTTTAACAACCTTCTGATGCTTGGCACCACGAATGTGAGCAGCATAAGCATCATTTCCAGTACAAGTAACATCACATAGTTCACAACGCAGTGAATTACCAGCACCACGTGCTGGTGGTTGTTGAGGTACCTTCAAAGAAGCTTCCTTCTTCTTGTGTTTTTGACCTTCAAGATGCTCTCGATAAGTTTGGGGACCAGCACAACTGATTTTGCAGACATCACAATAATGAAGTTGTTGAGGTTTTGGTGGAGGTTTTGCTCTCATACTTTTCATTCCACCACCACCAGCTCCAAATCCCTTTCGTCCGTATCCCTGCCAACCTCCAGTCTTCTGGTTAGTCGAGTTGCTGTTTGCACTTTGTTGGGCTACGTACATAGTCGCAGCGCTATATAGCGCTGCGTCGTAGCCGGAATACGTTGTACTCGCCGTTTCTAAAGACAAATTGCAGATTCAAGATTCGCGAGCGCTTTTTTCGCTGTCGATTGATTTTTAATTTCTGCCGAGTTTATTTTTTCTTTCGAAACGGCGCGATTTTGTAAATATCAATCGCTTTTATTATCTATCAGCGATTCATATCCACGAATAATAATAGGAAATTTTTTCCGAAATATGTTTAACAATAAAAAGAAAAGCAATCGCTATTAAATTATATTAAACTTCTATTTTTCTTCATTGAAACAATTATTGTAATATATAAAATATTAATGAACATATTTCCAAAAATTTCCTGATGCAAATAAAAAGATTTATTTATCACTTACTATTTGTTGCAGCTGCAGGAGTGGCAGCAGGAGTAGCAGGAGCAGTATATCCCGAGGAATAAGTAGCACTTTGAGTAGGATTTGATTGTTGATAAGCAGTACTTGATGCTTGGTAAGTTTTAGCTTGACCAGTCGTTGTAGCTTGTCTTGCTGTACCCGTGTAAGCACTAGTAGTGCTATAAGCAGGTTTAGCTGCTTGATAATGAGTTTCAGTAGTGGTATAAGTAGCAGCGGCTGCTGCGGCTGCTGGTTGTTGATAATAAGTTTTTGTTGCGTCGTAAGTTGGTGCTGGAGCTGCACGTCCGTACCCGTAATCGTATGTCTGCGGCACAGCACCTGGATTAGCAGCTATAAGTGAAAAGGAATGTCTTATGTATCATAACCTAACGTGTCATTTTAATAATAGAATATTTATTGGATTATTTCGCAACTATTGATTGACTTCTATGATAAATATAACTAATAAATATAGATATTTACCAGCGTATGTAGTGCCTGTAGCGGCTGCAGCAGCAGCTGCCTGGTAAGTTTCGTATCCAGTAGCAGCCGCAGCAGCAGGTCTTTGAGTGTAAGTAGCAGCAGTTGCTGCTGGAGTCACAGCATATCCTGCTTGTCCTGTTTGATATGCAGCAGCACTAGTAGCTCTATAAAATATCAATGTAAATTAACAAAGTATACAATAATAATAGCATGATAATTATGAATGATAGAAATCATTTTATTTGTAATCAAGTCATGTTTTTGATGGATGATCAATGATAGCCAAAAGGCCAACATTTTTTGAATTGGATTAAAAATTAATTTGATAGACGCTTAGAAAGAATAAGTTGAAGTACAAAATGGCGGCTGAACCGGCTTCATAATCGCATGGTTAATAGTTTAACTAGTGAATAAAAATAGAGGAGATTGAAAGTCAATATGAAAGTCGATTGATATATATTTTGGAAAATGTCATTTTTTCCCTTTTTTTTAGTCAATTATTTTTTTTACTTACCCATATTGCGTTCCTCCGTGTGTAAAACCAAAATAATTGTTCTGAGCCATCCTTTCTCATACAGAGAGTCCCGGAAAGAGCGACTATTGCGGAAGTTGTCGGGCGTAACCACCATTCCAATGGAATAGTCTTGTTTCAGAGTTTGTTATTGGTGTTCATTTTAGTTTTCTACGATAACGTGATATTATTGGTGGAATAATCAATGACATTACCGAACATTGACGAAGATTCCCGATTATTTATACTATGCTGAAAAATGTATACTAAAGTTTAGATGATAAAATTGATTTCTATATTACCGATAAAACAAAGACAACGTTAGGGATGGGCGATATTGAAAAAAAATATCGATATCCGACAAACGATATTTCTCATCAATGGTTATCGATGTATCGATATTTTTTAAAAAATATCGATATATCGATATCAAAGTCATAAGCGGGATAATTTAAATTCTATTCATAAGTTTTATTATTGGATTATATCTGTAGATTTACTATGTAAAATTATTGTTATATTTATACATCACTTACAATAATCCTTCATAACCTAACTTTCTCAATTTTTGTTGTTTTTAATCTTTTTGATATTATTTGCAGAACCCTCGTCAGAAATAACATTTAGTTTACATTTTTCAATCAATCATGAATCTTCGTGGATCTTCTTGATATAGAGTTTCTAACCCTCTATCATCTTTATCTATACTGAACATGATTGTTTTTTTACTTTTTTTAATAATAAATTAATTAATAAATAATTAATAAACGCGTGAGACCTGATATTGAACATGTGACTACTAATGGCTTTTGGTTAGTTATTTAAAATACCACGAGAGGTCTCTACATGGTCGATATGACGAGAAAAAATATCGACCATCGATGTATCGTCTATGAAAAATATCGAATAAGAAGACTCGATATTAGAAAAAATTTATCGATATTTCGATACATCGACAAATATCGTCCATCTTCAGACAACGTGAAAGAAGCTGAATAAAAGCGTGGCTTGGTAGTGTTCACGTGTTTGTTGAAGTATTTTATTATTAATTCGGTTGTAAATTCGTTTATTTAAAATGGAAATTGTTATTAATGAGAACGATAGTGCTGTTGCGGAGAAGAACAATGCTCAAAAAGGAGAAACGACTTCGAAACGAAGGCATCTTAGTGAATCACAAATGGAGGTATGAGGTTATGTTTGGTTAGAATATAAACTAATTTATTTTTTTAGTAATTAATCTAATGTAATGGATGATAATTGTTCTCTGAAATTGTCAGGTTGATGTTGTCAATGGTATTGAAGGAAAGGTTAAAAGTAGGACTCCTAATAAAAGACTGAGAAATGTTGAAGGTGGAGAAATGAGAAAAGTGAGTGATTTGAATATAAATTCTAAAGATTTTGAAATGAAAAGCAAGAAAAAATTAGTAAAATTTATTAAAATACATTATGTAGCAGATAATCATTAATAGCAAGTTAGTCTATAAGCCCATTATTATTCAAAACAAGGTTAAGAAGTCTATGAGACTTAATGAAAAGCCTCATTCAATGGAAGAATGTTTTTATCAATAATAAATGATAGCATATGCTTCTTAATTTAAACTTTTTTTCTAAATGTTGACTTCAATTAAATTCTCGAAGAAAATTAACCTCAAAAAAATCAGGTTTTAAAGTCCTAGGATAGGGGATATTTATCTTTGCTTAATAAAAATATTTAAACAACTTAAATTTTTGATATTTTAGGTGGCAGTTCCAGCTCATCGCTATACACCTCTAAAGGAAAACTGGATTAAAATTTTTCCACCAATTGTCGAGCATCTGAAGCTCCAAATTCGTTTTAATTTGAAAACAAGAAATGTAGAAATTCGAACAGTACCTGGAGAAACTCAAGATATTTCTAATCTCCAGAAAGGTGCTGATTTCGTAAAAGCATTTATTCTTGGGTTTGAAGTTGATGATGCTTTAGCTTTACTTCGTTTAGATGATTTATTTATTGAATCATTTGAAATCCAAGATGTTAAACCACTGAAAGGTGATCATTTATCAAGAGCTATCGGGAGATTAGCTGGAAAAGGAGGAAGAACTAAATTTACTATTGAAAATGTCACTAGAACTCGAATTGTCCTAGCAGACTCAAAGATTCATGTTCTAGGATCATTTCAAAATATCCAATTAGCTAGACGAGCCATCTGTAATCTCATTCTGGGGACTCCACCATCAAAAGTTTATGGACAACTACGAAATGTTGCTTCACGGGTATCAGAACGTTTATAAAATATGTAAATATATACATACATACTTTTTGTAAATAATTATTACTCTTTATAATAAATTACTAAGAAATAAATGAAATAAGAAAGATTATTTTTTTTTTACATTTATTATAACGTGCTAAATGTTTTATGGAATATTTATACAACAAAGATAGCCAAGTCGGGTAATCGATTAAATAAATGTGGCTATATTATAACAATTATGAGTATATTTTTTTGTTTGATTTATGAGTGAACTACAAGTTAATTGTTTATTTAGATAAAAGCTTGTAGGGATTCTGAAAGAGAAAGGAAAAATGGAATTCGAATGATGAATGACAGAAAAAAATCGTATATTTGATGTGAAATTAAATTAATCGACCGATTTGTCATCACGTAGGAATAATTTTCCATTCATTTTATTCACATCGTCAATTGATTTCACAATAGAGCTTAGACGATTATATTTTTTATTGAAGGATTACAATTGTTCACAAATGATTGTAAAATATATTTTACTTACTTAAGTAATGCACTATTTTCAAAAACTCATGTTGAAAAGATATCAATTTATCACTCAGCTTTGTGATTGGTAAAATACCACGTACTTGCAGTCCGAGACAAAACGACAAATTACGTGAAAGATACTATTGAACAATTTGCTAAATAATATTGAGAATTGTAATTAAGGATTATATATATTGAATTCACAAGCAATTTACTTTTAACATTCTTTTCAACAAAATTTTTCGCTTTCGCTTTTCTCTTAGTTTCTTTTCAGAATTTTTAATTTTTACAGTTTTCACTAATATTTTTCTGTTTTGATACCGAAAAATAAATATTTCGAAGAAGAAACTAATTAGTCCGAATACAGTTCCGCCTATCCAAAGTAAAAAAGGAATTTTCAAATCTTCAAAATAAATCTTCCGAAAATTTACTTCATTCTTGATCTGCCATTTGTGTAAACTATTAAGATTTTTTTGTGTTATTTTATCAACAACACGTGTGAAAATTCTAGTTTCCATCGTCTTCAAAATAGCCCTATTCCATTGTTCGACCAGAGGAAATTTTACACGAAATAAAATACTTGAGAACATCGGTTCTAATTCACTAGTAGTCCAATAAATTTTTTCCATCATCTCTTTTGTAGATGATGGCATAATATTGTAATAAAATGTCTCTACAAACGATGATAACGTTATACATGCTACATTAGGATTATGTATAACTAAATCGAAGCATGGATATTCTGCAATTTTTTGAGATTTGTTTTTCAAAATATCTCCGAAAGGGTAGCTTTCAAAATTAAAACCCGAGTGATAAATTTTACTAATTCGTGGATCTAATAAGTCCTCAACCATTTCTACATTGGTTTGTAATATCGGGATGGTCAGAAATTTAGCTAAATTACCGCTGAAAGTTGCATGGAGGACCATAAAATACAAAAATATCACCGAAAAAAATATTTTAAGAGATAACGTATTGATTGGTATTAAGATTTCGGTATTGATTAGAAGCCGAATAACCTCAAAAGATGCAAAGGAGAAATTTCTATTTTTTTTCAACCATATCACCGCAAATGTAATTGTTAAAATCGTTAGCAACGAAATCAGAGTCCATATTCCATAAAAGTCCATGATTTTCTCTGAAGGTGTTTTGTATCCTCGTTTTTGTGAGATAATTGTTAACAAAACTCGTTTTATCGGAGCTGAAACTTGTAATGAATAGGATGGTACTTTGTAAATATGTAATTCATGAAGTACATCAATGTGCGGAAATTTTTTCATTAAATTTTCGCCTAAAAATCCACTAGTTCTCCGTGAAGGATAATAATTCCACTCGTAATATATAATTTTGATGTTTAATAATTTTTTCATGATTTCAAACTGTTGTATTTTGTCATCAGCTATATCTTTTGTGAAATTGTTATGAAAAGTACGTAAACCAATTTTCTTAGTATCAAATGTGTGTTTAATTCCAGCAATAAAGACGGTGATACCATTCAATGGAGCACGGTCGAATAAAAAGTTCTGACATACTGAAGCTAAATAGAAATTGAAATAAAAAAAAATTATTTAGTATGTAAAAAAAACAAAATTGTAATTCAATTAATTAATATTTTAATAATTCCAACTACAATTCCATCGAATTACTATTGTAATGGGGTCGATTTTTGAAATTCGTAGTTTTATCATATCTTTACGTTTTGAGACATTTGAAAGCATATTACACTGTAAATTGTAGTGTTTTATTTTAATTCACTTAAAGTGTTTTAAAATGACGTCGACCATTTGATTAACATTGTAGTAACTTTTAATGCACTTGGAAATGTTTGAAAAGTTACTACAATGTTTATCAAATGGGTGACATCATTTTAAAATACTTAAAGTGTTTTAAATTAAAACACTACGATTTGTAGTGTAGAAGGTTCAAAAATGGATTGATGTATGTAGGTATGTAGGTTTTTTTTTTTCGTTTTCAATATCAAATTCGATATTATGTTTAATTCGGAATCAAACAGATAAGAATATTAAATACTGATTTTCATTTCTTCAAAATTATAAATAATTGTGGTTTATTTTATTTTAATAATGCGTACCTTTTCGAAAAAATCGTCCATACAGTGTCCACTTGTTATGAAAAACCATTTCGGTTTCGAATTTACTCCAAAACGGATGTTTATCATTACCGTAAGGATCATGAGTAAATATACCAACATTAGTAGAATTCCGCATGCAGAAAATATAAACTTCAGATAAATAAGTCATTTTCAATTGCTTTAATAAGAATTCTACTCCTGCGCAGTTGCGATTATTATTGGTGTCAACTATGAACATTGTGTTATTCTTATTCAAATTCCAATTATAAGCTATATTTATTACTATCAGAGACCAATCATCGTGAGGATGTTTAATTATAATAACACCATTGATGTCAGTTATGAATTGGGTATAAAATTCATGTAAATCAGCCTCTGATTTTAGTAGTTGCCCAATTGGAGATCGGATCGATGAAATGGCTTTAGAAAATGATGCATCGATGCTATTTTCATAAATTAATATATTTTTGAACCCCAATTCACACTTCTGAAGTATTGTAATCTGAATTCAAATTCATACCATTTATCGTGGATAACATTAAGTTGACAAAGAATCAGTTTATTTCTTACCAGTGCTTCAGTTAACTGTGGAAATTTTTTAACCGGTTGAATTTTAATCTTCAAATTATCAGTTAAAATAAGTAAACTTGAACTTACAAAAAAAACAATACAATAAGGTTTCAACATGATTACATGGAAAGCTAATTGAGAAACGTTAGTCTAACAGATCATTACTGCAATGACACTGTGACATAAAGCTTATCCAACACTATTTTATAGTTTATTTTATAATTTCAAAGAAATACCATAATAAATGTTAATGCACGTCAATATTATCTTGCGTGATGTTACGGTTAATCATTCGATGTATGATAAATAGATTTTTCTATTGAAAATATTAAAAAAATAATGAATATTAATGGAAACGAGAAATCTGAAAATGTTTGAAAAATAATGAAAAAAGATGAGAAAATTGCAAGTTTTTATTTCTCCACATATTTCTTTTTTTTTTTACGACGCATATTCGAAGCTATTTCTCCTTCGAGGATCACCAAAGAGCATCCAAGACCAATGGCTAAAATTTTAAAAGCAAAAGCAAGATTACCAATGGAAATAATTCGAAATCTTGGTTCAGTCTCCAATGCCTCAGTGGTTGTGAGGTTATTTTTAAATTCATACACATCTTGGGCATCCCACAAGCTTAACAATCCTGATTCAAAGCATTTGAATGCTATTTCATCAATTCGTTGGATAAATGGGAAACTTTTAGGGACAGCCATTGATATATAATCAGGTAGAAATGGTGGTGATACATGTAATTGATGTCTATAAGCTGGTCCATAGGCTCTTGAAATAGAAGTGATATAAGCTGCTTGAGAATTATTCAGCACATGTTTATATGCATCTGAACTGTTATGAAATATAAGCAATTTTTCAACTGGTGATAAACCATCCACAAAATTATTAAAGTATTGCTTGTACGTGTGAATATTAAACTTGTATTCTTTCAAATCATCTAAGGTGTTGATGGATATACGAGCAGGTTTAGTTAAAAATGTTGCTAAATTACCTTGGAAAGTAGAATTAATTATCAAAGCAAGCCATAAGATACCAGAAAAAAATATACGAATTGGTGCATTGGTCAATGGCTGTTCAACACCACAAGATACCAACAGTCTTCCAATTTCAAGTGCTGCTGTAGACAATCTCTGCTTCTTATTCAACATCAGTGCAATTATTGCAGCACCAAAAGAAAGTATTGACATCACATAAACACCAGGACTGTAGAAGGACATAATTATATCCTCTGGATTTAAAAAAGGTCTCTTCTGGGTCAGAATCACCAGAGATATTGATTGAAGTGGATAAGCTGGAACTACTAAGTCTCTATCCCAGGTAATCATATACAAAGGTGCTAAGATTAAATGAAAATAATTTCTCTTCATGTAATAAAGAGTTGAATTATAGCGAATATTGCTGGTAACATTCCAAACTTTAAATACTGTTAAAATTAAATTTGCATCTTTTGTTGGTGCAGTGATTGGTAAAGTTGCTTGATCATAATCTACATTCGGATCCCATAGTGTTTCAGGTTTTGGAATGGAGATGCAATTGAGTCTGAAGCCATTCATGAATTTTAATTGATCGAACATCAGATTGAAACAATTGTCTTGGTCTGAAACAAAAAAAAATAGTCTCATGATACTGATCTGAACTCGTTTTTCACGGGTAAGATTAATCTGACATTAAATACCTGCTTGATGTCGTCGTTTCAAGAGAGTCAACATGCCACTCGATGTGTTACTTCTTTTAACTACGATCCAAGGATTTGGTGCTTGGCTGGTGAATGGATTATATGTGTATATCATCACCCCATCATCACTAACATAACATAGAAAAATAACTGATAATAATTTAGATCTCCAGATTACATCAAATATTTCTGAAACATTGCTACATGATTGATCTGGTCTAATTAAAATACACTTTAAGCTACCAGTCCACCATATAGAAGAGTTTAAATTTTTCAAAGTGAGATCAAACTGATGGATGGAGTCAACAATTAGCACTAGAGTTGATATCTTTGGATAGTGTTGGTAGCTTTGAACAGCCTGGAAGTGATCATCAACTATAATTATTGGCCTTAAATGATTCTGATTGTGTAGATATTGGAACTGTTGACTAATTTCTTTGGATACAATCAGTGGATTTAAATTATTTCGGAAACATTGGTTCAATATACCTTCCTAATGGCATAAAAAGAATAAAATTGAATCATGTTTTCTACATGATTATTTCATTTAAAAATATAATCATATTCTTACTAATATTTGATAGACATTCAAACTATTGGAGGCTGGAGATGTCACAGCACTGAATATTTTAGCTTCTGCACAAGTAATTGTTAGAACAAAAAATATTATCTTCATCAACGAATACATTGTAGTGTTATCACTAGTGCATTGAGCTTTATAATCGACCAACCAATGCATTAATTGTACTCTTGATGTCTCAAGGGAATTATTAAATTGGTTTCATTAAACCAATTATTATTGCAAACATAATTAAAATAATTAATACACGGTTTTGAATTTTTATAATTATATTTAATCACTTGGAAAATAAAATTATGTTTAATTCTTTAATTAGTTTACAATATTCATGTGTTATTTTGATGTAGAATATTTTTTAATGCAATTCGAATATTATTTAAATCAAAAAGCGTGCGATAAATTTTATTTTAACCGATTATCGATAAGCTAGTGTACACATCTGAAGGTAATAATGCGTGCTTCTTTTATTTATTGTCGGTAAAACAGAGAAAAAGAGAGTGAGAGGAAAGTCTGAAGCGTGGATTAGCACTAAGAATATTTTGAAATTAATTAATGTTTAATTAGTTTAGTAAAAGTGAAATTGTGTTATTTATTAGGTATTTAAGTTCTTTAAATGATTTTTATTAATTCAAGTAATTAATCAAGATTTTTATCTCATAATTTCAATGAAATTATCAGCCTGCATCAAACATTGTGTTGATTTCTAATAAAAACACTGACTAGAAAGACAAGTGACTTGAGCATTAGCATGAAAAAGTGCAAGTGAAGGTGTATAATAAGAAATAAAAAGAATATCCAAGGAAAAATAAAATGAAAATATAATTCTTAGTCTGATGCTGGTGAAATGCAAGAGATATTGGGTTAATAACCTTAAATTTAATGCATCAATGCATTTCTTGGGTTATTATACACTCCTGATATGAGTGAGTATAAAAATTTATTTATTAAAATTATTTCATTTTATTGTAATTCGTTGATAAATTCATTTAGTATTATAAAAAATTAACTAAGCTTGCTAATAAATAGCCTAGTGATTTATTTAATTAAGATTATAGTGAAATTTTATTAAATAAAACTCTGAAAAAAATCATGTACATTTACAATAATCTGCTTGAATTGAACATCAATTGAGCCAAGCACTTGTTTCGATTACGGTAAATTTTATAGACCAAGTCACTGAGTAAGAATGCCTATAGTGAGTTCACCACCCACTCTCTTCAGGTGTAACGTTCTCCACTGCTCTTTTATTATTCCCTGTGCGCAGTATGATAGCGTGGCTCACGTTTCTCAGACATTCATTTCTTCCTAAACATTAATTTATATTTTTTTACACTAATATAACTTTCATAAATATTACCAATAAATGTTGCAGCCTATCATGCAGACACGATGGCAAGGATTGAATTAAAAGTGTTGGAAAGTCTCAAGATCTTGGATGCAAAATGTTTCAAAGAGGTGAAGATATTTATAATATTAGCAATGCTCATCAATATTTCATCTGCCAGTGTTGGTGAAAATTTAGGAAATTATTCAGACATAGATCTACCTACAAATCATCTCAAGTATTATTTCCATTCATTTCCTGCTGTGGTTCAAAAATGTCAAGATGATCCAGCATGTCCATATAAGGTAAACAGATATTTATTAATATGATGACACATCAACTTTATAATATGTGCATTAAGTTTTTTACAGTGAAAGATCAATTTGTGTTTTTATAATGTTTAAGAATAAATTTTTTGTGTTTACTTCCAACAGCAACTTCTATTAAAAATACTATAAATGAACTTCCAAGACCAATTGCTAGCAATTTTAGCATGAATAGAATATCAGCAGTGGTGAGAGGTCGTACATGTGGTGAAGTTTCTAATTCTTCAGTGTTTGTCAAATTCATTTTGTACCGACCAATCGCAAATTCATCCCAATAATTTTGCAATCCAGATTCAGCATACCGAGATGCTATTTCATTGATCCTCTTACCAATTGGCAGAGTCATCAGGAAATATTGGTAACTGAAACTGCAAGGGTCTGACACATGTAGCTGGTGTTTGTAAGCTGGTTCATATGCTCGGAAGTCAACTGTGATGTAAGCTGCAAGAGAATCATTAAGAACAACTTGGTATCCATTGAGGTTCTCAAGTATCTTAGCTGACAGTTGCATCTCGGAGAGTATGAGATTAACACTTGGAGTACTGCCAGCATTTACGTAAACCTTGTACTTGAAATGCTTCAGATCAGCTATTGAATCAACGCTTTGACGTTCAGGTCTGGTTAAAAATTTAGCCAGGTGACCTTGGAATGTTGCATTAAGTATTATCACCAACCATAATATGCCGAATAAACAAATTCGAAGGGGTAGTCTGTTCAATGGTTGAAGGACACCAGTTGACACTAGGAGTCTTATTAATTCCAATGCTACTGAAGAACATGGCTGCTTTTTGTTGAGCATCAATGCAATGAATAGTACACTGAAGGAGATAATTACGAGAAGAATAATTAAAAAGCTGTAGAATGATAGAATTTTGTCTTCAGCACTGAGAAAAGGTCTTTTCTGAGTTATGATTACTGTTGATGTTTGTCGGAAAGGATAACTGGTGTGAACACCTTTTCCAATTGGAGATAAATTATAAGAAGTCAAAAGGAATTGATACCTTTCTAAAGGTAATGATTGTCTGTAATGAATAATTGGAGTTATGTTAATCTTTAGAAAAATATTGAGAGAAAATTGAGCATTAAAGTATGGTAATTTTTCTGTTAATGATGATGAATCATAGTTCATATCATTGATCCAATTTACACCAGATTTGGGAACTCCTGCTACTTTCATTTTATATCCATCCAAATATTTAGTCTTGTCATACATTAAATTCAAGCATAAATCTTGATCTAGATAATAAAAAGGTGGATTATTCTTTGTGTAATAGTTGGAGTAGAGAAATACTGATGCTTACCTTCGTGATAATTGCGCTGATAGAGTGTCCAAGATTCATTATTCCACACTTTTACCCAAGGATATGGTGCGCGATTAGTAAAAGGATTGTATGTATACAACTGGACAACATCTTCTAGATCATTATAGCATAAAAAAATAGCTGATAAAAATTTGCCTCTCCATAACATACCCAGAACTCTCTGGACTTGTTGACAAGAGTTCAAGCTAACCAGAATGAAACTAGGATCGTTGTTACTCCAAACAGATAAAAATATTTCTCGAAAAGTTTTTCCAAATTTATCAAGAGAATCTACAATCACTACAAATGTTGCTGAGGTTGGATAGTAACTTCTCCATTGTGCCTTAGTCTTAGTCTGGTTGAAGTTTCCGTTCATAAGAATCAAAGACATTGGATACTCTAGACTGGAATAATCTCTCAGTTCTTGATTTATCACATTAGACATGATCAGAGGATTTAACTTATCCTGATAGCACTTGATCAATATCTTTTTCTGTTAATTATTAGATACAATGTGATAAATTTAAATTTAGAGAATAAGAACAGTTTAAAGAAATTATTTAATACTCACTAGTGATTCATAAATATTTAAAGTACCATCATTAGTATTTGGAGATATTAACAGCTTCATTGAAACTGCAGTAACAAAACATAACAATTTAAAAATGAAAAATAATTTCATTTTTAAGAGTATCTTTGTTAAGTTTATTAAATAAATTTCTTTATTTAGTAAATGATGAATATAGACTGCCTTTATATTCATCATGTTTAAAACTTTTATTCAGTGATGAGTATATTTGATTGTGTTATGATAATAAAAGTAAATGTTAATTGTATCAATAATATGAACGTAATATTTTAAAATTGTCTAATAAGTTAAATAATAATATCCAACTTGATTAGACACTGATAAAACTATATAACAGTTTATGTATTTAACTTTAACATAACATTTAATTTAATAGAATTTTATTATTTACATTGTGATAAAAAATTTTATTAATTATTTCTGTTGTAGGATTATTTAAATGAGAAAGGATGCTGGGGCTATGAAGAGGATTGTGATAAAAAATATGCATTCTCAACTCCACACTGTCCTGGAGATCATAAGGGTTGGGTTCAGACGAAGGAAGCTCAGGTTGATACTTTTTATGCTCAAGGAGACTTTGGATATGTTAGAGATCAGAGGAAAGAAATGATGCTTTTGTGCGAGCCATTTTTTGTGGTAAAATAATTTTAATAGCTATTTTATTTATAGAAAAATAAATAATTATCTTGTTACAATTAATTTATCATATTATTTTTAGGAAGATTCATCACTAGAGTGCTCTGAGCATCTACGATTTTGTAGAGGACGTAATATAATGATTAATTTTGAGGACTTAATCAACCGAAATGAACCCCTAAGATATGCAATGGATGTTTTAAAAGAAGGCCAAATTGGTGGTTATTGCTCGTAAATATCTATTTTATTTTTATATTAATCAAACAAAGCATACCTGTGAAAAACGAGTTCAGATCAGTATCATGAAACTGACATTAAAATATTTAAATAATAATAAGATTTAAATTTGATCAATTTTTTATTTTAATTAAAATTTTCTTTTGAATTTATATTCAGATCAAATCTAATCTGAACTCATCAATAAAATTAACTGTTCACGAGTAGTACATTGTGTTTATAAATTATGTTACCAGATGGAATGCAAAAAAATTGCTAGAAAATGCAGATCATATCAGTGCTTTGCAATCTTGGGGACCGGAATTCCGAAACTTTAGAAAATTACCACGACGTCCAATTGTGGAGGGCGACTGTGATATTGTTATTGAAAAGCCAACATATATAATGAAAATTGATGCAAGTTAGTACATTAAATAAATATTAGATTAATTAATTATTTAATAAAAATTAAAAAATAATGAATTGGAATAATTGTTTTTATTTCAGCTGTAAATTTGTATCATCATTTCTGTGATTTTTTTAATCTCTACGCTTCATTACATGTAAATAATACTCATCCATCAACTTTTAGTACTGATAATCATATTCTCATATGGGAAAGCTACAGGTGAATATTTTTTTTTTGTTTTTAATTAACTAATTATTTGATCATAAATTAATTTTTTCTTTTTAATGAAGCTATCGATCAGCATTTCAAGACACCTTTGAGGCATTTACTCGAAATCCTCTTTGGGATTTGAATACATTCCGTGGTGATAAAGTTTGCTTCAGGAATGTAGTGTTTCCTTTACTTCCAAGGATGATTTTTGGTCTTTATTATAATACTCCTTTGGTAAGTTTAATTATAATATTATTCATTTTAACATAAACATACTTTTAAAATTAAATTTATAATTCATTAATATATTTTTGTACTTTACAGATTTATGGTTGTGAGAAAAGTGGACTGTTTAAAGCATTTAGTGAACATATTTTACATAGATTAAAAATTCCACTACATCCAAGGAAAAATGATAAAATAAAAGTTACTTTGCTTAGCAGAGATACAAGATATAGAAGAATATTAAATGAAGATGAATTGGTAGAAGCATTAAAGAAGAATAAAAAATATAAAGTTAGGAAAGTTGTGTACAATCGAAATGTACCCTTTAAGAAGCAGTTAGAGATAACACGAAATACAGATATCTTCATAGGCATTCATGGTGCTGGCTTGACCCATGCTCTTTTTCTACCTGATTGGGCTGCTATATTTGAATTGTATAACTGTGAAGATTCTAGCTGTTATAAAGATTTAGCAAGACTACGTGGTGTGAAATATTTCACTTGGGAAAAGAATGATAAATTAATCCAACAGGATCCAGTAAGTTAGGAAAATTCAATGCTTCTTTCTGTGATAATATAAATACTGTTATTTCAGGGAACACATCCTGATGGTGGAGCACATGCGAAATTTACCAATTATAGCTTTGATGTTGAGGAATTTTTAAGAATTGTGTCCCGAGCTGCTAAATATGTAAAAGGACAAGAATCATTCAAGAGGTTTGTTGGAAAAAGTATTAAAGAAAAATCATCATTGAAGGATGAGTTATAGAAGTTAATAAATAAACTAGGCATCAGCGATAGATTAAATTGTCGGTAGTTACCATGATAGTGATAGCATTTGTACAACTAAATGACTGGTATCAGTAATACCAGTGAAAGGTCATTGGACTTTTATATTTTTTATATACAGTTTATCGAATAAAGCTCTGAAGAAAATCATTAATAATATAATTAATATTTTTTATTGTGGAATATTAATGAATCCAGTCTTTTATATTGTAATATTTTATTTTACAGTTTAATCTTTTTGTTAAACCGATAAAGAATAAAAACAATAAAAATACAAATGGCAGAATAAGATATCAATAAACAAGTAGCATACACTGATGATACATACAGAGTTTTAATTCTCATATTAACAATACCAGTAAGTAAATTGGCGACTAGGAAGAAAATCAATCCATTAAAATTAACAGCTTCAAACAATTCTGGAGTTTTCTTTATAACTCCATCATCACTTTCATCTTTGGTAGTTTCTTTTTCTTTAAATTTCACTTGACGATTCTTTTCTTTCTTACTTTTATCACCATTAACATTTGTTCTCAGCAATTTTGAACGATCACTATTGTCTTCAGTCGTCATTTGGATCAGGATATCAATCATTATCTCAACAAGAAGCAGAAGAGTTAATACTGCAGTACTTAAGGTAATAATCCATGCACAATACCCAGAATTAGCTAATCTTCTAGATACTCCGAAATACCGATCACAAAGTAAAGTAGCACCGCAAGCGATTGGTGCTATCACTGAAAGTTTAATACAAAGAATCATTGATTTATTGTACTCAATAGCCAACTTTTTGCCATAGACTTTAGCTTCAATGCCAATTCTTCGGTTAGGATTTTTTATTTTGCCATCAGTTGGATGGTAATTAGCGTATATCAATCGACCAACAGCAATGCCAATTAAGTATAATCCAACATAGCCTGGTACAGAAACTAATCCTTCACGATTTGCTGATACAAAGTCACTTCTTGGTGCATTACCTAGGACCCATTCTTTTAATCCTTTTGTACTCAGAGCATATTCATGCATTGCAATTATCCAAATTCCAGACAGTAATGAGTATTTTGAGCTAATAGCACTGGTAACAGTGCTGATGAATATCTTAACAAATGCTAATGTGATAAAAAAATTCCAATGAACACCATACTCTGTAATATGTTTTTGATAATTGGAATATTCAATTGCCCACATCCGACCAATACCTAAAAGCAACAGTGGTGCTGTACTTTTGACAGAATTCCTAGCGTTGATGGTGAATTTACGAAAATGTGAGATTTTCTTTGAAAAATCAAACTCTCGAGTCTCCGGAGCAACTAGAGCATTTGCTATGATAAATAATCCAACACCTGTGTCCATCAAACTGTATCCATACACTTCAGTTTTGGCAAATTTACGTGGGAAAATACGAAAATCCACTGCTAAAATACAAATAGCAGTGAGAATGTTGGTTAAAGCTCGAAAATTCGTTACAAAAGGTATTCTTGATGTTTGATGATGTTTATGTTTAAAGTTAGATGGGTTATGTGCAATTATGTAAAAATTTATCAAAGATATTGTCATCATTGTTGCACATACAACTAAAATATGATCTGATAAAATTGTACAACAGAGAATTGAAGGTATAATGTTGAATATAAATTCGATTATTGGAAAAAGATTACGGTTGTGCTTCAACTTTGATCCAATCAGTCCTGTGATTGTAGCTGTGACTAGGATTGATAAACTACTTGGAAGAATTACCATTATCACTTCTCTACTAGTACTACCACCATGGTTTGATACAAATTCCTCCTTTTCTTGTTTATATCGTTGAGCTTCGTCAAATAAATCCATGTTGTAATTAAAAAAAACACTAATTTTAAAACACTACGGAGGTTATGTTTTTTTTCTTATTGATATTGTCTAATCATTTCCTTCGTGATTTTCTGATATAATATGTATAAAACAGAATAAATTGATATTTTATTATTTTTTTATTATTCAATAATAATTGTTTTTGTTATGGTAGCCATTTTGTTTGTTTACGCGTCAACGCGCATTGTGTTCTGCGTCGATTTTAGTTTCGTTATAATCCACAAGGTCGCGCTGTAGTCGAATTCAACAGGGCGAATGACGCTAATGACGCTTAATTGTTAGAGACAATAAAAATAATTAAATTACTTATTCAAAATGATTTCTCAAACTTTTAGGAGTGCATTTCGTTTCCTAAAAAGTCATCGAACTCGAATATTATGTATGCACATTCGACAATTATCATTTGAAGTAAATATCATGAAATATTCGGAACATCGAAATGTTGTTGATGTTTACTAATGCGTAGTATTTGATTTTTAATTTCAGACGCTTCGTTTTAGAAAGCCAATTTTTTTTACACCTGGATTATCATTAGGTTTATGGGGTTTTGCCAAGAAAGATGGTTCAAGTAATGATTTACGAATTGAAAAAGCTGGTATCATAGCTAAAGCTGATGCTCTCTATGAAAATGGTGAATATCAGAAACTGTATGGAATCCTAAATAATTATAGAGTATGTAAATATATATGTTTAACATTTAATAGGATTTAAACTTATTTGTAAATAGTAGTTTTATTTTAGAATAGTCATGATGATGAAATATTATGGAGGTTAAGTCGAGCTGTATACAGTTTGGCTAAAACAGCTAGTGATTCTGAAGCTAAAAAAATGTTCAATGATGCTTATGATATAATTACTGAAGCTTTATCTATCAATCCTAACAATTGGGCTGTACACAAGTGGATGGCGGTTATAATTGACAAGAAATCAAGTTATGATGGTATGAAAGCAAGAATCAAAGAATTAAATCGCGTCAAGGAGCACATGCTGGTAAGATTTGCTTTCTCATTATTAATCTCCTTAACTTGATAGATTTTTTTTCAATACTCTTAATAAAATATTTACAGAAAGCATCTGAATTAAATCCTAATGATGCTACTGTACTTTATATGCTAGGGCATTGGTGCTATTCAGTGTCTGATCTTGCTTGGTATCAACGAAAAATAGCTTCTACAATTTTTGGCAAAGTTCCTGATTCATCGTTTGAAGAAGCTCTGCAATATTTTAAAGCTGCTGAAAAAGTAGAACCCATGTTCTACGGTGATAATCTTCTGTTCCTGGGAAAAACGTATTTGAAGCTGAATCAAAAAGATGAAGCAATTAAATATTTGAAGATGGCTGCTGAGTATCCAGCCAAGAATGATGATGATCACAAGGCTAAACAGGAGGCAACGAAGATTCTAGGAACTTTACATTAATTGAAGGAAGGGTGAGTAGAGAAATATGAATTCTATAAGGTGAAGGGTTGCATGAAATTTAGTTTTAATGCATTTAAAATACTTGGAACATCACAAATACACAATGCGTCTCGTTAAAACCATTTTATAAATTTCTCTTCAACGTCAAGAAATGCTTTACAATCGTCTAACAAAGTTGATAGATTTTATTTTCACATTTAATTACGACCTTTCTGTTGACATCTTGAACAACTTGAATGCTTTGATTTAAATGAGTGAGGATTGATCAGATCGTTGCTATTGTAATATTTCTCGAACCACTGCTTAATGCTGAGATATATATTCATTTAATTAAAATAGAACATCAATTAGAGATGTAGGTTTCATACCTAAATATCAATGGTGCTTTGTCTGATTCCTAATTGCACAACCTTCCTATAACAATGCTTCCATGTGATGAATGTTTTTAGAAGTTGATGTCGTGTTGCATCCTTGTAAATAGCACCAAATACATCCTGGTTGAAATCAGTTCTTACTTGCAGCTGCTCAGACTGGTGTATGATTAATGATCTAAAAATCATTGGCAACCAACTTCGACACCAAGTCTCCAATATTATTTGCACAAAATATACGTTGATGGGGACGTCATTCGCTAAGTCTCGACAATGAGAACCTGAGGAGAATGAACTCCACGTCTTCTGGGGAACATTGGGAGCTTTTCAACAAGAAAGATTGCTACATCTAGGTACAAATGCTATCCAACTGGTGTTAAGACATAAACTTACTTAGATCAAGACTGAAGTTGGTTTATGTATCAGCTCATGATGACTGATTGAAAGAAAAGCAATAATTGGAGTGTTTTCTTTGTTGGAAAGCTTCTATTAATTAGGAAGATTAGATATTTTTTAATTTTTATATTTTTATATATTTTATATATCCATGGAAACATTCTAATACTGACAATTATGATGATGAAAGTGAGTTGAATTGGACAGAGTTATTTTTTTATTTCATTTTTGAATGAAAGGTAAATTATTTTGGTTGTTAATAAGAGTTCATAAATTGGTTGATGATAGAAATCATTGTTAAATATTTATGAAATTATTTCAAAGTTCTAAATTGTGCAATATTAATTAATATTTATAATAAAAAGCAGTTGACTAATCATCAGCTAAATAATCATGAGAATACTTTTTATTTATTTGTGGCAAAAAATACAATTCTTAGTGTATAGGAGTATAATTTATTATCGCATTGAATAAATAATTTATAAGAATAAACCTATGGGATCACTCGTAGTTATCAATATTAATAACAATTTATTTAATTAAAATAGGTACGTAATCGACGTTATATCAAAAGATATATTATTTTAAATTAACGCAATTATTGTACAGCCTATTGTGTCATGTCATTCCATTTCGCTCTTACCTATATCTCTGTAATTATATTACTTATCATCTTTTTTCTTTCATCGGTTTTATTTGCAAGTATATTCTTCAGTACGTTCTGTGCATGTGTCACAATGTACACGACAACACCAATGAAATTTACATCTACATTGCCAAGATCTTGTATATTGATGGGTATTATATCCTCGTCCACAGCACATTAAATCGCATCCATCTGTTCCTAGAATTATTTTTATAGTTTATTTTTTTTATTATAAATAGGATTTTATTAATCAAATATTTCAGGTAGAATAATTTGATTACCTTTACTTGTACGATTACATGATCTTCCTTGAGTACCAAGGCTACCCATTGTTAGATCTGGTTCACAATAGTTTGGTGATGGTTGAAGAAATACCAGTTCACTTCTTTTAGGAATTCTCTTTTGATTTATTCCTACACCTCCACTTAATTTAGCTCTCTTTAATACTAAATGTAGTTTTCTAGCACTGCTAAATTTTTTTAAAGTCCTCCTATCAGTTCTCACATTCACTTCATTAGGTTTCCCTTGTGTCTTGGCGTCATTTCCTACTATTGGAACCACTTCTATTGATGATTGATCCATGTAGTCAGTACTCTAGAATTAATTAAATATTAGTAATTATTATGATTAACTTTTTTTTTTTTTTTTTATTGTGTGTTTATTTATTTATTTATTTTAATGATAAATATGTGATGATAAAAGTAGGTTGTTACTTTGATGAGATTCATTTTTTTTTAATGTCGTTGATAAATATGGGATGGTTGTGGGTAAAAAATTACGAATGTGTGTTTAATAAATCAACTATTCCATAGATGAAAATTTAAGATGAAGAAATAACGGACGAAATATGCGTGGTTTAAATTTATTGTCGTAACTTATTGCACTCTGATGGTGCACGAGATACTCTGATTTGCATACTAAGCATTGAACTTCACCCACGCATTTAATCTTTATCATCGGAAAATAATATTTTTGATGAATTAAAGATATTTTATACATCCTGAACATTCAAAAACAACTATCAAAACAATTTTTGAATAATTTATATCAATAATATTATTTTATAATAAATTCAAAAACATTGGAGATCATTCTTCATCTTGGAACTAGACTTATTTTTTATAAAACAAGGGTAAATATTTATTTATTACTAAAGCAAAAAGATAATCAATTAGAGATTTAGAATTAAATTGATTAAAGATTGCTAGATTAATGATAGGATTTAATGATAAAGCAGTACTTGATGATTTTCTTATTAAATAAAGTCTAACTTTCAGAAAATTGGTAGTTACTTGAATGATTGCTGGTGAAGACGGTGGAGTTATGGCTATTACAGGTCTCGCACGATAATACTTTTTCATTAAAGCATCTCCAATTTGTCGGAAGCTAGGTAATGTTCTCCAACAGGTTCTCACTGTACAGGAGCCAGATACTCCATGACATTTGCATTCTGTTTGAAGCATTGCCTTGACAATCTGAAAAATAAAATTCATTTCATTATTTATGTTTTAAAATATTCTTCAAGAATCTAGAGGTATTATTTATCAATAATGAGAGAATAATTACTTTTTAAAATGAATAAAAACTACTGGACGATAAAATGAAACATTTAAATGGTGAAAAGTGATTGAAATTGTAAGTTAAATTGTATTAAACTGTTTTAAAAAAAAAATCATGTAACACATTTTGATTGAGAGATATCCAATGACTTGTATATCTAAGCATGAACCAGTATCCAACATTACCTGTTATTATCTGACCGATCAATTTACAGTATAATTGAAGGAAATCGTAACGAATCGTCGCTAATGGCTCAGTAGGACATACCAATTGCTAGAAAACTAGAACCTCTGATAAATCTAAATGGCAAATTCTTTCAATCTTGCCCAAAGATATCATATCAAATAGTATTTTAATTAATTTTTATCTAAGAATTAAAATACTAGCTATTTTTTTTTTTATTCTTATCTTACGATTGGATTACATAAAAATCTAAGTTGACTCACCTTTCTTCCGGCCTTGTTGTTGTGGAGATTCATGAGACTCCTGGCATCACCTTCCACCTCTCGTGCATCAAGAAACCTACGCGCAAACCTATCATTGCAAAGATATCAATGATCACGTATTTTTCTTTAGTTCATTAACAAGAGACTTTTGACTTACCTCATTCCATAAGTCACGTCTGCACTGCATCCACCCCATTCCCATCCATTTGGTGGTAAAGCTTTTCTTGTTCTGAATCATCGTCATGTTGAACATCATTATTAATTAATCATCAAAGCATTCAAGAAGTTGGAATGAATTATGGGTTAAATTGAAATTAAATTAGTAGTTACTTTGAGGTACAGGTTCATCACTGATGCATTTATGAAGGCAAAAAGGTTCCATTGTAGGATTTGAGATCATCAAAAGTATGATAGCACTAGATGGATCTAGTTATCAATTTAATCCATAATTAATTCCAATCTCTTTAAAAGTATTGACTGTAGCATTGTAAATGTTTTTTTTACACTATATCATGTATGAAAAGAATGATTGACAAGTGAGCTTACCTTACAGCCGGTTCACAACCACAAGCTGTTATGTTTCCTCGACTACAAGCCGCAGTAACTGCATATGTTACACCTGCAGAGCTTATTGCATAGGTAAAAGCAGCCTCTCTGCTTCCTGAAATCATCCCAAGCATCATTTTATAATTTATTTTATTGATTATATTACATACTCAACACTAATAGTCTTGACAACAAATTACAATTTATAAACTTGATAATATTTTTTTCTTTTCACTTTTACTAGATATTTAAATCAAACTCTAAAATAATCTCATGTCGTTTTAATTTACAGCTTCAAAGTAATAGAGAGAGAATAAGCGTGAGTACAATTAATTACTCGTGGTGAGCTTTCAACTCGTTTGCCCATCCAAGATGAGTTACCGTTCGTTAGAGAGTTCTTTTATTATTCTTTATCTCCACTTCTTTCGCACTCAGCTTCTCTATTTCTTTTTAACTCCCACACGACTTCACTACTAACTCTAAGAACCTGTCATCGAGTTTGCATTCATTCTCTTGCTCCAAGGGACACTGATGAACAAGCTAATTGTCTGATAAATATAAGTTAGAGAGCAATCGTTTGAATTATTCAGGTGATTACAAAGTAATTACTAGAATATTTAAATAAATAGATACATTTGTATTTTAGAAAGCTAAGGAAAAACATTCCAAGTCCTTCATAGAAAAAGCTTTCTTCCATGACATTGGTGATGTCTAGAACTTAGACCTTGGACACTTCTAGGTTTCTCCAACTTTCTTTCGATTAGAAAGTAGTTACACTCAACTTAAGTTTCAACCCCTTTCCTGGTCCTTAGGTCAATCCTTCTTCCAAGGTCTAGACACTTGGACTTTGACTCCAGCATCTCCAATATCCATGCTTATTATTTATCAACAAATATTTGATGTATTTTGGTCTTGCTCTCTCTTTGATGATTGAATAGTTGCATTGAAGATGATTTATTCTGGTCCAATTGGATTCTAGAATGACCAGTGATGGAATCTTTGTCATCTATTGTTGAAGATCCTTCATCCAGCACAACTTATACTTGATCTCAAGTTCCTTATGACGATCATTGCTCGTATTTTCTTCATGCTATTTTTATTATTCTGCCTGAGGCAACGAATTACTCCAACGATTCAATGATCTTATAAGTTATAACAAATAAATTACATAGAGTTATAGTCCAAGACGAAAAGCCGTTGGTATCCTGTCGACAATTGACATAAATGCCATGGCATAAATCTATCGTATATTTGATTACTCTCTTATAAATACATTCCGAGAAGAAAATAGACAAAGTTGACGGTTTCTTGTTTTATTTGCAGGTTGGAGAAAAAAAAAAAATATTAAGTGAACGTGGCCTTGCCGATGGAACAGAAGAAAACTATGCAGTGGATAAAGCTCTGGTGCTGAATGTCGCATACAACATAAATTGGCTCTGCATTGCGACATACCGAGGACGAAACAGATACTTATCTTGTGGAGTCTTATAAATCAGGTAACCGATTGTCGAGATATTGATCACTTAAACATTTATGTATCCCAAGACCATGAGCTCATACAGATTTGCACTATCATTTCACCCTAACTCCCTTCCCTTCTCTCTGTCCCTAATCATTTAACTCTCATTTTTCACTGTCTATCGTAATTATTGGTCTTACCTCCATGTAATAAGTGTGTCTAATTAAGTTGGATTTGATTGAAAGATTGATCTTATTATTTAAATAAGTCATTTTAATACAGAGTTAATGCTTGAAAGAACATTCACTATTAAATCGTACCTTTTCATCAGTTGTTCACTGGTAAATCTATTTAACTCTACATCAATTCTAATGTCAAATGGGTCGAGTATGTCTTAATTATAGTGATTGGTTAATTGTGAAATAATCTGATGATGATAAATATCAGCAACAACACCAATCAATACTATGAATGTTGATACAATTAACCCTATCTAGTTTGACTTCATCCAGGGTCTAGTTCTCCACTCTCTTAAAGTATACCAGTGTCCACTGGCAGTTTCAATCACTGGAGAATTCACCAATTGTTCAGTGAAAAGTTCACTTTTCCATTGGAGAGGAGTTGAACTTTTCACGCAGGTATGAGACTGATGCCATCAGTTAATAGTCATTGATGATCAGTTGCTATTCAGTGATAAACTTTTAGAGAGCAAAGAATAAATTATATTCTTGTCTCGTATACTTTCATTATCATTCATTTAATAATATCCAACATCTAATTGATGTTTTATAATCATCAGAATGATAATTCTTCTAGACTTGCTGATGATCATGAACACACAGGTTAATGTCTCTTCAAGCTCATCATTTAGATCTCCATTGAAAAGATGTTGAATTCTTGGTGTATGATCAATCGATCAAGGAGTCTCTGTTTATCGTCTTAAACAATGAATAAAAGAAAGAGTGATTAATCATCGATCAAGATAGACAGCAAATAATATAAGAGATAAAGTCAATTAATTATTTAGCAATAAGTCTGGCCTAAGTATTGAGAGATGACCTATCAAATGATGATTTATTATCAATATAAACAGCCTTAGAAAGTTGTAAAAACATTTCTAATGCATCCAGAAGCAACTTGGAATCATTTCTAAACCTCTATTATCTCTAGCTTAGTATCTCCAACATGACACTCTAGTCATCAGTGGTCTGCAAATAGCATTTGTATTGCTTTCATGCCATTCAAAGGATACTTCTGAATACCAACACCCACGCAAATCATCCTGGATGGCTTCAGGGTATGTGTTTAAAGCCATGTACGACAAATATGACCAAGACTTTAGGTTCCATTAGTCAAAAAACCTAACAAAAGACATGGAAAAATACCTACATGGAGTTTTATGCTTTGTATTTTGAATATGAAAAATATTCAAAGTTTTTATATAAATTCCAAGTTTTATGCTTTACAACCTGGACAATGATATTTTGAAATAGTTGGGATATTAGTGAACTTTGATCTTGGACAGTTAAAAAAGCTGGTATGGATATTAAAGAAATGGCTAGATGGCTACTAGCTGTTATTTAATTTGATTTATTATGGATTCAAGAAAATAATTATACTGAAGAGAAAATTCTTGGTGATGATAAAATATGATTTATTTCATTTTAAATTTATATTTTTCTAAAATAAATTCATCCATGGAGGAAAAAAAATTAATATAACTCCATTTTACTTATCACACACTATATCCTTGGATAAAAAGTATAAAATAATGAATCTTTGACAGATATTTGATCTTGGTAGATTTATTTTTTTTTATTCTATGAAGTTGAGAATGATCTTTTATTGAAGAAAGGTTGGCAGTGAAAATTGTAATAAGAGCAACAGAAATATGATGTAAATTATAAAAGATAAAAAAGAAACTGTAAAATTAATATTCAAGGAAAAATATAATGCTTGTAATAAGCGAAAAGGCAGTTGGCTGCTAATTTAATTAGTGAAATTAACAAGGCTGTTCAACATGCCACAGCTAAGTGCATCTCGTGCTTATAATATACATCGACATCACTACTACTATATTGGTTGCAGCTATCTTTCAGATATTTGCCCCAACAGCAAGTTGGAATAAATTCGATCGCCCACACTGGAAAAAAATCATTTAATTGGACACGAGTAAATTTTGATTGAGTATCGTAAATATATCTCATGGTATGGATAACAAGTCATTTGTTTAAATTGGATTATATTTAATAAAATATATTTGTTAATAAATGGATAATTACAATTTCCACATTCAAAAACATTCATCTTAAGACAGAAAATATTTATGTATAATAAATTTGAAGTTAAGAATGCAAATTGTTCATTAATTAATGTCTGAAAATTGATGAAAAAAAAGGAGTTATTTTTTGTTAAAAAAATATTGTAACCAAGTTGAATCTAATCATGAGAATGAATTGATGTAATTAAGGGATTCATTACGTAAATATCCAATGACCAACATTATCTGTTATTAATTTAACCGCCAAATCATGCATTTAATTATAGTGTCTTAAGAGAAAGTAAAAGACTCGCGTGCTAGCAGCTGTGTGCTCTTAATTATTTATCATTTTTTCATTTTATATCATCATATTTGTCCAAAGAAGAGATTAAATATCAGTGAAGGTAAATTTATTTGATTAAATAAAAAATAATTACTGTAATAATTTAAATATTTTTAAAATAATTAGTTGATGATTAAAATAATAATTGTGTGTTTTTTTTTTGATTCTAGGAAATGATTTTGAACAGAGTTGATTTAGACTTTAGCATGAGATAAAAGTTAAAAGTGTTGCTTCTAATATGGAGATTCTTAGGAAGGATAATGTCATCGACTTTACATTAATGTTTTGTCTTATCAATTTTTAAAAATTCTCTCTACACACAGAGGTATAGAATATAACCAGTAATTTTTATTTATTTATTTATTTTAATTTTTTTTTATCACTTATATACTACGTTTACATTTTTTCACCTCCTTCATCCTTTCAGGTCTTATCCGTTTCAAATAACTGGATTGGCCCACACTTGGTGTGTCGATACACCTACCTGTAACTCCTTCCAGGGAATCAATAAGTGCGTGTGTTCCAATAGATATTTTTTTTTTTTAATTTATTTTCTATCTTTCATGGGCTATCTAAGACCTCTTTTGAATTGACTCTAATTTTTTTCAACATAATTTAATGATTTTTTTGTATTGTAGAACTTTGAGTGCTTTGAAGATTGCTTTTTTTAGCATCATGAATTGATAATAGAGGTATGATGATATCGTTGAACATTGGAAAATTTTTTTCATGGATCCTAGGACTTTCCGAGAGTTGGGAAGCATTTTTTAAATGATTTTTTGGCATAAAATGTTTGTTAAAAAAATTATTAAAGCCATTTTTGATGTCATAATTTTAATAATAGAAGTATGATGGTATTGTTGGTCATTGGAAAATTTTTTTAAAGAATTTTAATTGCTTTCTAGACTCTTCTAGAGTTGGAGATCATGTTTTTAAAAATTGTCTCCATCAAATGTTGATAAAAAAATTATTTAAGCAATTTTTAACATGATAAATTAGCAAATTATCATCAATTACTCTAGCAGTGGAGGTTGATGTAGTTAGTTAACTATCATATTTCTTGGATACTGTGTTGATCTAGCTAGGAACCTAGCATATTACGAAGGATTGAATGCCTGATAGTGCGATCACAATCAAAATTATCCAGCTTCAATAATTAGTATTGCCATTTAGCCTAGCATGGTGATATTACTGTTTATTGCTATCAGGTTAAAAATGACGGTAATTTGACCGAAATAGCTGTCAAAAAAGGATAGTCTTAGGATAACAATAAATTATATTTTGACTTGGATATAGAAATGATTTTAAAAAGCTTTCTAATGATTTTTAGATCATTTAAATGTCGCAAATTATCTCCAATATTATAAATGCACAACAAAAATATAAATATTCTGATTGCTGGTCATTAAAATTCTTAAATATCTACCACAAAGTATATGTCATAAAGTGATCGTTACTCATGTGCATTTTCATCGATCAGATAAATCTTTCTGGTTTCACTGGATCAGTTTCTCGAGAGTACGACAAGGAAATTACTTAACAAGAGACGATATTTTCCTGGAATATATTGCGTTGTATCCCATGTATACGTCTTAATAAGGAGGTCGTTCATGAATTTCATGATTTAATTCTCTCATTTCTTTTGACTCTTTGAAAGCTACACCATATTTCTTATATGCCATACCATATATAAGATATATTAATTTATTAACTAGACTACAAGGAATCCTGCATAAAGCCCTCGAGCGTTTATTGACTATTGATGAGACACCGATAACTCAATCGATATAGACGTCATTCATCAATGATCAGTACCACATCCTCAGGCACTTGTTCATGCTAAATATTAGCTTGGAATATTTTTTTCAATAAATATTCTAACACTAAAAAAATTAATTAGCAAGCTCAAGTTATTTTATAACTTAATTAAATTGATCACTAGCTAAAAACTTGGTGATTAGATGCATTGATTGTTGATCAAACCAGTTGATATAATGAGGAAGATGAGAAATTGGTTATTGGATAAAAGATAGTGATGTATGAGAAGCTTTTGATGAGGTGAAAAGTCAAATATACATTGTTGTAGACATGAAGATGATCTTGGATCGTTAAGTTGTAGATTTAAAATACTCAAGAGTTGGCAAACAAGGTTGGTACTTGTTGATTCCTGGATATATGTATATGTATACTCACATATACTATCAATTCTCCACGTGGCCAACCCCCTGTTGCTCTTGCGTAGGCTTTTAAACGTCGTGCCAACACGTGTTGGGTATTGTCAGCAAGAGCTATCAGCCATCACACTTGAGAGTTACTTAATATAATATTTGTTGACACTTGAATCTAATCTGAGATTAATAATTTAATCTTCTTAATTTGCTGATGCTGATAAAATATTTTTTTGAAGTAAAAACTGACGTTGAGTGATTTTTAATAGGGGATCCAATGATCGAAAATGTACCAAGACTAAATATAAAATCACGATCGATATAAAATCTATGGAAAAATGAATAGAATAATTATTTGGAGTGTCGATAGATGTTGAAACTGGACTAATATCAATAAGTTTCATTTACAAATAATGAATTTTTAATATTTGGTACTACAATTAATTTAAAAATTCAAACAAATCATTTGTTAATTGATAGTTTTAAGTTTCCATTTCTATCAGCAATCTCTATGAGTGCGTTAAATTTTTTTTCTAATGTTATCGTCAACGACCATATCATGCTGAAAATACCAGTTCTCGTCTGATCACTGAAGTCAAGCAGCATTGAGCGTGGTTAGTACTTGGATGGGTGACCGCTTGGGAACACCACGTGTTGTTGACATCTTTTTTTTTTCTTATTGTTTTTCAATAAGTAAACATAAATTAATCAGAGAAAAATTAAAATTAATTTAAAAATTCAAACACACCATTGGTACTTTATACTTTTAAGTTATCACTTCTATCACCAGTCTCTATGACTGCCTGACAATTTTTGATAATTGACATGACTCTAGCAATAATAGCAGAACATTTGTTGATGATGAACTGGTGGATTAATTAAAGTCAAATGGTTGGAAATGAAATGTTAGTTGGATCAGTAGCATGAATAAAATGTATCTCTAATTAATGCTGCACACGTATTGAGAGAAGTAACGAAAACAGTGTGTATGGAGAACGAAGAGGTGGGTAACAAGCATTTGGATACCAAGTTGGAAGAAAACATAGACACACCGACACCCACGGATTGAATTAACGACCGGAACGATGCTGTTAACACCTCTGAAATCGATGTTAAGTTTCAAGCACTACTCTGTAAACTTTTCAAGTAGCTTGAAGAATTTTTATTCCAGTTTGTTAAATTCAATTTTTATTTTTATTTGTTTCTTCTTCTTATTTTTTTTTTTTTGCGAAATGTGTGGAAGCAAGGACAAGATAATCCGATTGCATAAATACGACTAAAGACTCGTGTATTTGTCATGTTGGTATTAAAACCGTTTAAGACATGAGTTGAATTGTAACCAAGATATTGGTACATCAAAGGGATTACATTCAAATGAATTTTATTAGCTTGAAAGAATAATTTTATTTTTAATCTTTAAATAATAAATTGTTCTTTTTTTTTTTTTAGGGGTTTGTCATAGCGTGATATAAGACATACCAACAACAACAACATGACCAAAAACTCTGTCATGAGCCACATGCGAACAATTCCATCGGTGATGCCTAAATTGGTGTCGACATTCACGAAGACCAAGTTCTGCACCTTCTCCAACGGCTGGCATTGCGTGTGGCATTTTTCTGCACTGTTCACGTTGATTTTTCGCGAGTCCTGGGATGCGACCACACACTGCAGCACCTACCACCACAGCACCGACTACCCTGCAACATAAATGTAAGTGAAAATTATTTCTTTTGCTAGCATGTTATGCTTTTATACTCTTGACATGTGTCACAATATTTTTATCCTTACGGCTATTCCGGTCAAATTACCATCATTTTTGTGGTAAAAATGACTGATTTTTATTTTTCTTTTACCTAAGTTTCATCCTAATTTTATTTGAGATTTGATTAATTTTATTTTTATAAAAACACTATTTTTTATAATTATTTATTTTATTTTAATTCTAATTGAGCTATCCATCATCATTAACATCACATGTAGCAATTTAATTTTGGAATGAGGTTATTCTGTTTATATCCTAATCTTTACCTACTTCAGGAGGATAAATATTGGATTAGAAGGTTGAAATCAGCCTTTATCATCCTAATTTTTATCTACTTGAAAAATAAAACAGAATAATATTAGGATAAAAAGGATGGGAATCATGTGAAAATAATAAATTTAGGTGTTATATTTTGACTTGGGTATTTATTTTTCAACCATGATGTAGCTTAACTCCACATGTAGATTGATAATCATCAAAACTTGTACACTTAATGAGTCGTGATAATTTTTAGCGACAAAATTTATGTGATGAGTACTTGGTATGGCGTCTTTGAGTGTATTTATATCCAATTAGACATGTGTAAAAGCGACTCACTTGACTGAGAGATTTCCAATATTAAACTTGATAATAATTGCAAAAAATATTTTAGCAAGAGAGCAACATCACGTCAACATTTATGAGTGGCGGATAATTCGTTTCACGCTGTTTCTTCGCCTCATCATCACTCCAACATGAGTCTGATGAACACGTTGGAAACCCTTGTAAAAGATGATCAAGGGTGACGTTGACTCACACATCTGCCCTGGATGTGTGATCAAGAAAGAATCATTTTCTCTGCATGATGTCTAGATAAATTAAATGTTGAATACTCATTTCTGTCTAAACATTAACACTACGGAAGATAAAATAAATTATTAAAAAATTCGAAATGAAAGTTAACAACAAACATTACTACGTTGATTACTAATAAATTATTTTAGTAAGAATGTGATGAAGGAAGAGATGAAGTTTAGTTGAATATTTCTGAGAAGCATGAAAATTGCTGCGATTATAGTACGACCTGAGGCAAGATATTTGCATTGGAATGCATCTTGTGGGCTTTGTGCCGAAACTCACCATGTAAGATAATCGCCAGGGTGTCCTATACGAGCAACGTGAGAACATGACGAAATCATTACCTGACACTATACTTGTGCTATACTTTTATTTATTCCTTGAAAATATTATCAACCTGCATCTACTCTGATAGAAACGATTTATTACAACAATTAAGAAGCTTCCTTTATTATTACAAATCTCTTCTATCAGCATACATTCACTAATAATAACCCAACAAAAATTATTCCATTGTGATAAATCATCAAGACTTAGCAGGAAGAAGGTGTTTAGCTAGGGGTTCCAAGTCCCAACAACTAAATAATTATTTAAACTCTTCTAGTGGCTTGGAGATCCAATGCTAACCACAATGGAAGATCATCATCCAGGTGTAGCACAGTTCAGTTGTTTATTTGTCAATTGGAAAAAAAAGGAAAAAAACAAGAATGAACCAGCAGTAGCGTGTCTTTAAAGGAATTATGTAAATGAGTTGCGAAGCCACCAATTTGAGTCAATTCACAATTTTTTCTTCCATCTCATGACTATAGAATTTCTGAAATAACGGTAATCAAGGAATTGTATCGAGATATCACTCAATTGCTTTAGAGAATAATACTCGATGTATACAATTTTCCATCTTAAATCATACTTAACTATATTTCACAGAATTTAAAAAGTATTCTAACAGTAATATAATTTTATTACCTTGAATACCTTGGTATTTATTGTTTGATACTAGTTTTCAATTGGCGTAAAAATGTTTGGTATGCACTTGAAGGGATAACACAAAGCTGAAAAATATTTATTGAAAGTAAAATAAAAAAAAATAAAGGCAAGAAATAGGAAAGGTTGGAGCAAATAACTCTCCCATTAGTCTCCATATGTAGGATATTGTAATGTTATATATTACGTACTTTAATGCTTACATCTAGACTTCCGAGGGGCTCTTATAAATCTGTTGTATCAACCTCTACCCCATGCATGTAAGTTCAATTTGCAATTTTAATATTATCCCATCTATAAGTATTCTAGTCTATGTTTTTAACTTGAAGTAACTGATCTCAAATCATCTGATTGCTTGAATTGATAATTAATTGGGATTGATATTCTTCAAGTTGCTTGGAGGAATTTAATGCCGAAGGGCGTCAACACATGGCATATTAGCCAGCGTAATAGCATCATGTGCAAGAAAAGTAAATGAATAATTATACCTAGCTAGGGGCGTTACGTCTTGTATTCCTGATTGATCAGTTTTAAATACCTTTTAATCAGAATATTAGCATGAAATGTTGATAAAATATTCATTCGACTTCAATTGCTTTTTGATGGTATTTATAATCAATAAATTCAAGGTGATAAAAAATAGTTTTATTGTTTAGGAATGTTTTTTTTTTCTAAGGAATAAATGACTTGGGTATTGAGTTGGTTGGTTGGAGATCTTATTGGAGATATTCTGATGGAAGGAGGTGCTAGCGTTGGTCTAGGTGGATCTTCAGATAGTTGGAGATGCTAGCATGTCTATACAGATCAATAAAGATCACCTTTCTTCAATTAGTCTCCAATCAATCTTGAACCAGCTCCAAAGGTTTCATCAAGAGTTCATTATTGAGATAATTAAATCATTAGCCCTAGATCATTGCCAGCAGTTACGGCTTCAACTCTCACCATCAGCTAGATTTAACAATCCTTTCTTGAACATCTTGAGAAGCCTAGAGAATATTCATCAAACCCTTCAAAGTTCACCAATAAGAATTACTGTCAAAATTATGGATCCAGTATGTTATTTAAAATTTATTTGGAGAGACCGGAAATTCAATTGACTTGACAACCCTAAAAATGAGATCAAAGAGTCGAAATGAATTCCAAAGCATCAATCGGTTATAAAAAAATTATTTGTATCAATTCTCTACTTGAGACTTGACACAAATCCAAAGGATTATCCTTCTTGGTATGGTTGCTTTGTCGTCAATATCACGATCATAGTCGCACCTTCTTGTCTGTCGTGACAGTTGGAGACTTACCTCCCAGTATAATCTCGTCTGTATCAAAATATCTCCTTTGTTTTTTTCGTATTCCAGTTTTACTTCTTAAAGTCATCAAATAAAATTCTCTAGCTACTTTTGTCAATAAAAATAATAGACAACCGATTAAATGGAGTTAAAATCAAACTAAAATGAACTCTTAAGGATAATTGTTTGAAAAAAAACTCTTCAGCAGTGAAAGAAAAAGATTCTAAATATTTTTTAAACTTGAACATGAATGAAGAATGATGGTTGAATGTTGGAATTTATTGCTTTAATGAACTTAAAAATATTATTTCGTGTGAAATAAACATTATTTAGTATTCCAAGAGGAAGTTGATAACAAGAAGGAACAAATAAATGATGTTTAAAATAAGGAAACTTTAAAAAAGGAATCGTCGCGTGCGTAGAAGGTGCGTGTATATCAGCAATCACGTTCTAATGAGCAGCCTGAAAGATCCCAAAGTCAAGAAGTCGTTACCCAAGACATTGATCATGTATCGATTATTTCACACGAACTCCAGCAAGAACCAGTAGTCACGATGGAAACTTGTAATTATATGCCTTTCGACACTTCAATGTATAACCCTGAGATCCACAATTTCTGATGTCAATTATGAGTATTGCTAAAAGCCGAGTTATTTTATTGATAATATCCTTCACCAACCAGACTTTCAATCATTTTAATCTTTTTTATTCTGATAGATATCAATTTAAAAAGCTTCTCTTTCATTCATTACATTTTATTTTATAAATATAGATGAGACTAATTGCTGCTAGAGTTGATCATTTCTATAAGATCAACATGGTATAATACATTGCATCATCATCATCATTATTATCAAAACGATACGACCATAAATCATCCTTTATCTTATAAAAAGATGCACGAGCAGTGATAATACACTAACGTTCCTACCGTTCACCTCATCTCCACCTGGATGAGCTTTGATTTTCTCCAAGATCCTTAGAGGCTTGGTAATAAAAGCAGATCAAACTAAAAATATCATTACTCTCTAGAAAAATTTTACCAAGTCTCCGGTGATGGTAGGAAGAACATAATCTCTAGATGAGTTAATGAATGCAAAGAAATCGTTTACCAACACAATTATTATCATATTAATTTCTTATTGCAAGACTGTGATGTTTTTTTAAAGCTAATGAACTTCTAGGTCTTTTCATCATTGAACGTTTTTGTTATTTAAAAATAAAGAAAGCTGAACTGGTTGATTCTTAGTCTAGCATTGGATCCAATGATGGGTCAAGAATGAACCAGTTCTGCTTCAAAACTCCAACGTTTCTTGAAGCTGATGAACTTCTGGGTCTTTTTATTATCAAGCATTTGTGTTGTTGAAGAATTTTAAGCAATAAAATGACCAGCAAAATTATTGATTAGCTTTGAGAAGAAATCCCCTAGCAGAAAGCATTGGATCCAAGGTTGGCTAACCAGGTCCAATGTTGGGCCAGGATTGAACCAGTTCTGCTTCTCGCTAGGATTGTATTTCAATGTAATTACTAAAAAATAATTCAATAATCACTAGAACAAGCTATAAAAGATAAAATGAATGATTAATTAAGATTATAGATGATCTTTGGTATAGAGGATCTTTCTTGTATTATTAATTCTTTGCTTTATATCTCAGTGGCTACAGGAAATATAACTAATAATCCAAGCATGAGTCGTAAACACTGAAATCAGAGAAATGTCTGTGCAGCAAAGTAAAAGCAATAAAATTTGTAATTTAATGAGCCCACCATAGAAGGTAGGGTGAAAATAAAATTGTTGTCACAGAAAAGAAACGTTGCAAAATTACAA